TTCAGTTGCTGAAAGACACAAATTGCTTATTATTCTGAGAAGGACATTATGCACGATTCCTATCTGAGAAGACGACAAACCCGCTGAACAAAGAAATTTGTTCCATTATGAAATCTCATATCCATTTTATGCGGCATATAGCGGTTCTGTTATTTGTCTCCATGTATTAGCAACAGTTTGCATTTGTAATGTGTCACTGCTGCGCCAGACCAGGAAATTCCACCTATTTGTAATTTAAGTCTGTCAGATCATTTTGTCCTCAATTTAAGTTCGTGCAGAATTGTGAGCGTTTCTTGAATTCATTCTTGAATTAGAAACCATTGACAACCTTTGCAAATCAAATTTGTTTTGTTATTTGCGACTTCTGGTTTGTGACTTTCACTTTGCAAGTATTGCAACTGGGTTTGCATCCCACAAACTGCAAAGCCCCATCAAAAGGCCAGCGAGCAAAATGCTGTCAGAGAAACAGTCATTTCGCTCGCTGGCCTTCGTGTCTATGAATTTCATCACAATATTCACCAACTGGACCTTGCAATTCACGAATATCACAAATAATGGCCGATTAATCAGTCTTTCTTTTACAAGTTTTAGAAAATATTATTTTAGAGTATAATATCTCGGGATACAGTACAGTTTGGGACACAAAATGTCAAGCAACTGCTAGGATTGTGGAAAATGAACTAGATGGAGCTTGGTCTTTCTCCCAGCAAATTTTTATGTTCTTAAGTGCTGTAGATTTCTGGCATTTCTGATTTTAGTGGACTGGAGAGCTGTTCATCGGCAAAATGTGCAGATAGTTGGCCGATATCTGAAAAATCAGTCAAAATGTTTGAAAAACTAAAAAACAGGACTGCGTTTGGCACATTGCCAAAGCAACACTTCAAAATCATAATGTTTCTCACCAGTGGGGAATTGAAGAATTAACTTCATCTGAAGTTCATGTCATAATTAGTGTGGATGGAAAACGTAAATGTCTATTTTAAAACTTTGCCTCGGGAAAATTATCTTCTTTTGATTAATATCGCTTTTGGAATCTAAAACACGGCAAATGTCATCTTGGGGCTTATTCAGTAATCTACAGTAGTTTATACTGGAAGACTCAATCCTAAACAACGTGCTCTTTCAACAATTTTGTTTAATTTTACTGTACAGATTCCCTTGAATTATTATCAATTTATAACTTACTTGACGTGTTTTTGTCAACTCAGTAATGCTTGTAACCATAAAGGGGTAAACATTCCGGTGGAGGATGTATAAAGAGAATTGGATATTTTTAATGGTGATCGTTGTGTGTTGGTAAATTGCGGAAACATCGTAAAGTTACGTGAAGAGGGTGAAAAAAATCATAGGCAGCAAAGCTTATCAGCAAGTGAGTTTCCAAAACAACCTAACTGACTCTTGGCCACATAACTGGCATCAAACTATTGTTCAGTACTCCGAGACATTACCCTGCTGAAGGGTACTATATAAGTGCACGTTGTAGTATTTTAGTTGTTTTTGTTGTATTGAAGCCAAGCAGCAGGTGACGGGTCGAAGGGTCTATGCTGTTTTGCTGCCAGGAAACCTCACAAGGCACTTTAATGAAATCACGGACATGCTATGTTAGAGGAACTCTGGCAATGTTCACCTTTACCCTAAACATGCATCATTCTGCGTGCTCTATTGCCATGACATACACATAGAGACGTACAGAAGAACAAAAGATTTGTAACCCCATCCAAATGAATTCCAGGTTTCGTGTAGATAAGCGTGACCTGTACGAACTTCGGGGAGATTTTAAAACGTTGGGACTGTCCAAGAAAATACTTCCTAGTGTCTCCTAAAATTGCCATTGACAACCCTAAGTCTGTGCTCTCTTGTCCTGGTACTGTAGGGTGTCTGAGAGAATTGTTCACTTTCTTAATTCCATTTGGTATTTTATATATTTTTTATATATTCTGTGCGCAATTGACTATCGTGTTTCGCGCACAAAATATCAGTCAACTCACTTTCCAGCATATTCTGTGAAGCGCTTTGATACTTGGACGAATCAACGATGCGATAAGGCGCTATATCAAATGCAAGCATTATTATTATTTTATATACCTCTATAAGGTCCACTGTAAGATATCTCTGTTCAGGGATGGAAAACCCTCTTATCTGTTTGTTAGAACCTTTAACTAATTGGACCTTTCTATTTTAAGATGGTAAAAGATGCATTTTTTTCTACAATCTATTATTATTTAGCCTCTGGCTTCCTACCATGTATTCTAATATATTGTAAAATTGTAGGCACATAATTAACAATGCACATCAATTCGGATTGCGATTAAAATAATTCACTGAATTTTATGGTTTCAAGCCCTAGGCAATGAACATACCATGACTATTAATCATGGTTGTAGCTCATTAACAAAATTGTGCATTTTAGCAGAGAAATGCTCAATTATAATGCTGCGAAATTCAAAGACTGCTTTTCCTACAAACCGAGTAGTTCAGAGAATTTGATTGATATAAATGAGAAATAACTCCTCTTAGTTTCAATTATAGATAAAAACACATTCTGGTTGACTAATCAAAGGATTTGAGGTGTATGTCTTACGTTTGCCCAATTCCTCTTCACTACTGCTACCAACCCTTTGGTTTACCAAGTTGTCAAGGTGACAGGATGAATGTGCCAAGTTCCACTGCACCATTTTCCAAGGCTTCGTAATCAAAACATTTTCTCGTCATTAACCCGAGTGTTAAACATTTGAAGACTGGTAAAGTAGCAAAGCAATCAGCAAACAGTCAAATTAATTATTCTTCAAAGAAAGTGCTTTGGGTGCTAATTTCACCTGTTCAAAACTCTGATGGCATGTTTTACCTTTTTTAAAATAGTTTCCTTTCTTGACATAGTTTGAGTCCTTTTATCTTTTTCACAGATTTGTCCAAGTCAATATTTACACATGAGCCTTGATAAGGTTATCACAGCCACATCCAAACCAGTCAATGTGGTGCTCTTCCCTGTTCCTGAAGCTTTGATGCTTAAGTGCAGTAGTTAATGTCCATTTCTACAGCAGTTGGTGTCTAGTGCTACTGTAACAACCGTTGTGATCTTTGTCATCCATTTTGCAGTCTGAAAACGCCAGAGCCTATGGATTTCATCAAAAGAAATGCTACGTTTTACGCTGCATCGTGGATAGCTTATTGTAAGATAATTTTCCACTCAGTTTCAAGTAACCTCAATTATATGTGCACTTAGGTACCACAAGAGCTGATCCTACCAAAGTCACCCAAGGAGGCAACCAAAGCAGTAAGGCTGCTTATCTGAGCGTATTCTCATGTCAGAGATAATCCAACAGCACAGACATTTGCCTGCCACTTTTCAGAGGAAACTACAGGTGGTAGTCTTTTTTGGGTCAAAATTACTCTTAATCCTTTAAGCATAAAAAGAAAGCACAAAAAAAAGGTTAATCTACCAATTGCACTGTGCGTTCCACGTGACAGTGCCATAAAATGGCACATTTGCTTCTGGAGAAAATGTTTGCCGTTGTCACTTCCTGTAAATCATTTCAGATGTTTTCACCAATAAGTGTTTTCTTTGTACTCTTTTTGCCCTTTACCAAGTCTGAGGGTAATGTGATATTCTCGGCTGCGTTATTCAGAAACCGACATCAAAGGTGCTTCTGTTGCATCCTCGAGCAGAAAAAAAAAGGTTCGACTGTTCGGCTTCATCCTCCTGACTAAAGAATTGTACAAAATTAAAGTGTGACAAATGGACAGAAATGAGTCAATCAATCCTGCCTCAGTCGAAAATCCTTTTATGTTCACTGTATACGTGCAATTCTGGTGCCACATTTACAAGGACAAATGCATTGCGGTAATACAAGACCAACTCGATTTCCTTTTTCAGAGCAATAAATCCACAGAAAATCCTTCAGGGGAATAAAACAAATCATGCAGATTTCATGCTACTACCATGATGACAAAATGATTCGCTTTATACAATCTGTGAATGTGCACAAATCTTGTGATTAAATTGCGTTGGTTATTGTATTAATATGCTTTCCTCCCACCCTAGACCCACCTCAGCAAACTTGTGTTTTTTACTTTTCCACAGATTTAGAGTGAAACTACTTTTCACATCCTTGACTCTTCTATAGCACAGTTACTGCCTGAGTTAAAGATTAGGAAGTCAGGGAGGTTTGGAATAGGTTTGCCATTTTTCGAAATCAAGAATGCTGCTGTGCAGAAATAAAACATGTGCCTTTACAGTTCAATTTCATGCTGAAGGCAGGAGTGTGGGTGGCTGGTAAAGCTGCCACCCTCGAGCATAATTAATTTTGTTCAGTGCCCGAAGCTTAAAGGTTTTTAAAAATTTATAATTTTCATTTCCCGCTTTTGTATTGAGTCACGCAACTAACACCAATTCAACAAATTGGGTTTTGGGTCCAGAGGATCCTCCAAATTTACTTCTTCGTGAGAGATTATCAGATGTTTATCCAGGTAGTAACAATTGACAAAAGACACTGATGCATATTATACATTTGATTATAGTGGTTACAGTTCAGTACATTCACTTGGTACCAAACTCCGCACACCACTCCTCTGCTCAGCCCCTCCGCTCAGCTAAAACAGGTCTGCTTACCCCTTGGCGCCACAATTGGTGGCCTAACCTTCAGTCACTATACCCCTAACCTCCGGAACTTACTCCCTCCATCCATCCAACTCACTCCCTCTTTATCTTTCGTTTAAATTACACCTTAAAACGATCCACCAATCGACTAACAAGCGGGTTCCTGCTCACTGCTTGCTAAATGTAGGCGTGTTTGTGGAGTAAGGAATCTTGCCTCAGGTTTCTTCCCTCCTGTCAGTGTTTGAGTTGACTGCCAATGTCATGCAAATAACCTCAGTTATGATTAATGTTGGATGAATTATGGATTCTTACAGTACAAAATGTTTCTGAATTCTGAGTACAGCTCAGATTGATAAATATTTGAATAACTGGCCTCTGAATATACTTATCTTTTTCTGTGCAGTCCGCTGCGGAGTATGCAAAGCTACATCTCCCCGAGGCTCTGAAACAACATCTTCAGGAATATGAGAAAGATAAAGAGAATAGTGTGTTTTCACACCAGACTATCCTTGAACAGCAGATTCTGGCAATAGACCGCAAACTACTCGACAAACTCTCAGCAGCTTACGACGAGGCAGGTATGTGTCACCTGATGATTTCCAGCAGCGTTTTGCGAAATTTTGATTGCTTTGAATAATATTATGTTTAATTCCTTCCATCTTACTGACGCCAGAACCACTCTTGTGTGCACACTGCTGAGAGCCCCATTGCCACCAGCAACCTTACAAAAGCGATCAGCATGACTCCAGACTTAATAGTATGTACTTGTGATGTCAAGTTTGCACATGGCCCTGAGCATCAGATTTTAATTTAAGGTTCATCACAGTGGATTAATCTCCGCTACAAGTGACTGTCAATTTGAAGCAAGATAAAACAGCAAACGTTTCAGGCTGACAACACAATTATGTGAGGTGCCTAGACTTTTGTTTAGATTTAAGGGGGAAAAAAACTCATGTCAAACCCATAGATAGATTGCGTATAAAATGTAATTCCGGATTGGTTATTTCAATTCAGTCTAATAACATTTTACGTCCTTCTAAAGTGTGTCCATTTCTTTATAACTGTCAGAAAACATGTGTCAAACGCAGTATACTAAAATTTCACAACCTGGAGTGGATTGAGTGTTATCGCCACAGTCAACTGTCCCATTACATGAATCAAAGTACAAAATATATATGATTGAATGTGCCTCCTCGCTCGCTGCTCAGGTTGATATTGACAGGTATTGACAATAACACTATCAGCATTGCCACCCCCTCACAGCAGAATTCTGCTGCTCGACAAGGTGGACTGTGCGTCCATGCAGGTTTGATGCTGTCAGAGCCTAAGGTGATAAGTTGTTGACAGGAGCCAAGCAAGCCTCTGTCTTGTCAACATTAAACTGAAGAAAGTTACAGCCCATCCAGGACTTGATACCCTCTGGAACTCCATTCCCAAGTCCCTCTGCCTCGCCCCCTCCCTTGCCTCCTTCAAGGCCCATCTCTTTGACCATGCCTTCGGCCATCCTCCCACCCCCACATCCCCAAGCCTCCACGCCTCTTTATTCGAACCCCCAACTCAGGTGCAAACCCCTTAACTGTCCAGAGTATTGGGACATCCTTCTGACGTAAAAGACACTATATAAATGTCATTTAATGTTGTTGTGGATGTCTGATTGGTAGTTGGTTGGAGGAGCAGTGGTCCTGGAATTGAGTGATGGAGGCAGAGTGATAGAGTTAAGTGGTATCCGTATTCAAGAGGAAGTAAATCCCACATCTGCGGATAACATCGCTGAGCGAGAACATGCAGATAGTGAAGGGGAGAGGACCAAGGATAGAGCCTAACCCATTTGAAAATAATCTCTCAATTCACTTGTTAAAATACTTTTGTTACCTTGCATCCATCAGCAATGTAAGCAACAAAATCACTGGACATTTATTCATGTAACAAAATAGTTGGACGTTATTCCCAGCGGGGTCACAGCACAGCACTATTCAACACTCCTTCTATTTAGTTGTCATGTTGAAAGGTTAAAGGATTGCTGATCAAGTGTTAATGATGCTGATACTGAGAAACAAATCTGACAGCATTACAGCACTTTTGGTGTGAGTTTCGAGGAGCTGCCTGTGTAGCCCAGTCATCTGTTTCTTTCCACAATTGCTGTGTACTGTATAATGAATCGCACGATTTCATTTAAAAACAGTGTTTGTTTTATGTATAATGATGAATGGTGCCTGAATGTAAAATATTCATAAGCGTTTCCGATCAAAATCATTCACGTTTATTTATGAAATTGTGAAAAATAATATTAAGAGTATGGGAAATAGAATTTGAGTTGATGCTCCTGTAGAGGAATTAGCATCGGCGAGGACACAGGAATCAAATAGATTCCTCAGTACTGTAAACATTCTGTGAATATCCACACTCTGCTAAATCAGCAATAAAACACATTGAGCTGGGGTTTGTTAAATACGTGTAACAAATATTGCAGTTTGCTTTCAATCATCCCGTTTCTTTGCTTTCAAACGCTACACTCTGTACCATTTTCACTTCAGCATAAATCCGTTAACAAATATTGCCGTTTTGTGCATTGTAGCACACAGCACGAAGCATCCAAAGCACATAGACCTGCTGCCTTTGTTCCATCCAATCCTGTGCTCCTGATCCCCGCATGTTCATCCATTATCTTTGGTTACCTTGTAATTTCTCTACTATAACATGTTTGGTGGATCACTCTGTTTACATTGTGCCATTTGCCCGGATAATGATAAAGAGGAATAAAATACAGGGAAGAATTTGCATTCAGGATCGAGAATGTGAAAAAATTGTCTTGGTGAAACAGCTTGTACAGATTGTGTTGTACAGATACCTTATGAATTCTTCATTGTCATGAACATGGAGCCATGCCTCATGAATTAATCAGAAGTCGCCGTCACATCCCAACATTGCAAATCGAGAGTTATTTAATAATGAGAAACGTATTGACAGCGGTTGTCTGAATTAAATCAGTTACAAAATGATTTGTTCTCGATTTGTTTCAGCTTCTCATCAAGTTGGATTTTGAAAGCCTCGAGGCTCACTCAGTCAGAACAAAAATAATTTGTTGATTTTAATAAGAAATCCGTCAGAAAATTAAAACAGACGTGTACCTTTAGCTCAGGTGTTGACAAGAGGAGAATTGAAAACCACAGAATAAATATGAAAAGGAAGCTATTTGCCACGACTGGATTTGATTTTGATCAATAGAGAATGTGACAATCTGTCCTTTACATTTAGAAAATCGGTCCACTGTACGAATCCTGATAACCTTTGGTAACCTGAAAGCTAGTAAGCTGCTAGTTGTATGTTTACCCCTGTTTCGCACCTGCAATCCTCCACTGTCCTTCATTTGATCTAACCAGAGATGAATCTGTTCTGGGTACTGGTAACCCCGCAGTGAAAGGGTGAAATTAAAGAGACAAAACCTCCATACCGCAAAAAAAAAAAAACGGCTTGGGTAAACAGAAGTAGGATAAATAAAAATAACGTAAAGAGTGGTGATTTATCATGTTGGTTCCCTTCAAAGGTAAATGAACCGTGAAATTGGTAATTACGAACACTGATTACAAAAATTGAAAAGTACTTATCGCGCTGAACGGATTTTGCTTTTCTGGTAAATAAGACAAACATTGGAATTCTAAAATACCACTCCCATGAGCTATAGTTCAGATGAACATCTCAGTAGAGAATTAATATAGAGCAGCAATGTTACTCAGCCAGTCTAAAAGATACTTACTGACTGCCTTTGATCACCTACTTTCTAATCTTGTTCGAGCTCCTATTTCATCTTTGTAAATCCCTTTGAGATTTCATCCTGCTATATTTGTGTACAAGTTGTGCTATATATTGTTGTTGTTTTCCTGGATCCATTCTGAGACTCTACATCTGTTGAACGGAATGGAGATCCTTCAAAAATGCATGTGGCCTTTCCCCAGAACTCACGTCATCGGAACAGTGTGGAGAGGACACAAAATGCCAAGTCTTCAAGGTTGACCTTGAAAATTGAGCAAAATAAATGTATAACTTTCTGAGAGAGTTGAGAGAAGTGCTTTGAACAAAAAAATCTCTCCTGTTTCCCTTTTCCTTTCAGATTATCAAGGTAATACGACACGACACATAACCACTTATCATTCACCAATGTGTCAGAAACACTTGAGAAGTATTAAGACCTGTGTTAAAATGTTAGTCTCTGTGAAAATGATGAACAACCTCAATATTCTTTGTGAAGTCTTCTTCCTTAACAACAAACAGAGTTTGACTCAATAAAAAAATCTTATTAGTTGCCATTTGGTAACCCAGGATGGTGGTTATGGTGATAGGGGAATGCTTTAAACTTTTCAAATCGTTGATCTTTGGAAGGAGTGAATTTTCTTTAATGAAAAAAAATCATAACCTTTATGATATTGATTGAAGGAATTCTCCTTTGCGTGAGTTTACTGGGGTAAAATTTGTGGTATTCCTTAACTTAATTACCCAATATTGTGTGTGTGTATAATAATTAACACTGGCGTCAATTAAGCTAAGGAATGTGTTAAGGAATGCTACCAATTTTATCCTATTGCCTTCAAGCTCACTTAGAAACATCCAGCCCAAACATTTGCTCAACAAACTTTACAAAATTGTATTATTTGTCTTGTACTTGGTTTTCTGTGGAGTCCTGTAGCTCAGTGGTTAGAGCACTCGCTTTGCAAGCGAGACACCTGGGTTCGATTCCAGGCAGAGGGCGAAACCGTGGGCAAGTTTCCTTACTCCACACAGAGCCTAATAATAATCCCCCCCAAAAAAACAATAATAAATTGGTCATTTTCAATCCACCACTGTTTGTGGGACGCTGCTGTGCGCAATTGGCTGCCGCGTTTCGCCCACAAATACACAAATTAGAAATAATTCACCTTAGAGTCTATTCTGTGAAGCGCTTTGAGACGTCGAGAAGACGTGAAAAGCGCTATATCAAATGCAAGGCTTATTATTATTTTCTGCAGATTTCTAAACTCATTGATGGTATTTTAACATATTAAATACCACAAGTTAAAATTTTCCTAAAACCTCTTTTTCACTGTTTCTGACATTGACATTAAAACCTCAAGTCTTGACTTAAACATGCAGAGAAAGCACACACACCAAAAGCAATTAATGCTGCACAAATACCGGCTGTTGCTAAAGGTAGTGTTATGGTAGACTATTGTCTTCAAGGGCTACAAGGAGCAGGTAATAAGATGATGCTATGTACTTTCCAAGATAAAGCCAGAGTGCCTTCCAGCACATTATTCCCTCGGGACTCCCGGCAGCAGACATTCAAATAGCTTTTTTTNACAGTGTTTATAATGAACAATTATAAACCATGGAACAGTGTGAACCTTGACTCAAGATGCAAGCGGGAGAGACAAACAGAAAATCTAATACAACGTTAAATCCATTTGCCTCTTTATTTTCACAGAAGTAGTGATTCTGGCTTCATCAGTGATTCTTGCTTCTAATAATAATAATGATGGAGCATCTTAACACATCATTGAGACATCTTAAAGAGTTTCACAGAATATACTGTGAAGTGAATTGGCTGTATATTTTGTGGGCGAAATAATGGGGGAGGAGGAGGTATCCAGTAATATGTACTTAAGGAAACATCCTTTATTGTGGTAAGGGAATTTAGAAATAATTTCATTGAACGCAACCTCAATTTAACAAGAAAATCTCCCCCAGAAAAATTTTAACCATTCACTTCATGGCTGTCTGTAGGACATTGCTGTCGTACAATTGACTGACACACAGCCAAGACACCTTACAGTAAGTCTGTGAAACGCTTTGAGAAATTATGATTTGAGTTATAAGGCGCTATATCAAACGCAAGGGTTATTATTATAACTCTAGACATCAGCCTAATCTGTCTTTAATATGCTGAATATAGAGCCCATGTTGTCTCAGTGTTCGTGCTCCAAATATATTAACATAACATGTAGGAGCAGTAGGCCATTCAGCCCTTCGAGCCTGCCCCGCCATTCGCCATTCCACTCCATATTATCATGGCCGTTGTTCCTTCTCTTTTGTATTCACCAAATGCTGCACTGAACGTTGCAAACCAATTCCTCCCATGGCTGCTTTCTGCACAAATCACAGCTGTTTGCATTTGCATCACTACCCTGTTCTCAATCAACACTCGGCAATAAGTACCGATCCAGTCCTTTCTTTCACAGGCAATTAAACTGGGAAACCCTGTTTTCATCCATCTTACTGACAGACCATAATCTCCAGCATTTCATAAAACACATATTTATTATCTTTCAGATAATCAGTATTACTCTGGTTTGTGTGTGTGTATATCTGAGGCTCTGAGTTATTGGTAGAAGCCTACAGCTGTGCTGGGAGTTTGTAACCGAAAGTTGTGTCAGGAACAAAAGTATCCACCGAGGTGTAAAGCTGCACCAACAGAAGTTTGAATTGAAGACTTAAATAATAATAATAATAATCCTTGCATTTGATATAGCGCTTTTCACGTCGGGAGGACGTCCCAAAGCGCTTCACAGAACACACTGTAAAGTGAATTGACTGTATATTTGTGGGCGAACGCGGCAGCCAATTGCGCACAGCAATGTCCCACAAACAGTCGGAGATTGAAAATGACCAATTTATTATTGTTTTTGGTTTTGGAGGGATTATTATTAGGCTCTGTGTGGAGTAAGGAAACTTGCCCAAAGTTTCACCCTCTGCCTGGAATTGAACTCAGGTCTCTCACTTGCAAAGCGACTGCTCTAACCACTGAGCTACAGGACTTGTCAGAATAAACATGGAAATTATGCATACGTATATCTCCCAGTTTGGTTTGACTGATGGGTTTCCATATCTGATGTGAAAGGCGCTATATAAATGCAATTTGCTGTTCTTGTTAAGACATAAAATAAGTAAAATGTGTTCTTAATGCCAAGCCATACATTTTCAATAGACAAAGAGCTTGCATTTTTATAGTGCCTGATCTATCACCTGTTGGCTGGGTGTTATGAGCGCAGCTCATGCATATGAGGTTGTCGTATGCAATTGAGAAGTACTCTGTGACTTCATAAGAACATAAGAAATAGGAGCAGGAGGAGGTCATTCGGCCCCTCGAGCCTACCCCGCCATTTAATAAGATCATGGCTGATCTTCTAACCTAAAGGACTTCCACTCAATCCCCACATACGGAAGCATTTTCAGAATATGTCCCTTGTATTAGATTTAAGGATAAATGCAGATTGAGATATACATACGTAAACACAGTATATTAAGCTGTTTACTGTTATCGGGTCGACAAGGCATATCTTCCGTTGAACATTTGATTTTTTGATTTTACGTAGCAAGTGTGCCCGGTTTTAAAATGTAAAAAATCCTGAAAGGTGTCAAATTGCAAATGTTTTAAAACTTTGTATAGTTTATCTGAAACAACCAAACTTATTCAATGTGTGCAGATTGTGAAGGAAATTAAATTGGGTTTCAATTATTCTGTACCATTGGAATGACACCGATTTGAGTTATTGTGTTTTCTTCAGTGTTGATGCCTTTATGTCGATAAACCATTATCATGATTAATGTAGTATTTGGACAAATGCATATGTTGAATGTGTTTTGAAGTCATGCTGTATGTCTCCAGCGCACATTAAAATATATTTGATTTTCAGCAATAATCTTTGCTATGGCAGCCTACACTATGGAGAATTTTCTGTGTATATCTAATATATATACATATAAGCTATGTGCAATAATTCTTATTTGCATTACATAATGATATTTATAGGAACATAGGATTTTATAGTATTTGCATTTTATAGTATTTGCTACAGGACTTGTGGAGTCCTGTAGCTCAGTGGTTAGAGCACTCGCTTTGAAAGCGAGAGACCTGAGTTCAATTCCCGGCAGAGGGCGAAACCTTGGGCAAGTTTCCTTACTCCACACAGAGCCTAATAATAATCCCTCCAAAACCAAAAACAATAATAAATTGGTCATTTTCAATCTACAACTGTTTGTGGGACATTGCTGTGTGCAATTGGCTGCCGCGTTCGCCCACAAAAAAATTCACTTTACAGTGCGTTCTGTGAAGCGCTTTGGGACGTCCTCCCAACGTGAAAAGCGCTATATCAAATGCAAGGATTATTATTATTATTATTATTTAAACACAATTGTTTATGTATATTTTAGCATAGTGGAGATTTAAATGAACCCTATTTTCATTTCCTTTCAAAATGTCTAAGCTCTCCAAGATGCTACCTCGCGTAATTGCAATTTGTTGTTGTTAAAATCTTTTGGGGCATTGTGGTTTGTTCATTTCAATACTAAAGTATCTAGGAGTCAATTACTAGAACAAAATACATTTGTTTAATACAGCAGCTATTTCAATACAATAAACATTCCTAATAATTTGGATTTATATAGAGCCTCTTGTGCAGGGTAGTGTCTCGGAGAGTTTAACAGGGGAGGAGCCTGATGCTGAGCCGGGGGAGGAAGTGGCTGTAAGCGCGGTCGAAGAAGAAGATCTTGAGGATGACCGTTTCCTATGATTACCTCTGCAGACTGTTTTCAAGCACTGATCTTGTACACACATAAATTTTGCCTGATTTGCTTCCAGAGCCACCTTACATTATCATTTTATTATTCTGTCGATGTCTCCGTGACCATCAGTGGAATTTGTTAAAAGATCGTGAATGCTTCTACAATAATAAAAATAATCCTTGCATTTGATATAACGCCTTCATGACAGGCGGTCTTTTCTCAGTGCTTCACAGGATTCGCTGCAAAGCATAGGGACTGCAACAGATCGAGTGTGCACAGCAACGTCCCAGAAACAGCCATGAAATAAATGACCAATTTTTTTAGGGGGGTATTTTTTTGGCCAGGACACCAGGAGAAACTGCCATTGCTTTTCAAACAGTGCCGTGGATCCGGCACAAATTGTGTTTTTAAAAATTCAAATGTCTCATCCGTATTAATGGGTACAGAAAGCTAACACAGTACAATTACAAGATCCACTTTATTTCTCTTGTGAATAGTAACCTCTGCATTCTTCTGTCTCCAGGTACAACATGTCTCGTAGCTTTGCTGTCTGACAAGGAGCTAACTGTCGCAAACGTTGGAGATTCACGAGGCGTACTGTGTGACAAGGATGGAAATGCAGTTCCGCTTTCACACGACCACAAGCCTTATCAGCTTAAAGAAAGGAAGAGGATAAAACGAGCAGGTAATCTGAGAGTGAAAAATAGTCGGGACAAGTATTCCATTTTGAAGCCTTACAGATAAAATTATCAAGAAACTGTTGGGAGTGGTTGAGGAGGGTGTTGCTGAGAGGGATTTGCATTCTCATCACCATTCTAGGAACAGTTGATCAGGACGACAGGCCAGACTCTTGTTTGTACAGCAGCATTGGCAGTGTCATGCATTTAATCAAACCAGAAACCTCACATTGTGACACTGTTTTTAAGTAAATATAAATTCTGCACCCCCGACACGCAAAATCAAATCAGTTTCCCTTTAATTCTGCTTCTTTCATCTACTTCCGAGATGGTTTGATTGCTATTGGTTTTAATCAGCAACATTTCAGAAAAAGGATGACTTTAACCTGCGGTATTCAGAACTAATAAATTCTCCTTTTTACCATAGAGAATTAAAAAAATGTAACCATGAACCATCAATTAGAGAAGTGAAGCTTTGATACACTAGAAATGTAGCACAAGATGTATTTAATGAAATACCTTTGCGAGAATTAATGGTTTTAATACCACCAGATCTAATCAAATTGGAAGTAATTTCTCACATCGAGAGGATGTCTCAAAGCATTTCACAGGTTTTACTGCAAGGGAATGACTGATTTTGTACACAAATGCACTAGTCAATTTGTATAAACAATGTCCCACAAACAGCCATGAAGTAAATCTACACCTACCACCGATTTTATTCTTGTCTTTATTATCATGACCTTTTCCAAAATAACATCATCAGTCTGCAGCAGAGGTAGACAATTTATATATAGCAAGATCTTGTCCAGGGACAGTATAATCTGGTACCTCATGCAGCCTGAGATTCCCTTTCTTAGCTCAACACATCTTCAGTAAAAGCCAAAGATTGGCCACAGCTTCCCAAAGACCAATAGCAATCTGATATTTAGATTTCTGGGAAAGCATGAACATTTGTAAGCAGTTGGGTGGGGCTTGTACTATGGCAAGGCACTACATTTGTAATGTAAATGATAAGCTAAGGTTAACATTGTAATTTCAAAAATTGATGTTCGACTTCTTTAGTATTTCTTCTTCCAAATATTGAACCAAATTTAAAGCACAATACTGCCCTTAGTCCTTGCCTGCTGCTCATTTGTGCCAGGAGAGACTTGGAACTCATAGGATCTGCAACATGAATTAACCTTCCTGTGTATTCTAGAAATAGGCTTTTAAAAGCTAATTTACTGCAATTTTTCCAACTAATTATCGCATTAAATACGAGGGAACCTGATTCACAATGAAAAGGTTGAGGTGAAACGCTTTGTGAATTTCAGATATTTTGATAAGATCTGTAAGCAATATGTACATACATGTGAATTAAGTGGTATGAATAGAACAAAGAAATGTCTTGTTTTGTGACGAGTGTTAACCATTTATATTTTGTTTGCTCTTCACAGGCGGTTTCATAAGTTTCAACGGTTCTTGGCGGGTCCAAGGCATCTTGGCAATGTCTCGCTCCCTGGGAGATTACCCTCTCAAGAACCTCAACGTGGTCATATCTGACCCTGACATCCTGTCCTTTGACCTGGATAAGCTGCAGCCCCAGTTCATGATCTTGGCTTCAGACGGCCTGTGGGATGCTTTCAGCAATGAAGAAGCTGTGAGATTCATCAAAGAGCGTCTCGACGAGCCTCACTTTGGTGCAAAAAGCATCGTCCTGCAGTCGTTCTACAGAGGATGTCCTGACAACATAACTGTAATGGTGGTGAAATTCAGAAACAGCAGCAAGACTGAAGACCAGTGAATCGTGTTTCAAGACAAGACGAGAAGACAGGTTCTTCAGATTATGCTGTGCAAATTTTTAGCAACGTGTGTGATAGTAATAGTTATGGTCATTGATATTCACATCCAAACAGTCAGTGTAGATGGCTTGTAGAAACAATTAAACTGATTACTGTAGCTGCACATTCATTTTAACAGGCTGAGGTCAAAATGTCATCCTTTTTATCTGCAATTGTTTTCAATTGTCTTATAATATTTCTATTATATATAATATACTTATTGTGTTAACAAAAGTGCAAATTTTATGTTATAATGTGCCACTAATTGTGATTACCTTTAGTTTAAAATGAACCAATTTAAGCAATAATGCAAAAAAAAAACATTCAGGAACCCTGTTGCTGTTTTAGTGATCTGTTTTATCAACTGAGCCATCATTGGCACTGAGGAATTGTGGATTGAAAAGCTGAATAAATCTAAACAGCCCACACGAAAGGGGAGGCAATTTCACTCACTCCATGTGGAAGCTAGAATTAAATAGAGCTGCAGCTTTGGCCTTATATTACTTCCAAGTATTAAACGTGCTTTGAAACTTGCAAGAACAGGATGCAGATACGATTTCCAATATTTTCACAATGTTTATCATTGCAAAAAACCTGTATTAAATGACATAATGGAGCCCTTATCCAATCACCGAGATTTTCTTATGGAAATTGTCATCTTGGGAAGGTGGATGAATAGAAAGACCTGATCGAATAAAACTCAATTAAGAGAATATAAAGGGACATTATAAATGGCCTCAGTGGAGGGTTTCCCAGTCCTGATTGCTGAACAGTGCCCCTTGGAGGACAGTATAAATTTGTTGTTGGCTGAGGACAAGACTTGGATTTAGCCTCGACTTTCCACTGTCCTCTGACACCATACCCCGGCAAGCAGTCAGAGCCTTCAGGAGGGCTGAAGGATAAAAGGACACTGGGGATAAAAGAATAGTTCAACAGAATATATTTTTACTAATAGGGGAAAGAACTTAGAATTTGAAAGTTATTACGCTGCTAAGATAGCAATATTCCTATGGTCATCATATGATTATTTGAATTATATTTAACGTTCAGTAATGTAAATTATCTTGGTAGCACTTAGAGTAAGTACAAACAGTATTTCATACGCAGTCATTATTATAATTCCAAATACAAATATATAAAGGAGGTCCCAATTCGTGAACCTTGTATCAATAAAACTTAACATTAGCTGATATACACCTACAGACTTTGAAAGATAGCCTCAGTAAAATTTCCTCCACCTGAGCCCTATCTAAAATGGATGTATTGCAACTGTACTTGTTTAGCTTTCCCCACAGAAAAATTAATTCAGATTAACTGGGGGGAGTGGGGAAGAATCTAAAAATGTACAACGAAGCAATATGGAGCCCTTGGTGCAGTGTTCTAAACTTGTTTGAATTGGAGCAAATTGCATGGCTGATTTTTCAGCATCTGCTAAATAATTACCACTTTTTTCATATCTGATAATAATCCTCACAAAAACAAGAGTTGGAAATCTTTTTTAAATAACAAATTGTTAGTCCATGCTTTATACAGATTTAGTCACATTATATGCCTCGCTAACTTTTTTTTCTCAGCTAAGTAACTCTCTCTCAACACTTACTGTAAACATGCTTTACACATCTCAGTGACGTGACGGGATTTGGGCTTCACACAAATTTGTGCCAAATGAAAATGAGTGGATACAGGTTGTTCTTTTGACCTGATGGATATCACTGTCATCTGTGATTCCCTCATAATATTTAAATGTCTTAATTGAAAACGTTCCGATTTCTAATATTAAAATGGAATTGAAAGTGGATAAGGAAACACTGGATGATGCAAAGAATAAGTTCAACAATAGTAAAAATATATCAGTCTGCTTTCATGACTGAAACTTAACATCCCAATTCCCAAGCTTTCTGAACAGAAGCGCAGTTCAGGCATCAATGTACTTTGATCAGTTGGTTCCAGCTTCATCCATTCTGTTGCCTTATTATTAATTGTATTTTATTTCACGTTCAATGCTTTATTTGTGTTGAATCCAATAGATTGCAGAGATGGAGCTTAGGATAAGTATAGAATGAAATACACAACAATTTCTTGTTTTAGGTTCTGACAACCTGCATGGTTCTACATTTGTCTCTAGGAGACAGTACAGACTGCTAGAAACGAATCTTTAATTGTTTTGGATGTAAATAAACCATACTGTCTTAGTTATTTACTGGGCAACAAAGCGCCATCCTTTGTATGCGTAGATGTACAGTACACAATTCCAGGACATTAATTATATTACTAAAGATCGTAGTTACATAGAACTAGTGAAAGGATTATACATATGTACTAACTATATGTAAATCACTGTGATGATGAACATCAGAAACTGATAAAACTACTGAAAACGTGGGCAAGCAGTTGTGTTGTGCAAAAAATAAAGATTGAAATTTGTAATTGTGACTTGAATGGTTTTCATGTAATAGCAGATATCTAAGGAATTAAGATTCAGGAGAATAGGTGCAATTAAATCAGCCCACACATTGCAATTGCTGCAACTTTTTCTCACAATACTTTGTTACATTCAGTATAAATCTGAATTTACATCGTATACCCTCAGGAAATCGAAGATGCAAATATGTACAGTAAAATTCACATAAGTCGTACAGTCAGGACCAACAATTTAATATGACTTAACGCGAAGTCCGAGTTGCATGAGTACAAAATCCGATTTAAATCAATCCAATTTTATAATCTGCATTGCACATGCGGAATTCGATGCAGCCAGTAAGTGCGCATGCGACGACGGGTCAAGACCACGTTTCCCGCGAATCAATGCAGCCGGTAAACACAGGAGTGATGGGAGGATAGGGGTCTTCATGTAAAGGGCTTTAACAAATCAACGTGAGCCGACCACCCCCAAACTGCTGAGCAACAAGTCAGTGTAGGCTGGCGGCTTCCCTCTAGCTGCTTCCCCCGTTTACCGCAAATCCACCTCGATACTCGATCCTGGACTTCATAAATGGGGCGTCTGAGGAAACCCGCTCTGCTGCAATGCCCAGGAGCTCAGAGCCACGAAAGAAAACTCTTCGAACAACGACGCCGAGTGTGACAGTATGAATTGACTTTCCTCCTCAGCACACACTTTCCCCGGACGTCTTGTCAATTTAAATCATGTACACCACGCGCTGAACACGTGCGCAGCCGACCCACTTGCCAGCTAACTGGCTAACTCAAGCTAAAATGTCCCGACTTTCGGCCGCTTCTACTGCCTTTCTGCTTGACGATATATCTCAAGGGAACCTTGACCCGGACACTGGCAACTCAATGACGTGATGGATCCAAGCACCATCAGCATCAACTATATATATCAACTAAGCATCAACTATTATTATTATTATTATTATTATTATTAAATTGGTTTGATGTTGCCATCTAGTGGCTGAAAGGAAAAATACCTGCGGTGCATATAAATACTGCAATAAAAATATTAATACTATGTTCTAGTGGTCACTTCTGAGTTTAATCCAAAGTTATAAAATTAGAGACAGAAACGTTTTATTGGCGCAATACTATTGGAAGAAGGTAAAATGAAATGAATGAAACTGAGCTGTGAAAGTTAACTGACACAAATATTTCCATGTCAACACTTCGGAAATCTTGCTGCAGGCATTGAGATTTCCCTTTGCGTCACATCCTAGGAATGTGGGGTTTTCCTGGAAGGCATATATTACTCACAGTGTTGGACACCAGCCTGAAAAATAACAATTGCATTCTTTTATCAGGACTGCAAGAAGATCCCTGTGAAGTGCTTTTGAGACATTTAAGTGTTACAATCGCTGTAATCAAATGCAAGGATTATTATTATTATTATTATCCACTGAGAAAAGTGTATCATACCATAAATACCGCAAATACAGTGCTCATTTTTTTTGTTCAAATTCGTGCGCACTCCCCAGACAAGAAGCTATCCTATTGCTGTGGTAACAATTCAAATTCTGAACAGGATGTTCAAGGTACTTTAAGGCATTATCCTTCACATTTCTGTCACCTGACTGTATCGGGGAGTGCACAGACATCAGATTGCATTGAATTGACATCTACGAATCATCATTCATATATATTTGATTATTTGTACGGCAGCTGTGTGGAGACTTTCTGAATCAATGAGGAGAATTGTGCCTTTAAGATCTGGAGATTAGATCTGTTTATCTGGAGCAGTTGATGACTGCAAACAAAAGGAAATCAACAGTCCGTAAACACAGCTTGGACCTAAGTTTGATGCTCGTCTAGAAAAGGATTGTTTAAATTTTCTATTAATTAAGGAGGTACATTTGAGAAAAATATAATCATCCATGACTGAGGACAACTTGATTATTTGTAACTGATGGAAATGATGTCTCCACAGTATTCGAGAACGGAAAACACCACAATGAAAACACAGCTAATCTTAAGGCACACGAGAGAAAAATTCTGGTCAAACATTTGTACAGTTAATGATGGAATTTGGAGAGTAAAATACCGCAACCTGTACTAAAAATCCAAGTGAAATTCCATAGGTATTGTTTCCTGTGTATCAAGTACTTGCAGTGCATTTTGTAATTAGTCTAACCTGCTTATGTAAATTTGGAACAATGAATATATTTCCTTACTATGTTATTTCATCAATGATATCTTCAAAGTTATAAGGGTGTGTATTTTTTCAGTTGTGGAAATATTGTTTTTGCAATGAATCTAGTTTGTATATATCAATTAGCGCTAACAAGCAGAACAAATTTACATATTTTGTCCTCGCATAACAAATGAGCTTTCAAATTAAATAATGGCACCGTAATACCCATAAATTTCTGTTTATGGGATAAATCTACTAATTGGTGAACACAGGCCGATCAACTCTAATAAATATATATCAACGTAATAAACTTACCCTCCAAATTCATGATGAATTCATATGCTCATCAGACTGAGGGATATCAGTGCTGGAGAATGAATCAGTCTCTTCCTCTGGGAACCGAACTTTAGTCCCAACCATTCCTCGGTGAGGTGTAACAACAACAACAACAAGATTACATTTGTACAGTGCCTTTCACGTCGGGAGGACGTCCCAAGTCGCTGGACAGTGTACAGCATTTCAGACCTGAGGTCGGGAGGGGGGGGGAGAAGGGAGGGGAGGGGAAGGGGGGTGGCTGATAGCATGGTCAAAGAGGAGGGTCTTGAGACAGAAATTTCTTCCGGTGTCCTGACCAACAATCACGCAGATAACCATTCACATTATGGCTGTGTGCAAATTGGCTGCTTCATCTACCTAAATATACACAGTCACAACACTATACAACTCTTGTGATCTGTTTTGAGACATTCTTAACGTTATAGGCACGAAACCAAATGTAAAGATTATCAGCAGTCTTAGAAATTTGTACAACCAGCCAAGAAGCATATACCGAAGATGCCCATTGATTGCACAGGGAGAAGGAGAATTTGGCCATTAATTACCAATATTAACATTTATCTAATTTGTCTGGAAATACTTTAATTTATTTGAGCTAACGGCACCAATGTCAACCGTATGCACTGCAACTAACTTTCACCACTAACAATAAAGAATCAAAAAAACCTTATCATTGTCAGCATCATAAGACAACTTTCTATTTTCACATTTATCGAAACTACAAATAACTGCGGAGGTGAACAGATTGTGTCATCTTCAATTTCATCAAAATAAAGATAAACTCTCCGTTTCAGTTCAGGCATCCAGAGGTCTTTTCAAACCCAAAGCTACTGTGGCTTCCCACTGCCTTGTTGTCAGAAGGCATCGCAGTTCTGGGGAAATGCAAAACATGACAAATACACGTCAGTAGTCAGTGAAGCACACGGACCCAGCTGCTCCAGTGACCCACATAAAGACCTGAGCATCCTGTGACCTTGCAGTCGATCTACGAATGGAAATGCATTTCGACAAAGCTGGGATGAAAGAAAGATGCAGACAAAGGCAGACACTCTGCACTAAAAAGCAAAAAAAATCCCCAAATAAAATAAGCGCAGAATTCAATTCCCAGCTCTAAAAAAAGACACACATCGTATCATACAGAAACGTTGCATCATGTAATTGCACTCGTCTCTCAATCATTTGCTTACAAAACAACATATCTTTATTGTGTTTCTTTTCCTGCGAGATGGCACCGATAACATTGGCAGAAAGCCAAATCATTTAGGTCAAACTGAAAACACATAAATGGCTCATCAGATTGCATTGGGTTGGTCAAATGTGAATGAATTGTATTAGTCTCACTGATAATTCAATTGTTACTGATTCTGCGATTACTGCCTAAAAAAACTATTATCAGTTATTTCTTCTTCAAAATTACTCCTATTTTTCTCCCTCTCTTTAAAATGCTATGTCAAGCATAATTACCCTGTCAAGACATCAGGCAGGCCATCTGCTTCTAGCTTTTTGCAAGTGCTACTGTGTAATTGGCTGCAAGGAGTCACACAAAGAGTGTTTTTTATACTGATTTATAGAGATATGTAATTTTCTTTGTACTCATCAGACTATGTGAGCAATGAGGATGCAACACCCTATGTCAGTATCAAAAGCTTACAGTTCAAAGCCACACAGCAAAGCATTAAACAGCTATCATTTTGGTCATCCCAAGTCACATTTAGTGCCAATTTGTGGACAGTTCAGTGCTGCAGATTATTCCCACAAGGAACTGGATTGGTCACTTCAAACTCATTTTACATAAAACACCTACAGTCGGCATAGATATAAAACATTGATCCCATCAATCTGGTCTACATTCAATGTGGGTTAAGAGGAGGGAACAAAATAGTATGTTTCTCCAAGGCTGCTTTTCCTGTTTTAGACTTTATTTTGTTTGAAAAATAATTAATTCTTCGAAATAAATTCTCGTAAAACTCTTTAGCAGGGTGAGGGCAGATAAACTAGCAATATTACTTTACATTTTTGCGGTTGTCCTTGAAGAGATGAAAATAAAATTGCTAATGGTTGTCTGGCACTGATAATACCTGATAGGTGAACAGAGTTCAAAAAATACCTCTAGTCCAGACACGTAAGAGGAAGTGCCATGGAAACAGAGCTCATCCTATGGACTTAATAACACTTTTTTTAGTGACCTTTTGTGCCCTTAAAAGTGAGGCATATCAGTGCGAGGGCAAAGAACACAGTGACGTTTTATACCCTAACCTTTTGGGATGCAGGAATATATGCTGACATATTCCTTAATTAAACAGGGAGGGTGATCCATCATGAGTCACTGTTTTCAGAAGAGGAAGGAGGTTGGGGTGGGTGGGGGAAGGAAATGTTGTTCCTTTCGAGACACGTTCACTGTTCATGTAGGAAAAGGACAAACTCATTTACAATCCTATTAGGGTGTTAACGATTTGCAACCATTTTGCAATAGACTTCATGACATTTATATAAAGCGGAGTGTATAATAAAAGGATTGATTATGCCATCACATTGCCATTGGTGAATGCTGCTGCGAATAAGTTCTATTATAGTTTAATTAGAAAATATGGTCATAGGGGCCACTTAAGTATGTACTCACCTATCAATGTGCAACTGCAGCAGGGGAACCTTGATGATTTGCTTAATTTCTTATTCCAACTTGCTCATGTTATGGATTAGCATCACTTAGATCTGTGTTCACTATCTACCGATACAAACATAAGTGCAAAACTGCAAGCACCTTATCACATCCAGAAGTGAGCGAATGTACCTCTTAAAATAGATTAGACAGTTCTGAGTGATGGGTGTTTGACAAAATAGCAATCTTCTATAAACTTCTATAAATAATAAAAAATAGTAATAATCCTTGCATATGATATAGCGCTTTTCATGTCTTCGAGACGTCTCAAAGCGCTTCACAGAATATACTGTAAAGTGAATTGACTGTATATTTTGTGGGTGAAACGCAGTAGATGATTGCGCACAGCAGTGTCCCCACAAACAGTTGTGGATTGAGCGACCAAATTATTATTGTTTTTTTCTTGAGGGATTATTTTTTATCACTCGTGTGCAATAAGGAAACTTGTCCAAGGTTTCGGGCTGCCGGGAATTGAACCCAAATCACTCGCTTGCGAGTGCTCTAACCACTGAGCTACAAGACTACCTATAGGATAGGATGTTTGTTGCATCTTTTTCCCTCAATGCAGGCTTCTAGGTAGTACTTTACACAGGTATTGATCATTAAAGGATTTTAATAGACACTTCTTTCCTTTAAGTGCATTAGACCGATTTATTATCAAAAAAATTAGAAAGCAAAATACAATTTGCAATAAAAGCAGAATCCCTTTGATCATAACAGTTTCCTTGGGAATGGCGTATGTAGTGTCAACGTGTACTGATTGTCACATCTAACAGTGATAGTTGTTGCAACAAAGTCCAAAGACCATCGAAGGGTGTCAAATATCCACAAACTCAATTTATCTAATTTATTAGATGTGGAGTCTTGTAGCTGTGGAGTCCTGTAGCTCAGTGGTTAGAGCACTCGCTTTGCAAGTGAGAGACCTGAGTTCAATTCAAGCAGAGGGCGAAACCTTGGGCAAGTTTCCTTACTCCACACAGAGCCTAATAATAATCCCTCCAAAACCAAAAACAATAATAAAATTGGTCATTTTCAATCCACGACTGTTTGTGGGACATTGCTGTGCGCAATTGGCTGCCGCGTTCGCCCACAAATATACAGTCAATTCACTTTACAGTGTGTTCTGTGAAGCGCTTCGGGACGTCCTCCCGACGTGAAAAGCGCTATATCAAATGCAAGGATTATTATTATTATTATCTTTCAATGCTTTGCTCTGATGGTACATTTGAGCAAAGGAGAAGGTAGGAGCAGTCAGAATCTAATAACATAAGATTGGCTAATATCTCAGTCACATTTCTCTGTATCAAAAAACGTAAATGTCTAGTCAACGCATCCTGTTTTTCCTTTTTACTCCACTCCTCTCCTGAATGTAATGACTTCTATTCACATCAACATGCAATTGTACCTTTGTTTGATCCATGTCATGGTTGGCAGATGATCAGATGGTAGATTCCTGTCATATTACTAGCGGCACGGTTTCCTGAGGAAGGGGATATGAATGGCATCAGCAGAGATCTGCGGGTTTTTGTTATATTCTGTCATGTGCTCCATGATATTGCTCGATTGACAATAGAGGATTTTTGATAAGCATCACTTTACGCTGATTGGCCAGGTCTGGCAAGGATTCCTTACTCAGCTCTCTGTTAAAACAATACAGTAGTTTGAGCAAAGCTCAACCCTGACTGACATTTCTGCAACATAGTGCAATCTAAATTTACATTTATATAGCACCCTTAATGTCGAGAGGACATCCCAAGGTGCTTGACAATCCTGGCTGTGTTACTCATTTTATACCCTGTACCTTCGTCTTAGCAGCAAGGGGTGGGAGCCAAGGGGTGGAGGAGTGGAAAGATGACCAAAGGCACATTCAAAGAGGAACGTCTTGATACTTTATAAGTGATTGTAGAAACTCTTTGTTCGTTTAGAAGCAATTGAAAGAAATAAACAATATTTTTTTTAAAAAATTGTGTGGATAAAGACTTAAATGAAATAATTTACGTTTCGCGCTGCTTATTTTATGCACTTCCCTTTCTCTCAAAGACGTGATAAGGCACTATATCAAATGGAAAGATTATTAATATTATTATATTCATGGATAAATATCACAAGGTGACATATCCAGTACCCATAGTTAAAGTCGCTGGAAATCGGTGCCTTTATTGAACTTTTAGGGTCTTCAGTTTGCTACGTTGGGATTTTAGTTGTTTTATTCATTTGATAAAAAACCCTGATGTTGACTCACAGTGAGACTGGTGCCGTTTATTTTCTTACACAGGATGTATGACTCTTTACTTTAACAGGCAGGGCTTCTCTTCAAACACGCATGGTTATTTGTAAAGCATCTGTTGCAACAATTGATTGGTGCCACTTGGTGGCTTGATACGAGATAGGAAGGTCAATTCGCTAATTGTTTTATGGAATACAACGTGGAAACATGGCCCTGTTTAAATCAAGGAGCTGCTCCGCTCCTCAAGCCTTTCAAACTGTATTTCGTGTCACACCAAAAAAATGACAAAAGATGCAATAAGGGACTGCGGCCCAGCCCCCAAAGTATATGTTGCACGGTATATTCTGCTCTATGTGCAAGAGGCCTTACAAATGTTTCAATCTGTTTAAAAAATATAGCACAAGCAAAATTGTGGACTTTGGCAATTGATTTAACTATATTATATAAGCACTCCGAGACGCTGCCTCGGGGGAAGGGTGCGATATTAGTGCAAGTTGTTGTTGTCATTTGCATTTGGTAAAAATTGAAGTCGTGTGCACTTGGTGGAAATTCAGTACTTTTAAAAAGCTCTCTATATATAGTGAACGGCGAGTAATATTCTTGGCTCACAATGTTAATCAAACCACTGATGGGCAGGTTATTCAAGAAGTTTGTTTCAATGTGGTTCAGTGTGTTCCAGTGACTGTCTGCACAGAAAGAGTAAATGGACACCTTCCAGTAAATAATTATCCTTGCAATTTACAGAGCGTTTTTCATGTCTCAAAGGGTTTCACAGGATTTTCTGTGAAGTGTACCGACTGGAGTCAAACCTGTTCAAACAACCACCTCCATTCAGCAACCATCCTGGAACAGCGCAGATAGATTTTTGAATAATCACCCACTTCCATGCAGCAATCACCCATCTAACACAACCTGTAGCCACTCTTTTGTTAGTCATTTTACACCCTGTGCCTTTGTTTTCAAGGACCAAGTCCTTGAGAAACGGTCAGAAAATAGCGAGCGCCCATCAGAAAAGGATTAGGGACTTCTTTGGCGAACAGTAATGACATGTGATTGTAATTTAATTATTTGTAATTATTGGTCATCTTTTTAATTAACTAATTTGTTAAATTATTTAAATCAACTTAATTTATGGGTTCGAACGGATGCACACTGTATTTTTCCAATTCTAATAGAATTTCTAAGTGTATGGAAAAATACCGTGCCTATCAATTGGGAATAAGACATGATAAGGTGCTATATCAAATGCAAGGATTATTATTAAACCCTTACTCAAGAGTCCACCTTTATACAAAGATCACTTTATATAAACTAATATTTGTGAGAGGGACGAAAGAATCAGCACGAGTATCCTTTTGAGACAAAAAAAATACTTGAGACATACCTGCATTGTAATATAATCTTAATGTTGCTGTGTAATGAATGACCACTCAATCTAAGCCCTGAACACAAGGCAATTCACTGGGAGCGACAGCTCTCAGTTACTCACCAGTGTACTTTCACCTCCTCTTGCTCACGTGGACACCCACATTGTACCAGCACACCCTCTGCTCAGGTAACACCAGCGCCTTGGTAAAACATCAGCTTATCTTTTTGATAAGGAGACGCTGAATAAATAGCCACTGACTTCTACGTATTGTGTGACAGTAACCTGACGGGTCCGAGTGTAAAGACAGACACGGTTGTGCGTAAATTCACAGAGAACGTTTGCTCAAAATCTGTGGGAAAAACCAAAGTTGAAATAGTGGACCCACAGAGAAACATTCACACCTTGTTGGCTCTGAATAGTTTCCAATGGGTTTGTTAACCTCCAAGGAATCGAAAAGGAAACAAGCACGAGTTATAATGCTGGGTCTGAACGCAGCAGGGAAATCCACTCTGTTGTACAAATTGAAGTTCGGTGAGACTGAACATTTCACTGTGCCCACCATAGGCTTCAACGTGGAGATGCTGGAGGCTGATAAACAGATCTCTCTCACCGTCTGGGACGTGGGAGGGCAGAGGAAGCTGCGGCAGTTTTGGCCCCATTACTTCCAGAATACGGATGGGATTGTGTACGTTGTGGACAGTGCGGATAAAGCACACCTGGAAGAGTCAAAGAAGGAATTTGAGAGCTTGCTGAAACACGAGCATCTGAAGGGAGTTCCAGTAGTGGTACTCGCTAATAAACAAGATCTCCCCAATGCCATGACCGCAGACGAGGTGACCAGACGTTTGCGTTTGAAGAGATGCTGCTCGGATCGAGACTGGTATGTACAGCCGTGCTGTGCTAAAACGGGCCAAGGGCTCTCCGCAGCCATGAAGACCATCATCCTACACGTCAAAAGAAAGGTGAACTATAAAGATGAAGGCGCACATCCCGAGTTCGAAGAAGACAGGTTGTGAAACAAAGTCAGACAAAAAAAAAGACCTGTAACTTGTCCACCAACTCATCACTATTCACAAATGGGCAATGCTGTGCTGTGACCCAGTTCAAGATTCTTGCAATGGAACTAATCAAAAGATTAGGACAACTTATTTATTTATACTTCTGTTTACATCGTTACTTATATTGTATTATGCAAACCGAGATGTCAACTTTGAATAATCCTTTCAAGGAGTAAAATATTCCAGTCTAAAATGTAACCCGGTAAGAAGCTTCAATTTAATGCTCTGGTAAGCGTGCCTATGCATGTATGTTAAAAAGGTTAAATTAATCTATTGATAGTTTTATAGAGTTCGCAACTTAGATCATAAAGAAGTTTTGGGGGGGTGTTGTATTGTACATCTATATATTATATATGTATATAATAGGATATATGTGGATATTGCATTGTATCCTTTCACAGAAAAAATAAAGTCTGGAAGAACCTCACAAAATAGTAATTATAAATTAAGGGAATAACATTATAGTCGGCAAACTGTGTACTAAACTGTGCAAATTAATTTCTATGAGCAACGTCCCAAAAATAACAGCAATGTGGAGTTAATTTGATTGTTTTTCGTGGATATTTGCCAGCACTCTCCGGCAAAACTCCCCATTTTATTTTTGGAAACAGCAAAGGTGGATCCCTTAATGTTCATCTTGATAAGATAAACTGACCCTGGGTTCAACTACAATTGAAAATGGGATGATGAATAAATAATACTTGTATTTAATGAAGGTACATTAGAGTTTGCTGAGGTACACTTGCATGTCTCATTCTGCTCGCACAGAGACCAGCATCAACAACTTACATTTATATAGAACCCTTCATACGAGGTAGCATCTTGGAGCGCTTAATAGTAACGAAGTAATGAAGCCTGACAGTGAGCCGGGGAACGGAGGAGATGACCATAAACACTTTCGTACAGGAAGGTCTCCAGCTGTGAAAAACGGGAAGGAGACGCAAAAGGAGGGATTGAGCGAGGGGGTTCCAAAGTTTCAGGGTGTAGAGGTTGAAAGAATGGCTGCCAATAGTAGAGTGGAGGGAACGAGGGAGAAGCAGGAGGCTGGAGCCAGCCGAGCGGAGGTGGCCGGTGGCAGAGTGGGGGTAAGCAGGTTGGAGAGGTAGGGAGGTGCTAGGGCGAGAAGGGATTTGTAAATGAGAGTGAGGATTGTGAAGTTGATCTCATTTAAACCACTTGTCTGCCCTTTAATAGGATTCCAAACCTTGGAAATTATGGTGTCAGACAAAACTTCTGGTGATTGCTTGTAGCAAGGATAATCATTAAAAAACATACAATTACTTCAGAAAATTATACAGTCCTCTTCAAATCATTTGCTAGAAGCAAGAGTTAACAATCTCCCACGAAATGCAAAAGATGGACTTGCTTTCCATCAGATGAAAAAGACAAAAAATGTCAGCAAATTGAGGCCTACTACCAAGAATGATGGTAAAGACTGCAGGTTCCAAGTTTTTCAAAGGCTTTTATACAGCATTTTGAGTTGCAGGGGACCTTGGGACCTGTAGTTTTCATTTCCATTACTTTCTATTTCCAAATATGCCTTGCAACATTAATCAATGTGTAATATTAAGAGTATATTTTTATTGCTAAAATACATTTGAAATAATTTAAAATGCACAGGTGTAATCCTGAGAAATGTCCAATAAATCATCCAATGGAAAAAAATTAAAAATTAAGTTACAATACATTGGTAATATTATTCGGTAAGCTTGCATGACAATACGGCAATTTTCATCAAAATTCTATGGAATATTTTTGCTCAGACGATAAGAATAGCAGCTAATTATGTGTGCAGCTTTTATAATGTTAAACATGCTAGAATTCAGGGTACAAATTTACATTTATATAGCACCTTTCACATTGGGAGGACGTCCCAAAGTGCTCAACACTGCTGGCCGGGCACCCAAGCTGGAGTCGGAGCCGAGCGGTGAGAGGGGGAAAGATGACCAAAAGCATGTTTAAAAAGATTTTAACATGGAACTAATATAGTAATAGCTGGAATGTTCTCATTGTTGCACATATCACTTGTCCACCGGCAGTGTTTAAAAAAGTCTCAGAACCTTGGCAACAAAGTGGAGTAGTGCAGTCTACTTTCAGCCCTGGAAACTAGGTTTGAATCCAGGCCAGTCTCATGAATGGAAGTTTGTTCTTGCTGCAACTGTAGGGAAAATGAGCTTGGCCAAATAAAATCTAAAAAGAATGACATTTGTGGGAGTTCGAATTTCTATTGCTGCTTTTGTGGGCATCAAATAGTTTGGAATTTTCTTCCCCTTCCCAAATCTGCAGCGAATCCGGAATATGCTAAACAGTAAATCTCCGCGAGTTATCTCGTCCACACAAAGGTAACAAACTTTGTGGAGTCCTGTAGCTCAGTGGTTAGAGCACTCGACTCGCAAGCGAGAGACCTGGGTTCGATAGGGCGAAACCTTGGTACAAATTTTCTTACTCTACATACCTGGTAATAATTTGGTGCGCAATTGGCTGCTGAGTTTCGTCCACAAAAACACAAGTCGATTCACTTTTCGGTATATTCTGTGAAGCACTTTGAGACGTCTAGAAGACGTGAAAAGCGCTATATCAAATGCAAGGATTATTATTATTATTAAACATGTCACGAGACATCTTTTTAAAATGCTAATGGAATCCACTTGCAATTTACCAGGGTTCTGTTACAAGTGACAGAAGGAGCATGCTTCTGTTCCACGAGACTGAAGTTCATTTAAACTTGGGTCCCTGAAGTGTGCTAACTCAAGCGTCCCACACAATACAGCTAAGTAGATTTTTCTAACTGACCGTTGATCTTTGAATTGGAAAATACAGTATAGATCGCTGCACCAGTCCAGGCAAATCAAAACCTGGTTTCCAGCGGCTACTGAGCAGTGATATCCACGGAGCAGCCAGAAGTGAAGAAACATTCAATAAAGAAACACGCATTTGGTTGGCAATCACTGGTAAAGATGAATATAGTGTAGTGTCATCGAGCTACGAATTGCATTTGGGAACAGAGGTATTCAATTTATGAGATACTTGCAGGGAAATAAAACATTTTTTGTTGGGTTATCTTATTTAAAGTACTGCCTATCTTCCTACAAACAAAAGTCTTGAAAATGAAACTTTGTGACTTCGGAGCGTTTTGGGCTAAGAAAGACGTGGAACGCAACCTGAACCTGGCACTAACGAAAAAAAAAAAAAAATGTTTTAAACAAAAAAAAAGAGAATGTTCCCGTCTCTTCCGGCTGAGAACGTCGCTTGGGAATCCCGGTGCTGGGGCTCGGGGTTTATTACTGGTTTACTTTGGTGCCGCGATTTATCCTCGCGGTCGATAACGACGCTTCTCAAGCGGGGTTCAGTCCTGCAGCGCGGCGTTTGAGGAGCGCTCCCCGCACAGCCCGGAGGTCCGGGGATCGATGGCTCCCGGGATCGATGGCTCCCGGGGATCGATGGCTCCCGGGGATCGAAGGCTCCCGGGGATCGATGGCTCCCGGGGATCGATGGCTCCCGGGGATCGATGGCTCCCGGGGATCGAAGGCTCCCGGGGATCGATGGCTCCGATCAATGGCTCCGGGGGTTCGATGGCTCCCGGGGATCGATGGCTCCCGGGGATCGAGGCTCCCGGGGATCGATGGCTCCCGGGGATCGATGGCTCCCGGGGATCGATGGCTCCCGGGGATCGATGGCTCCCGGGGATCGATGGCTCCCGGGGATCGATGGCTCCGGGATCGAGGCTCCCGGGGATCGATGGCTCCCGGGGATCGAAGGCTCCCGGGGATCGATGGCTCCCGGGGATCGATGGCTCCCGGGGATCGAAGGCTCCCGGGGATCGATGGCTCCCGGGGATCGAAGGCTCCCGGGGATCGATGGCTCCCGGGGATCGAAGGCTCCCGGGGATCGATGGCTCCCGGGGATCGAAGGCTCCCGGGGATCGATGGCTCCCGGGGATCGATGGCTCCCGGGGATCGAAGGCTCCCGGGGATCGATGGCTCCCGGGGATCGATGGCTCCCGGGGATCGATGGCTCCCGGGCCGGACGACACGTCGGGGCGAGCTTCCTTACTTGTACCCGGCGGTGAGTAAGGAGCCCAGTCGGTGGATCGCTTGTCCGGGAGGTGGGGGCGGTGGTGGGTAATAATCACTTCAAAAATATGAGTGCGGTCACTTCTACCCACGACCGTTTGTGTGTGTGTGTGTGTGTGTGTGTGCGTATGGGGGGACGACGACGACGACGACGCCACTACCGCGCGCGTAATCGGCTGCCGCGAAGCGCTCCGATAAAGTACGGCGCTACATCAAACGCAAGGATTATCATCATTATAATAACAACAACGGCGGCGGCGGCGGCGGCGCCAGCAGTAGCCGCCACCAAACGGCCGCTTCTGGTTCCAAAGATGGCGCCGGGGGGGTGGTGGGCGGTTGCTAGGAGGCGGGAGGGAGGGAGGAGGGAGGGAGCGCCCCCCGGGAGGTGGAGGAGGAAACCCCGTCCCTTCCTATCAGAGGCCGCGATGGCGCGTGGTGCGCAGCCGTACCAGGAGCCGCTGGCCAATAGGCGCGCTGTTTACTGGCACCCGGGCCCCTCCCCCTCTCCTCTCCCGCTCCCCACCCCCCCTCTCCCTCACTGAGTTGTGGCGAGAGCGAGGCTGAAGCGTGTGTTTTTTTTTCCTTTACCGGCATTTTGCCCAAATCGGGCGGGCGGTGAGGAAGGAGGAGGAGAAGAAGGAGGGGGCGGGACGGACCGGACGGGACGAGGTGAAGCAAACCAAACGCCCAAGTGTGTGAGGAGAAGTCGGGGGGGCCCTCCCCGGAGCGAGACGGTGGGGTGGGAGGAGAGAGAGAGAGAGAGAGAGAGAAAGGAGAGAAAAAAATATCGTCCGAGGAAGAGAGAGAGAGAGGGACGGACGGACGACGACGACCACGACACGAGAGGCCTAAGCGGCAGTCGGGAGGGGAGGAGTTGGGGGGAGGGGGAGGGAGGGAGGAGAGCGGGAGCAGAGACGAGCCGAGCCCGTCCCGCGGAGCGCGAACATGGCGGAGAACGACAAACTGGAGAACCAGAGGCTGAAGAATTTCAAGAACAAAGGGCGGGATCTGGAGGTGAGCGGCCGGGCAGCGGCATCGGGTTTTTTTTTCTCCTCTCTTCCCCCCACACCCACCCACACCCACACCCACCCCCCAGCCCGTGTTTTTTTGGCCGCCATGACGATGCCGCCCGCCCGCCCGCCTTGGACCGTCTCTCGGGGAGACGTCAAGTATACCCGAGCCCCGCCGGCTCGAGGAGGAGGAGGAGGAGGAGGAAGAGGAGAGAGAGGCCTTGACTGACTGCGAGGCCCAGAGCCACCAGTCGCTGGAGGCGTGAAGCAGCGGCCGGTGTCCCCCCCCCTTCCCCCCTCCCCCCCACACACCACCTCCCGCGACGCGTTTAAAAGTTCAATCGAAATGTTGTCCCGTTCGTGTCTCTCTCTCTCTCTCTCTTCCCGTTCTCTTCTTTTCCTTTCCTTTCCGAGAGAGAGAGAGAGAGGGAGAGAGAGAGAGAGAGAGAGAGAAAAAAATGGGAAGAACGAGGAAGGCGCCTCTCATCGAAGCCGAACGCCACGAACTTTTATCTCGAATCGCCTACAGCGCTGTGGGTTTCAAGTCGGGCGCCGGATATTTATTTTTATTTTATTTATTTTTTTTTAAAAAAAAACACACACCTCGTCTCGAGGGTTTGAGAACTCGGGGGTTTTAAACTTAATTTTTGTAATCTATATGTATATATATAAAAAAAGAAAAGCCTGGTTACGCATCAAACCTGGGGTGGGGGGGGAGTTGGGGAGGAGGAGGAAGGAGGAAGAAATCAGTTGCGCGTTAAAAGTTAAAAGTTTTACTCGGTATTTTGTGTTTGGGCAACGATTTGTGAAGAAGGGAAAAAGGTGCAAATGACAGAACGAAAACCAGGGACACGGGTCGGGTCGTGATTTGTGAACCCCGCAGAGTGCTCCTCAACAGGAAATTAAGCGTCATGAATTCTAGTGGAGGCTTGATTTGGTTTAAGAGACGTGTTGTGAATTCCACGGCGAGATGTTTTTGTTCACCGTTCCCCCCCCCCCGAGTTTGAGGTGGCCTTTTCTCAAGTCGATGTTCGGGCCGCCACATGGACCGACTGCAGGATGGAAAGTGGAATGGAAATTTTGCTTATTGATGCGCCGAGAATGTGGTAGCGGTTTGCAAAGGCGATGATGTGAGGGGTGGGGAGGGTGAGTTGAAGGACGAGAGTGACGTGCAAGAAGTTTGAGTGTTTCTGATGCCTCGGGTGAAATTAAAGCATTGCAATGCTTCTTTGGAAGACAATGTTTCGGGTGATGTAATGCATTGCAAAATTATTTTAGCTGGCTTGGGGAACTCATTTTGTCGCTGATAAATGCTCCCCCAGAACGTTAAGTGATGATAATTCTGGAGGTTTAACGCTTAAGGCATTTAAACATTTAACGTGCCTTCTTTTTGGCAAATCGTTAATTTTGAGTTGGAAGAATTGTTTAGTTGAGTCGAAAAGCTATGGTTACTCACATGAGCAATGAAACTTCTTCAGGTAGTAGTGTGATGGATGTATTGTTTGGGAGGCGATTAAAATGTGCCTCGGGAGACTTCATGTGCTCTTAAGCTTTAAGTAATAAATAACTATATGCAGTAGTTACATTTTCTTTTCTCCGCCCAGAAAAGTGGTATAGCATTTAACATATAGGTTTCATAACGCGTCATAGGTGCTGTTAGTAGTTTGTTCCTTTGAAATTTTTTGATGTCATTGAATAGAGATGATATCATTGCTAAGTGTGACTGAGAAACCGAGCTGAATTAGCATGCGGTATTAATGCTGAATTATCCCTGAGTTTACTAACGCTATAATGGATCATTCAGCCCATTAAAGTCATTAGCATTCTTATTGTCTATTTTTAAGAAAGGTTTTAACTCCTTAATATAATGCAAATACAAAAACGGGGAAGAAGAAACTATAGTGTACTTGGCAAGTAGGATAGATTACCCCAACATTTGTTGCTGGAGTGAAAGCCCCTATTAAAACTAATATGCCATTTTCTCCCTTCCATTCCAGAGATGCCAGTAGTGCTCCAATACCTTGCCCAAATGACCATTCTTGAATTGCGAGCCTAAACACTGAGTTACAGCAAGCTATTTTGACTAGAAAGTATTGCTGCTAAGTCTTGTCAGTTTCCACCCAAAATTCGTGCACCGACAAGTTCCAGGAAGGTTCGATTTTAGGATATTGTTGGAAGAGTTCATCCTCTTGCATCGTGTCCTTTTCAATTCTAATCTTTTCCCTCTTAATTCATTTATCATGCCTCACTTAGCTCTTACATGTGCTTAAAGCTTCATGTAAGAGCTATTCAGCGTAGGGGAATGATAATTTTAAACAACCTATACATTTCATTTTGTTCATAGTGGCATAATCTTTACCTGTCAGTTTTCATCCTAAAGCAGCTTAGATGCATAATTTCCATGACATGACATTTGTAGGAATGCTATGTTGAATGTTTTAATTGTAAGCTACCAGCTTCTGTACAGGAAGCTGTATGGGCTCCAATATCTAGATGGAGTCAATGCTGATGTTTGTATTTTTTTGCTGAAGGCAGTGAGTAGTACTGAGGACCATAAACCCTTGGGTTTCCTGTGCAGGTCACAAGTCTTTGTCCCTGAGCTTGGCTGGAAAGTGGTAGCAAATCATTTATTGTGGAGTAAAATCGCAGCTGTTGGCAATCCTCCTTACCTGATGTCTGTTGCACTCTCTAGTATTCAATGGAGAGAAATCTTGGTAGGGAATCCTGACTTCTGCGCTTTCTTTCCCTCTCCACTTCACCCACTGCTCCCATGCCCAGGCGTATGAAGGTCAATTCTAGTAACCTAAGTGACTTTACTTTTCTTCACCTCCCACCTCTCTGCCTTCCCTCACCCCTACCTCATCCCTCCCCCATGCTTGGGCCTGACACCTGATTGTTCAGTGCTTTGGGACGTCTTCCTGATGTGAAACATGCTCTAGAAATGTGTTCTTGTTTACTAAAGTGTATATACAAGGAATAAACTTGTCATAATTGTTTAGTCACCATTTTCCTCCCTTAAGCGGCTCAAGCAATAGGTACAAAGAAACCTTTGTAACCTGGATAGTCAAGAAACAATAAACTGTAACTTCTTTCTCTTTAGTCTATGAGACGACAACGAAATGAGGTGGTCGTAGAACTACGAAAGGTAAGAGTTATTCAAAAATGTCGCTTATGTATCAGGAAAAAAAAGTTGAGATCGCTTGCATTGCTCTATCAGAAATGATCTTTTGGAGAAAATTTGCATATTTATGGGAAAACTTAGATTCTTGTAGCCAAACATATCTGCAACATTTGAGTTTTTTTATTAACTTTTAAGTGCAAGATTAAATTAGTTCTAATTGACCAGAGAGCTGTTTATTCCTTTACAGAACAAACGAGTTGAGCACTTGTTCAAGCGAAGAAATGTACCCCAAGAAGATGTTTGTGAAGACTCTGACCTTGATAGTGACATCAGAGTGGTAAATTTTACTAGTACATAAGAGAAATATTTGCTAGAACATTAGGCTTAGAATTAATCATGAGTGTTGACCAACAAATTATTTTATCTTCTGATCATTAGTTGGCCATTTCTCAGCATTTGCTGGATATTCTGATATGGTGCATGCTCTATGATTGTGAACTTGCTAATCTTAGTTTAGAATGCACAATGGCTTTTCAAATCGATGTATTGTGTAATGAGTTTGCTTATACTAAAGAAAATTCAACAAGAAAAAGCTTTTAATCTTTTACACTAACATCAGGCATAATGAAATCAGAACTATTCATAATTTGTATTGTATTAGTTCCCATCAGAAATTAAAATTTACATTTAAAATTTAGAAACTTAGAAATTTACAGAGCAGAAGGAAGCTATTTGACCCATCAAGTCTGCAGCGGTTCACAGAACAAGCCCTGCCCTGCCTTATCCCCAAACTGTTTAAGCCCCTCTTTCATATCCATATCCCCCAAACTGGGTGAAAGAAATCCTAAATTTCTCCTTTTGCTGTTATTGTGGTTGTTTTATAACTATGTCCCTTGGTTACTAACTCCTGTCAACAGAAATAAGTTCTCCCTATTTTCCTGTCGACCTCCCTAGTAATTTTGTACATGTCAATCGGATCCCCCCCCCCTCCCAACCTTCTCTGCTCTATTGAAAGTAGACCTAGCCTCTCCAATCTCTTCTCATAACTTGTAGCCCTTCGTTCGTGGAATCATTCTCGTAAACCTCCTCTGCACCACTTAAGCTCTTAACATCTTATTTTGATTATGTAATTTTCATGCACCATACCCTAACCACAAATTCTTGAATCTCGTTCATGCCTACAAAGCAGTGGTTCTGGTATCATGTGACATGGCACTTTGTAATTCAGTTTGAAACCATTTGTCCTTTTTGCCTGTAAGTTGTAAAATACAATTTTTTGTGCACTTTAGACCAGTAAAGCAGCATGACAGTTTATTGCAGTACCGCACAATATACTTTCACAACTGCCGCCAGTTTGTCTCCATTAGTGTAGATATCAAGCTTGTTGTAACTGTTTACCTCATGTTTAGTATAAACAGAAACATGAGTTGGAGATGTGGTATGTGATCTTGTCCTGCTTTTGACACTGAGCATGGCACTTGGCCTATTGGTTCATCTCACTTAAAAATAAATCATGTCTCAAAGCTTGAACACATGTACTTGTGCACTTGTCTATTAGTATAGTTTGGTACTATACATCCTAAACATGCCCTGAACTTGTGCCATCTTGTCATTGCTTCCTTCGCAAATCTGAAAGTATTATTCCAGTTTACCTTTTCTTTTTAAGTATCTTACTTTGGGAAGTGAGACTAATGCTCTTGTGTTTTTCCTTCCCTAGCAAAATACATCACTAGAAGCAATAGTACAGGTGATCAATTTTTTTTAAAAATCTGTCAAATTGTGGAGCAATTTTGTTTTTTTGCTGTGGTATGACTGTTAGATTAGTAGATTCTAATTATATTATTTGTCTCAAACAGAATGCTTCCAGTGACAACCAAGGACTTCAGCTCAGTGCAGTGCAGGCTGCCAGGTGAGACTCTTTTGAAATTAACCCGAATGGTTCTTATTGAAACAAATGCCTGAGCATTTCCTGTGTAATGTTTGCCAGTTGCTGTTTATCTGGGACATGTATGATTTGAAGCATTGAGTTTGAGCAGCTGAAGCTTTCTAGTTTAAATTTGGTTTTTATCGTCTCGTAACACTATTTCTTTCTTTCAACAGGAAGCTGTTGTCTAGTGATCGCAATCCACCGATAGATGATCTAATAAACTCTGGTATTTTACCTATTCTTGTGCGCTGTCTAGAGCGGGATGACAAGTAAGTAATTCTGATATTCGGGGGAAAAGACTCTTAATTGAAAATTGGATTAAATGTAGACTGGTGCGATTTTAGGAAAATATCTATTTAGTGATTATGGTGAAAAATTCTCATTGATGTATGAAAGTGACCTTTTCATAACATTGTTTTTCTTCTCAGTCCTTCATTACAGTTTGAGGCAGCATGGGCTTTAACAAACATTGCTTCTGGCACTTCAGAACAGACACAAGCTGTGGTTAAATCAAGTGAGTACAAAATATTGTTGTAGTTCTAAGTACTCTAATTTTAAAATCGCTAAGAGATGTTATAAGGCGCTATATCAAATGCAAGGATTATTAGTATTATTATTTTATTACTGTTTCCATTATTGTGCTTTGTCCATCTGGCTAACTACACTACAGTAACAACGTTTCCAAAAATAGTGATTTGTCTGTAACTTAAATTCAAAGTTTATTTTTTAAATAGTTAACCCAAAATAATTGATAAAACAATACATGTAATTGCTATGTGTTTTATCCCAGGTAACATTGCAAAATTATGATCATTGAAAAGTAAGAATTAAAGCAAACCATGTTCTATTTAACAAGAAGCAAGAGTGGTAGCTCTCTGAAAGAAAAGTAACATCTACTTGCCTTCATTACCCCAAATCCACTTTTACTTGAAGAAAATTGTTTGACTTGTTTTTTTTAGATGCTGTCCCACTTTTCCTGAGATTGCTACATTCTCCACATCAGAATGTGTGTGAGCAAGCAGTTTGGGCTTTAGGCAACATCATTGGTAAGTTTTTTTTAAATTTAACAATTCATAATGTCAGAGAATATCAAACAAGTAAGAGTAGTTTTGTTTATAAACCTAATAAGATAAACAAATGTGTTTTTGAAAAAGTAATTGTTTGTTCTGCTTGCCATGCGTGGTTACTTTTTAATATTGATTGGTATTGTACATGAGATTGTATAGGACCTGAAGAGACAATTGTGGTGTATCTAAGTTTGTTTGTTCTACATTATGGAATGTTATCTCTCAATTAATACCAACAGGAGATGGACCTCAGTGCAGAGATTATGTCATAAATCTGGGAGTTGTAAAGCCCTTGCTTTCTTTCATTAGTCCATCTATTCCCATTACTTTTCTTCGAAATGTCACATGGGTAATGGTTAATCTGTGCCGTCACAAGGACCCTCCTCCGCCAATGGAAACTATTCAGGAAGTAAGTAATTTGGCAATTTGTTGCACCTATTCTAAAAGAAAACAAATGCTGTAATTTTCACAAATTGCAATTTGAACCTTTTTTNCTTCCTAGATCCTTCCAGCCTTATGTGTGCTTATTCACCACGTAGATGTTAATGTAAGTAATACACAGCTGAAGTTGCCTCAATATAGTTTTGCATGGATTTCCTCTTAAAATGTTTCTATCTGAATGTAATTCATTGATGGATTTTGGGATTACAAAATGTATAGTGTTAGAGTAAAACTTCATTAATGGTGATTTGATTTACCGTAGAACATTGTTTGTGATTGATAAACAATTCTGAACATGTTGGTTAGCAACATTGGAAGGTGAACAGTATTTAACAGGGGGAGGTGAACATTAGTGATGGTATTCCTTAATTGGCATTGTTGGCAGTTTCTTTTGCTGTAGTTAGCAGATCAAAAGATTAGTAGTTGCAGCAAAATCAGAGTAAGTTTCCTACAAAGAGATGTGTTTAAAGCAGGTGACGAGCAGAGACAGGGTACTTCCACATTGTAGAGGGGGAAAGTCAAAAAGGGAGTTAGTCATCTTCTATGAGCGGTGGTAGGGAAATCCAAAAGTACACTATCTTATTTACATATAGGTTGTAACAGCTGCAGTGTCAAAATAAAATGCACTTGTGTGGTGGTGAGAAAAATCAGGTCAGCAATATAATGCAGTTTCATAAAACAGTATGAGCTTCAGTGTAAGTATTATGTGAATTGATGCACAATTGAATAGGATGTTATGATTAAGCATATGTTCATTAATATTATTCATCCGGCATACTTCCTCCATTAAATTTATATATGCAATAATTGCAAATACCTGTGTATCTGGAATATAGCCTCTCCAACATATTTGTTGATTCCAGGCATGATGTTGCTTAATATGAGTATCCAAATACATATTTATGGCATAATAAACTCTTTTGATGTTCTTTGGTGATGACTTTAGTTTAACTGCTACAGAAATTATCTTTTGTGGATTTTAGATTTTAGTAGATACTGTTTGGGCCCTATCCTACCTAACGGATGCAGGAAATGAACAGATTCAAATGGTGATCGATTCAGGAATTGTTCCTCACTTGGTGCCTCTGCTCAGTCATCAGGAGGTCAAAGTTCAGGTAAGGATCCAATAAATCTAATATTGTTCTTAGGCAGGATGTAAATAAAACTTGATTAGTGGAGATTTTAAATAAAATCGAAAATGCTTCAAATCTCAGTTCTGAAAGTCTTTCACTTTCAGTGTTTGCAGCATTTTAATTTAATAAACTTTTTGTTCAGTACAAAATGTTTCATTTTAGAAACCAATCTAAATAATGATTTGGTATCGACATTGCATTGAAAACTGGCATTTTTAAGTAGTTAATGAATTTAACCTGTGCTCATATAGAATAAAGTGGCCTCTCCATACAACTGCTCACTGTGGGTCTGTCCTCTGTCCCATTTATGTTGCAGCAGAAGGGGGCCAAAGAGTTAAGTAACATAATCTTGACACACAGCAGATTTATGATGTTTCAGCTGGCAATCGTGTGTGTGTGTGTATATAAATATATGTATATATATATATGTGTGTGTAAGAGCGAGAGATTGTATAATAAGGAACTTTGATGTTTGTACTTATCCTGCTAAGTCCTCTAGACTCAAAAACTGATTGTGTACGTGAAACTTAAATGGGCTGATACAATTGATACAATTTTACTTTGTTGTAAAATGTTTATTTTGAAAAGTACTTGACCCTTATTTGCTTGACTTTTCAAATAAGGAATTTCTGCTTTTCAATGTACTTCCAATAAAGAAATTTGAAATGTTAAGACTAAATTGCTGCTGGTTTCTAGATAAATTAAATGTTCTATTTTAAAATTGAGGAACTTTGTCTATGTTCCAATGTATGATCTTTTAAGAATTACAGTGTTGGACATTGCTTTTCATTATTGCCTTTCCTTTTCCTGTGATTTAACAAAATGTTAATTCTTGACCAGACTGCAGCATTACGAGCCGTTGGAAATATTGTAACTGGTACTGATGAACAAACACAAGTAGTCTTGAACTGTGAAGCTCTTTCTCATTTCCCAGGATTGCTCAGTCATCCTAAAGAGAAAATCAACAAGGTAAGATATCACTTGGAGAGTGGGAGTTGTGTTGCAATAATGTAGAGTCTTAGCAATACTTAACAAAATGCAGTATTTTCTCTGTTGGAAATGATGAAATTGAGATTAATGGGTGTGTTTGTATGTCTATGTGTGTATTAAGGGTGGCAGTATTTTTTTAGGTAGTTATCAGGTAATGGTAAGGTACACAAGTTCAATGGTTTAAAACTCTTATGATGAATGAGTGTGAATGGGGTTGTGTATGTTGAGGTTGGCGATGGTGGGGTCTGATTTCAAGGCTTAGTGCTGATACTGAAGTGCACCTGAAGGCAATCACAGCTCATTTTCAGGGCTTTGCAGTGTGATTGTGCTGATGATTAGAGCCCCAGAGAGCCCACCGGGTCAACCGAGGCACCCAGACTTCTCTAACAGGCGACTCTGTCACTGTGAGCTGATCCAACAGAGTTAGTATCTAAGAATGCTCGGAGATTGTTATGCAGTTTCATAGTTAAGAAGGGGTTTGTTCCAGCCATGCCTACCCTGCACAAACACATTTTCAGTAATAAGTTGATATATATAAGTCTTTGCATCAAAAAAGACCCTGAAGAGATTGATGTAACTTGTAAATAAATACATAATGAGTTTTTCTTGTTACTGTTTTATATCTCACGTATGTTAATCATTCAGGAGGCGGTGTGGTTCCTCTCCAATATCACAGCTGGGAACCAGCAGCAAGTCCAAGCAGTGATTGATGCTAACCTTGTTCCAATGATTATCCACCTCTTAGACAAGGTGGGTTTACATTAAACTGTTTGTATATTTCATTATAGAAGGGCTTTTGCAAAGTGAAGTTACAAAAACTTGACGCTGTAAACATCTGTGACAACTCAGTTACTTGGCAATCAAGTGAGCCAATGCTCCAGGGTTCATAATTTTAAACTTTTATACTTGGTTATGAATTCTGACTTCTCTCCCCCTTCCCTCCAGGGTGATTTTGGTACTCAAAAAGAAGCTGCTTGGGCAATAAGTAATCTAACTATAAGTGGGAGAAAAGATCAGGTGAGTAAGAGTACCAAAATAAAGTAAAATAATTAATGTTGGTTTTGATAAGGATTTGTGCTAAATTCTGTCAATTTGAGGTGTAATAGTTTAGATAAAATACATAAATGATATTACTGTCTGAATTATTCCCTAGGTTGCATACCTAATCCAACAAAAGGTAGTTCCTCCATTCTGTAACCTGCTTACAGTGAAGGACTCGCAGGTAGTGCAAGTGGTCCTGGATGGGTTAAGCAACATTCTCAAGATGGCAGATGATGAGGCGGAAACAATAGCGAACCTAATTGAAGAATGTGGAGGTAGGAAATTGACTTGAGATTTAGTCTTAATTAACATTGACATTATGCCAAGATTTGGGGAAATCACTTGGAGTGGCCTTTTCAGAGCTTTGTTATATTTGTGCAAAGACTATAAAGACTTTGTTCTACGACCGAGATTATGTTTCCTTTTCCTGTTAACAATCTCAATTGTTTTTCCGGAACATAAAGTTCTTGAGGTTTTCTTGAACGGGCAGTCCAATTCTCTTTGTAGCCAAAGCTCGTGAATTTTTGGCAGTTTTCATATAACGCTCAACATGGAATTTTCACCAGCCACCGGAATATGTTTTTTGTCTTGACTCTTGCCTTTATAGACAGATTAGTTCTATGCGTTTCAACTCTGCACTCTAAATATTTTATTTTGTCACTTTTCCCCCTTCCTCCTATTCTCTGCCGACTATATTCAAGAATGTCAAATACACACAAAATGGTTACATTTCTGTTTTTTTGCCTGCTTAAGTGTACATTATACGATATTCAAGTTGGGTTAGCCACATCTAAAAATGTTCACAACTCTTACTTGAATGTACAGTAAATCCTGTGATGCGCTTTGTTTCTTTCTCCTAATGTGAAAGATGCTGTAATCAATGCAAACATTTGTTATTGTTTCAGAGAAGTAGTCACTGTATTTCCCAGCAAGAATTGTGTTGCTGCTCTCTGTTAATTTTACTATTGATTTGATTATGTACTAGTTTAGCCATAAAACCTCTATGTTTTAGTGCTAAAAAAAATTTGATCCCACAAGTGATAGAAATTCATCTAAATACTGTATACTATTGGATGATTTTTAAAACTAACATTTCATATTCTGTTCAGGTTTGGAAAAGATTGAACAGTTACAACACCATGAAAATGAGGATATATATAAACTGGCATACGAGATCATTGATCAGTACTTCTCAACAGATGATGTAAGTTTGATACAGAAACAAATATTTCATGGACTAGAATTTACATAATGAAATTGCTATGACCGGCAGAATGGTTGTAATGCCTCATTCGCAATAACTAAAATACAGTGTTGCAATTGCATTTGAATCTGTGACCTAAACTGAACATATCTCTATGAACTGAACATAAACTAAACATATCTGGCAAGTTAATTGCACTCGGATCTGATTGAATTTTTTTAAGAAACTTTTTTTGGGTTTATTCTAGATTGATGAAGACCCTACCTTGGTGCCAGAAGCAATTCAAGGTGGAACATTTGGATTCAACTCTTCCACCAATGTTCCAGCTGAGGGTTTCCAGTTCTAAAAAAAAAAGGCATACTTCCTGGAGTTAGAAAAATAATGCAGCACTAAAAGGAAGGTTTGATCGATCGTGCTTGGCTCATGTGGGATCCACTGCTGTATTAAATCAGAGAGCTATTTTGCAGAATGCGTTTGGTGTCCAAGAAAAGCCCAAATGAAGTCAAGCTGGCGAGTGGGTGCGAATGCGCGTGAGAGTGGTAAATGTTTGAAAAAAATTCACAGTGAATACTTTTTAGGTTAAAACGAAAATGGGCTGAAAGTCAGAAGGAGATCAATGTCTACGAAGCATCTAAACAAAGATCGAATTTGATTATCTAGAATCAGGAGAAGAATGAAGTGCTACAAGTCTTCAAACTTCGTAAACCAAGAAAGGAACAACAGAGTCAGAAGGCCGAGGCTAGGAAGCGCTGTGTGAATGGACCCACTGTATGGATGTCTGGACTCAGTACTGTGGAGCCAGGTTCATTACTTGAAATCTTGGGCTCTGTGATCACCCGTGAAGTTAAAACTCCCAACTCATGGAGTTCTGTGTGGAAGAGAGTAGTGTATGGGCGTGATGTTGTATGTGAACGCATGCAAACTTGATTGCCTTCAAGGGGCTAATGAATAAACCCAGAAAACCACCAATATGAGTTTGTTTTTTTATTAATATTTAATATACACTGGAGAATTTAATCAATTTAGCAGCAGTGCATTATATAATTTACCTGTATTATTTTGGGTTGAATCTTGCAGCATATGCATTTTGCTCATTTTGTTTTACTTTCACCTTAATCGTTCTAATTTTTTTAAGAAAGTTCGTGCATCTTGCGTATTTTATTTGTAGTTTTGAGTTGAAAAAAATACTCCTAACTAAACAATTGCACCAGTTGAAGTTAAATGCTGCAAGTTGCGTTCCATAAAAATCATGAATATAGTAATGAATTAATTGAGTGATATAATGGTAATTAGTTGCTCACGTGCATAAATTCTGCAAAGAAGAAAAAAAAAGGCACATGTACATGCTCTGCTGCATAATTAACTTTAAAATGTTGCCATAATTTTTAAAGTGCAGGGATCTTCAAACACCAGCAGTGTTGTGGAAATAGTCATCTTTATAGTCATAACTTGGGTAAATGAAGTTGACTAAGATGTTCAAATCACCTTGCATGTATTAATTGATGTCGATTTCTAGTTTATTTCAGCTTTTTTTGGTTAGCTCCTGCATAGAATATAGTACTAATAGCCTTTTGAGGGTAAATGTGCTGTTGAAATATTTGTTTCCTGATTTCCTGACAAATAGACCATTTGGATTAAGACTAATTTTAGTTCTTACTTTCTGCTTAAGGGGGATTAATAGAGGTATGTATAGATGTATTAATCAAATATGAAACCACCTTTGGCATGTTTGATACTTTTAGGAAGGATATTTTTAAATTAGATACAAGTAGCCATGAACAATCTTTGAGCCACTTTAAGAAGAGCGTGCGTTTCAAGTGACTTGCATTCAAACTATGCAAGTTTTAAGATTCTGAAAAGTAAATGCCTCCTTGATGAGGTTCCAGCACACTAAATTTGGTAAGTTTTATTTATTAAAGGAAATGTGTAACACCTCTTGGTAAGGTGGCTCATTGTAGGAAATGCTGTGCCTTCTCTCTTAGAGCACAAGTGTTGCATGAACAAGTTTTGCTGTATTTAAGGTAATAGTCGCTAAAGGGAAGTGTGAAAATAATTACCTGGTTCCTATTTTGTGTTGGAATTTAGAATATTGTAGACTGGATTAATTGTAGTCGTAATTTCTTTTGTAAATTAGTTGGGTTACCCTTGAAGCATACTTTTGTCATTCGTACACATGCTTTGAAAGCTCGACAAAAATTGGAAACGGCAGAAAACTGGCTTGCTTACACTGTTTTCTGTTAGAGTGCAAGCAGTCTGTCTTAGAGCAAAATAAACTTAATGAAACTATTCTGTGTGGCTTGATATTCCATTGTGGCATTGATGCATTAATTTCTAGGTTCCATTTGGTGGACTACTATATTTTTAAAAATTAGATCACTAATAAACCTGCGATTTGCTCAACCTTTGTGCTGTAGAATACATTTCTCAAGGGGGTGGGGGGGGGGGGGAATCTCCCGAGTGTTCAAATCAAATGCTGGTAATGTCAGGATCTTAATTCTCAAGAGTTATGTTGGTGATCTTGCCTTTTCTAGTGGAATATTCACGAATGGAGAAATGAGGTCACTCACTGATGGTGGTCTAACCTGTATTAAAAAGCTTTTATTGTCAACCAACTTGTGTTGAATTTTTCTGGTATCTACCCTGCTGCTCAGAAATGGATGTGGAGAAACGTAATGGAACGGATTGATGGTATAACTGAAAATTGGAAGAAGTCATGATTGCAAAATTGGGGGTGGGGGTAGAGACATAATTCATTGCTCCAAATCAAATACATGGCAGGTAGTTGCTGCAGTAACATTAACAATTTTTTAAGCATACATAAATCTGACTGGGTTCTGTGATACCAGTTCCGGGATGAAGTAATGCATATAATGAATTGTGTGTAATCTGACCTTCCTTAGGTTTGTCAACTGCTGGTGCCCTTTCAGATTCTTCTTCCCTCCCATCACCACAGCCACCCTATCCCCACTTCTGGTCAGGACTTATTCACATTGACCAGGGCAATATTGGCTACTGTTCCATAGCCAAAACATTTGCAGCAAAACACGAATGCTACACTTGCGATTGCACCCAGTTGATGGAACCTCGAATGATAGATCGATCAATCCAGTTCCTTGGATCAGAGGAGCATTTTAGGACAAACTATGTGCCGTTTGATGCATCTGGTTGTCTTAAAGATGTCCTCCCGACGTGAAAGGCGCTCAATAAATGGAATCTTGTTGTTTTGCTTCAGAGTGGAACACCTTACTGGCCTTTGTGAATTTATCAAGAAATGTAAGGCTCACCAATTATTTTAAAACCTTTTTGATTTAAATGAAATGGAAAAAGTTTCTCCTTTTACCTTTTATTGTTGCTGTTGGACAAGCATCAGTTTGTGATGTTTGCGTGATATTTTAGTCGGGTATCGCTGGGGGGTTGCGGTTGGACGTATTCGACTGAACTGGTCTACCATAAGAAAGTCAATGTAACAACGTCTCATAAAACTAGAGTATATCATTTATTCTATTGAGACTGAAGATGCAATGTGGTACGGTGAGGTTAGATTTGCTTTTTAACTAGGAAGCAAATACATTGTTGAAAATTGGAAATATGAAAAGGGGTGGAGAGCGAGCGGGAGAAATTACACTGCCGCGTCTATTAAACACAGGCACGGTGGAGAACGGCCTTCGTCTGTGCTGTCATTTTCTACAGCGGCTTGAGCAAAAATTCTCTACATTTCTGGTTAAGACGGGTTGGAGCGTATTCAAAAAAATTATCTTTACAAGTTCAAACATTTCTTCAACAATGCGTAACTACAAGTCTTGTGCGTTTTGTAACTTGTGGCCAACATGTTTTTTTAACGCACTGCACTGGAGAAGAATTCTCTGGAAAGGAATGTTAAAGCTGGGTTTCCTATTGCAATGTAGGAAGTGATCTAATGCCACATCCGCTAATAGAGTAATGCAAATTGGCAGCGAGGGGTTGTACTGTGTGCTCTGATCATTCAGGTTGGAACCTGTATGTACACAGCTATACTTGGGCATTGGTCTACAGTATAACAGAGTAAAATGCACATGGAAAATATTCTCTGCACCCCACCCCTTAAACAATGTGGAGTCCTGTAGCTCAGTGGTTAGAGCACTTGCTTTGCAAGCGAGAGATCTGGGTTCGATTCCCAGCAGGGTGAAACCTTGGGCAAGTTTCCTTACTCGCCTGATGATAATCCCTCAAAAAAAAACAATAATAAATTGGTCATTTCAATCCATGACTTTGTGGGACGCTGCTGTACGCAATTGGCTGTTGCGTTTTGCCCACAAATACACGGTCAATTCACTTTACAGTATTCTGTGAAGCGCTTTGAGACGTTTCGAAGGCGTGAAAAGCTCTATCAAATATCAAGGATTATTTATTATTATTAAAAGTGTGATAATTCCCGTCTGGAAGTCCAAGCATCAAGAATAGTATCCCTCGATTTGGGTCTGGAGGGACTTTAGTTAAAAAGACAATTTAATTTCTGATCATGCGTCGATACTGTGTATTTTACAATGCATTTAATGTTGATTCAAGAGTTAAAACATTTAATATAATTAAGACATGAAACAGTGTAAACTGATTTTGTGGAACGCGGTAGGTTTACTTAACCAGTGTTTGGTTCTCTATAATAATGTTAGGAGACAGACTATTGCCATCCAAGGGATTATATTTGCACCCGATGTGACTATATATACACAGGACAAAATGTAATACAATAATTACAGTATATTAGAAATGCAGGACAACACAAATAATAAACAAATACCAGCCAGGCCTGAGAGCTGGTTTATTGAATGTTCTTGTCAGCCAATAATCCAACTCAATTTACTGTTGTGTTCCTCAATTTTTTATACCCCACTTGTTTAAATTTAACAAATCAATTGGCTGCTGCGTTTCGCCCACAAATTTACGGTCAATTCACTTTACAGCATATTCTGTGAAGCGCTTTGGGACGTCGAGAAGACGTGAAAAGCGCTATATCAAATGCAAGGATTATTATTATTATCAATCAGTCAATCAATCAGTCAATCAATCACTCAACTGCTTCCAATAGACAACGGTAGATTTTCACAATCGCCGCCCAAGTCACGATGAGCTGCCCAGATGTCTCAAAGCGCTTCACGGAAGTATATCGTTCAGTTGGGGCTGTGTTGGGGTTGGGGCTGTGTTGGGGTTGTGTTGGGGCTGTGTTGGTCACTCAGACACCACTATATCCTTCCTCAAACAATAATTATCCTGGGGTTTGACACAGCGCCTTATCGTGTCGTCCAGATGTCTCAAAGCGCTTCACGGAAGTATATCGTTCAGTGAATCGACTGCATAGTTTGTGGGCGAAACAACAGAACGTCTTAAGGAAGATACCGATGGATTTATTTATTTTAAATAAATATTATTTATTTTAATAAATGATACATTTTTTGAAAAATTGGTCACTCAACCCATGAGTGTTTGCGGGGACGGTGCTGTGTGCAATTAGCTGCCGTGTTTCGCCCACCAATATACAGTCAATTCACTTTACAGTATATTCTGTGAAGCGCTTGGAGACGTCTCGAAGACATAAGGCGCTATGTCAAATGCACGGATTATTATTATCAGTTGTAGCATTTTCTGTTTTGATTGCAGATTTATCAACAACCGTTTTTCTTCCGGTAACTCCTAATGACCTAATTATAGCGCTGGATAACAGAAATGTCCGGGTGCAATCTGCCCTTTAAAGCGCTCCTTTTGCCGAAGTGTGAATTTTACAATCTTCACAGGGTTTCACCAAAAGCCGTTCACTGAGTGTGTTCGCGTTAGTTTAAACCTTGTGTCGCGCCGATCACAAGTCCTTTGGGTTCAGCAGAAAAACAAACTTAAAATGGAACGAAAACTTTGCCCGTTGTGTCTGTCACAGGTTTAATTATCATTACCGAGTTTTGCATCTATACATTTTCTTTCACCAATGATAATAATAATAATAATAATAATAATATAATAATCCTTGCATTTGATATAGCGCTTTTCACGTCGGGAGGACGTCCCAAAGCGCTTCACAGAATAGACTGTAAAGTGAATTGACTGTATATTTGTGGGCGAACGCGGCAGCCAATTGCGCACAGCAATGTCCCACAAACAGTCGTAGATTGAAAATGACCAATTTATTATTGTTTTTGTTTTTGGAGGGATTATTATTAGGCTCTGTGTGGAGTAAGGAAACTTGCCCAAGGTTTCGCCCTCTGCCTGGAATTGAACTCAGGTCTCTCACTTGCAAAGCGAGTGCTCTAACCACTGAGCTACAGGACTCCACAAATGATGAAATAAAACCTAAACAACATAATAACATAATCAATCACCGTGACCAATAATCTCCCAAATAAGCCATTCATTTCATGGCTGTAGGGACATTACTGTGTATATCTTATAATAATAATAATCCTTGCATTTGATAATCCTAATTAATTATTGATAATTAATAATCCTTGCATTGATTGACTGCCTGATTGGCTGATTGATTGACTGATTGATTGACTGACTGACCGATTGACTGACTGATTGATTGACTGACTGATTGATTGATTGACTGATTGACTGATTGATTGACTGATTGATTGATTGACTGATTGATTGACTGACTGATTGACTGATTGACTGACTGATTGACTGACTGATTGATTGATTGACTGATTGATTGACTGATTGACTGACTGATTGACTGATTGATTGACTGATTGATTGACTGACTGACTGACTGATTGACTGATTGATTGACTGATTGACTGATTGACTGACTGACTGACTGACTGATTGATTGATTGACTGACTGATTGATTGACTGATTGATTGACTGATTGATTGACTGATTGACTGACTGATTGACTGATTGACTGATTGACTGATTGATTGACTGACTGACTGACTGATTGATTGACTGATTGATTGACTGATTGATTGACTGATTGATTGACTGACTGATTGACTGACTGATTGACTGATTGATTGACTGATTGATTGACTGATTGACTGACTGATTGACTGATTGATTGACTGATTGATTGACTGATTGACTGACTGATTGACTGATTGATTGACTGACTGATTGACTGACTGACTGATTGACTGACTGATTGATTGACTGACTGATTGATTGACTGATTGACTGATTGACTGATTGATTGACTGACTGATTGACTGACTGACTGACTGATTGACTGACTGATTGATTGACTGACTGACTGACTGATTGATTGACTGACTGACTGACTGACTGACTGATTGACTGACTGACTGACTGACTGATTGATTGACTGATTGACTGACTGACTGATTGACTGACTGACTGACTGACTGATTGATTGACTGACTGATTGACTGACTGATTGACTGATTAGTTTGTTTTGCAGTTTCAAGGTTTCAAATCCTCGCGGATCTCAGCCATTCGCTGAATTTGAACACTGCAAATACTGATGTGCGCAACTGCCAAACTGTACAGAGCAGAAACACAGAGAGAGAGAGAGAGAGAGGAGAGAGAGAGGAGAGAGAGGGAGAGGGAGAGGGGTCCTCCTGTGGAGGAGCAGTACAGCCCTTATACACACAACGGTGGGTCCAGTTCGGTGTCTGATGAGCGATGTGTATTTATTATTGTATTGATTTGCTATTTACATCCCTCGCGACCCTCACAGTGTGTGTTTGTGGTGTGTGTTGTGGCTGTGGGTTTGTGGCCAACACTGAGACGAACCGTTGGCAGTTTGGAGGCCGCAGTCAAATGAAACCATAGACAACAACAACGACAATCTTTTCCGATCTCGTACCTATTCTGGGGGGGCGGGGGGCAGATGGGTGGGTTGGGGGGTGTGTGTGTGGGTGTGTGGGGGGTGTGTGTGGGGGTGTGTGTGTGGGGGGGGTGTTTGTGGTGTTGGGGCTGTGTTGGGGTTGGGGTTGTGTTGGGGTTGGGGTTGGGGTTGTGTTGGGGTTGGGGTTGGTGTTGGGGTTGGGGTTGTGTTGGGGTTGGGGTTGTGTTGGGGTTGGGGCTGTGTTGGGGTTGGGGCTGTGTTGGGGTTGTGTTGGGGTTGGGGCTGTGTTGGGGTTGGGGTTGTGTTGGGGTTGGGGTTGTGTTGGGGTTGGAGCTGTGTTGGGGTTGGGGTTGTGTTGGGGTTGGGGCTGTGTTGGGGTGTGTGGGGCTGTGTTGGGGCTGTGTTGGGGTTGGGGCTGTGTTGGGGTTGGGGCTGTGTTGGGGCTGTGTTGGGGTGTGTTGGGGTTGGGGCTGTGTTGGGGTTGGGGCTGTGTTGGGGCTGTGTTGGGGTTGGGGCTGTGTTGGGGCTGTGTTGGGGTTGGGTTGGGGCTGTGTTGGTGTTGGGTTGGGGCTGTGTTGGGGCTGTGTTGGGGTTGGGGTTGGGGCTGTGTTGGTGTTGGGGATGGGGCTGTGTTGGGGCTGTGTTGGGGTTGGGGCTGTGTTGGGGCTGTGTTGGTGTTGGGTTGGGGCTGTGTTGGGGTTGTGTTGGGGATGGGGCTGTGTTGGGGCTGTGTTGGGCTTTGTTGGGAGGTGTAAACTTGCAGTCAAAGTCATACACAGTCTGAATCATTGGGGGTTGAATCGCGTGGATACAAATCGGTTGCAAAGTTGTAAATGTATCTGCGTTTGGTGCCTTGACATCTGATACTATATTCGCTACATCTGTCTGTCTGTCTGTCTGTCTGTCTGTCTGTCTGTCTGTCTGTCTGTCTGTCTGTCTGTCATGTCTAGAGTCTGTCTGTCTGTCCCTAACCCTAACTGTACAGCAACTTTGAAAGCTGGTTAGTTAGTAGTTAGTTAGTTAGTTAGTTAGTTAGTTAGTTGTAAAGCGCCTGAACTGCCACAACCCGACAGCACATGTATGGGCTGATTTGGAGAGGAAACCTGGTGTAACTGCAGCGCCAAGTGCTGGTGTGACTGGGCTCTCGTTTGCCACAAAGGATTTTTTTGTTCTCTCTCTCTCTCCTTTTTCTGTCGTTGTCGCAATTGTTAATCCGGATAATTGTTGTGCAGAAAGAGCCTCTGCTGTGCGAGAGAGGCGGTGGTTCCCCCACTCCGAGGCCTGACTGATGCAATCCATATTTATGACCTCATTTTTAATCCACAATTGCCATCGTCCACTCTAATAATCCAGGATGGCATTTTGTAAGTAACTACGCCCACTTCTTTGTGAAATCGGAGAGACTCCGTTTTTTTTTTTAGGTCAACGGATTTATATCCATTTCCTCCTGATTTCAGGATGACTTCTTGAAGACTCTCATCCTCTCCAGTTGTTTATCCAGACATTGCGTCCGAAAATTCTTCGGGGGAGACGCTCATTTCGGGCCGCAACATGTGTTCGAAATTGTTTTTTTTTTCGTATTGATTACTTATTAAATCATTGATGTGGAATAGGTCCACCGAGCTATTGTCTGTTAAGCAGTGAGCCAAGTGTCCCTGAGCGATCGGTGTAGGTAAAGCCAAAGACATCTCCCACCATCATGTTCTCCTGGGTTAAGCACTTTGTTAACACTCTCGTGCCGTAATATTCTCAGATCAATAATGAGCACTTGGTCAGAAGGAGGTACTGGTGGAAACCTTGAAACTATAAAAGAAAAGTAATTCGCTGCAAAATCTGGAATTTTCTATTTATTCGGCCAGTGAAAAACATCAGTAACAGGCAAGAGAAGCTGTTTTTCTGCCCTATTCTCTGATACGTTGTGACATTTTTGCGAAAAGCGTTCTTATAAATGTGTGAGTTATTTGATAATTAGTGAAATAAACTCGTCGTCGTAGCTTTCAATGGAATTTGATAATGCGTTTCAAAATGTACTGTTTAAAATTGTAATTACGCATTCAATCATATCAGCTTTCAATATAATTTAGTCTGTTTTATGGTTGTTGACTACAGTTGAAGAAACAAAATGAGTATATGGATAAGGATTTAACATTTTAAACCAATAAACGTTCCAATAAAAATAGTGCTGTAGGGCACTGGGCAATCAATTCGACTCCAATCTTTAGAGATGTGCAATAGTCACGTTAACAAACACCACCACCGTCTCAAAACTTCTCAAATCCTTTCCTAAAAATGGTGGATTTGTTTTTTTTACGAGAAGAGTAATCATTTGGGATTTTAAACCCTCTGATTGATTTATCCATCAATTATGTTCAAAGAATGAGACCACTTGCCAAACACCAGGCCATGTTTACCTGGAGCATTGAACCCTTTCACTTCTCTTCCCATCTGTACAACTCTTAATACGCCCAGATGAGGGAATTATACCTCATCAGTGTTCATGTTGAGGTTCAATTTGATATAAAAATGGTCACAAAGAAATGTTCTTTTGCCTCCTGTTGAGGATCTCTACTAATACACAATCCTGATATTTTATGGGAAGGTTTGCTACAAATCCCAGTGTGTGAATCCTCAGTACAGAAGCTTCCAATTCTTTATGCAGATTCTGTCTCATATTGTCTTTTAAATGATAAATGCAAATTATTTCATGCCGAACGTGGCAGATCCTCGTGAATTAAAATGTGCCAATAATAAGCGAATTCTCACATAGCAGTTTTTAACATGTCTGCATGAACTGTAACGTAAACTAACAAATTGATTGGGGTAGATAGACAGAGTATGAGAATTAGAATTGAGAAGCACACGTTAATGGAAGTCCTTGACGCTCTGTATTTTGGCCTTGGGACAATTTTGCTTTTGCTAAAATGAACTGGAATACTTTTGTGAGACAACTGATTTGCTGATGATTTAAATATTCAAGATTAAACTGTCGATGTGATTGATTTTCTAATTAAACGTGGCATGTTTGGGGCGGGGTTTGATTGAAGTTATTAACATTGTACTCTAATGTAATCGAACGTGCAGAGAAATTTCCAACATGATGGTGGATTAGTCTGTTTAATATGGCCGGAAAGGCATAATCCTGCACCCAATTTGGGTCACGCCCCTGCCCCCAGACTTTCTGGTACAAGATCCGAGAGGGAATAAGATATGGAGCAAAATTAAAAGATTGATTTAAAAAGTCGCGCGAGTGATTTTGCTAACTGCACTCTTGCAAAAAAAAAAAAATTATATACAACAATTTGCATCGGGAATAACAAGTCAGCAACCCATTGAAGCACAGTTCTGTCGACGTTTTCATTTGTTCTCAGATTGGACATGTTTGCGCTACAATACGGATCGTGTCATCCGTTCGGGTGGGAGCATATTTCCAGTGTGAATGCACCTTTGTTGTGTAAAATCCGACATTATTAAAAAAAAAATGGGGAAATCGAGTAAGGAATGTTGACGTGCTACATTAATTGTACTCTTTTTTTATTTTCAGGCAAAAACATGGATAATTTCGAGGAGGACTTAACTTGCTCCGTTTGTTATTCTATTTTTGAGGACCCTCGCGTCTTGCCTTGTTCTCACACTTTCTGTAGAACCTGTTTGGAGAACATTATCCAAGGTTCAGGCAATTTCTCCGTTTGGCGTCCCCTGCGATTCCCGCTGAAATGCCCCACCTGCAGAAGCATTGTGGAGCTTCCTCCAACAGGCATTATCTCATTACCTATAAACTTCTCGTTGATGGGAATTATTGAGAAATACCAGAAAGAAGATCATCCAAAGACTCCAACCTGTCCAGATCACTGCAGACAACCATTAAACATGTTCTGCCTGTTAGACCGCAAGTTGGTGTGTGGCTATTGCTTAACAGTGGGCCAGCATCAAGGACATCCTATTGATGATCTACAGAATGCTTATATTAAAGAAAAGGAAACTGCTAACAAACTTGTTGAGCAACTGAGTGATAAACACTGGGTAGTTATGTCCGTTTTCATTGAACAGTTGGTGCTTCAGAAAGCTCAAGCTGAACAAATCATTCAACAGGATAAAGACACGGTCGTCCAATATTTTGAGGATCTCCAAAAGACTCTGCAAACTAAAAAGGAAGCTCTTCTTGCTGCTTTGGATGAAGTCAATGCAAAAATTGCCAGCGAATACGATCCACTGATTTACAAGATGAGCGAAATGAAGGAAGAACAGCTTGCCCTTGAAATATTTGGTGCATTTGTTGAAGAGGAAAAAGATCCCCTGACCTTTCTTGAGAATATTCACATCTATCGTCAGAGAGTGAACGCTTTGATCAAAACCAAGCTTCCAGTAATTCGCCCGCTAGATATCCAGCCTCGGGCAGGACACTTTCTGATGGAGAAATGGTCAAAGATCACAGTTGGGCATATTGAACAAGCACCAATTCCGCAAGTGAAACACTGTTTGGAAAACCAATGGAATAAAGATCTCGCATCATATTTGAAACACGTATGGGAGTTATCTCATAAGGTTTTAACTACAGGTGTATTCATAGCAGTGCTGTTTCTGTTAGCTATACTTTCACTGAGCATTTTCCTGAAGGAGAGTTGTATTGATGTGTTGAATGCTACAAACAGCAATCTCCCAGATGTGCAAGCAACATCGTGGAAAACTGTCTTAGAAGTTTGCACCAAACTTCAATCACTGAAAACAATTTTGGAAAATTTGATTGAAACACTAATGGATTTTTTCTGTCAGCTGCCAGCCTATTTTCCTTGTATTTATCAAATATTTGGTTTCCAGTTAAGCAGTGCTTTTCAATATGCTTCGAACAGTTTGTGGAGTTTATTTTTATCAGGAAGTCAAGAACAAGCTTAGCAAAGAGGCCTTTTGCATTTGTTCTGTAGGTTTGTTTCGCACACACCATGGATAAATTAAAACATATAGAAGTCATAGGACATTAGGATTTCTTTCTTTAAGGCAGAAAATGGTTTATCTGCCCACGTCATCCATTGTGTCAACCTTTGCGATGCAAACATTGGGAAATTGAATATTGTACTTTTTGTATACATTGTTAGGATAAGGTTTGAGTTCAGTTTGTGTAGGTTGCAAAGACATATTTTCCTCAAACAATAGGTAGTTACAATAATTATTGCTGGCCCTTCTTGCTGTAGATGATCAGATCCTTTTGGAAGATCCTTCTTGTGGTAAAAGGAAACTAGAGGGCAATATATACCAAAATGTATTTAGTTCGCTACAGCGAACGTGGTCTGACACGACTTTACTATCTTGCCAGATTCAACATGTTATTCATGAATTTATTTAACATCAGTGCCAGATACATATGCAAAGCAGCACATAATTGTATTCACATACCAATGAAACGACAAAAAAATAAAAGGCAGCACAGCCGTTTGTATTAAATAGCAATACAGTAGAATTCAGGAACGGTACCATCTCAAAAGACGATAGTTTTATAATGTTTTGCGAGGAACGCTTATACAAGGCCATTAAGATAGATATGAAGGTTTCAGTCCACAGAAGTCATTGGTGCTGAAAAGGTTTGATCAATTCCTGAGTTACCAATATAAAACTTGGTTAACTTTTTTTATAAGATATATTTCCACCTTCCAATTTAAATTTAATGTACTTTCTATTTTAATAGTGTTTCTGAACAAAACATTTTTTCTCCAATGCTTTTCATGTAATTGAACAGATGACACAAGTATCAAATGTATACAGGAAATGCGGAAATCATTTGGAGTTGAGGTACAGGTTAACCATGACCCAAGTAGGGTGGTAGAACAGGCTCGAGGCACTGAATGGCCTACTATTCCTATGTCGGCAGAAAGTAGTCTTATAGAAGGTGCATATGAAAATCATTTTGTTCTCAAACTGAATGCAGCAGATTCCCTTGCAATTTTAAATTGCTGTTGATTTACTTTTATCTGTGGCACGGAGTCAACATTTGTTGCAAATTTCAACTAAAAGTGGAGCTAACGGGCGCAGATATATTCAAAAGAGTTATGAATCATTTCTGAGGGAAAAGAGGTAAATGGGCCAGATTGCTTGCTGTGAGTACAGAATTTTATAACAGACTTGTATTGGGTTACTATTTTAATTATGAGAAAAATCACAAAGTTTAGTACTGATGCTTTTTATATTAGGATATAATGCAAAATGCCTGTAGTATTTGTAGTATAATTAGAAAACTGTTGCTTACTTTGTGGTCAATGTATTTTTTGTATTTTTTTTACTAATTATTATGAACCTGCTAACTCATGTACTGAGGACGATTGTGTGAATTAAATATTACTTATATAAAATTACATTGGTAATCATTTTCACGACAATAGAACAGAAATGCCAAACCTAAAGTTAGGCGAAGTAGGACTCTTAATGGGTGTGGGGGGGGGCAAAGATTTGATAAGGCATTATATCAAATGCAAGGATTATTATTATAAGTATTTTCTATTTATTAAACATATTAAAAAGAAATCTGTGAAAAAAAATCTAACGTACACATTTGAAAGAGAAGTTGTTTCTCCATATTGAATAAACTGAGTGTCACATTCAGTCACCAAACTAGTACGTCAGAATCTGTTTATGTGTTCCATTTACAGCCAAACATTGCAACTAAGAATTATTCGTCTAAAGTATGGATGGGGTTGAATATTTAAGGATTTTTTAAAGATCCAAATCAGTGAGATGTCCTAAAGAGCAGGATCTAAAACTAGTGTTATTCCTAATGAGGACTTTACCCCACTGCATTAATTGGTATCATTTGCTTGAGGAATAATCCCGTAAATGACAAAATGATTGTGGTTTGAGAGGTTTTTTTAATTATTTTTTGCCCATACAGCACTAATTCATTAAAACCAGACAATCCAATATGTTGCAAAAGTTCCTTTTAATAAGAAATAGTCAGTTTTGACAGACGTGTTAGTTAAAAAGAATAACTTTTCTAAAAATATGTACAGCCATGTCAGAATTTCAATACTACATTAATATTCCATTTTCTACAGTATAAAACCTCAAGATGAGATGGTACTTGTATGCAGGAATCTTATAATTGTGATGATTCACACCACCACTACTTTTGGAACGGGCTCCTCCGTTGTATGAAGCCAGTAGCCAGTTGAATCCGCTTGAAACAGTATAGTTCTTTACAACAATCCATTAAAAAGTTGTTACAATTTCACGCTGTGGTGAGTACTTCAGGAATTGCTTGAAGACCAATAACTTTTGGGTTGGCTGTAACATTCTTTGTTGTATTGTGAGTCTTGTAGATTCCAATCAGTCGATCAGCTATTTCAAACATATTGTTCCTCAAAGAAATTATGATGAACTGAGCATTTTTGGTTTGTTCCTAAGGCAACAAAAAAAACCACACACGTCAAAAACTTAATACCAGACTATGAATTGTACAAATGGAAAAACACAATCCCATTTTACATCTCAGGTTTTCAATATAACTTTTGATCAGCTTAGTTTTAGTATACATTCAACTTATTTAACCTATTAGGAAATTATAGGTTCCATTGTCCATAAATACATTTCAATTGTCAGGCTAAGCATTATACTTAAGGCATTTACCAGAGGTAGCTTTTCTAATTTAATTTGTAAAGTTATTTAAACACCTCTACCACATACAATTCTAGATATACCTACAGTGAACCCAAGTTAACCCATTTGCTAGTAAGTGTACTCACGTAGATATAATGAGCGACAATTGAGACATTTTTGAAATCCAATGCTGCATCAATTTCATCCATAAAGTACAAAGGAGTCGGCTTGTAATGGTGAAGTGCAAACACGAGAGCCAAAGAGCTGAGTGTCTTCTCCCCCCCAGAAAGATTGAAAATCTTCTTCCAGCTTTTCTTTGGTGGTCGAACACTAGAAAAATGTCAATTTTCACTTTTTAAAAAATCAAATACAAATGAATACTATATAAAATCATTTTGCTGTTCCAAAACAGTACTGTTTTATTTTGCAATGACATTCTCATTCCATGCAAATGTGGTCATGAGTGAGTTCATGTTGCTTTGCTTTAAACAGAATTCATGTTTCAGAATAAAACTTAATTGTTAAAAGAGCTTTATCTCAAAATGTTTTAAGGTACCTCATAGGTAATTACTGCTTTTGTAAGCAAATTGTAGCCATTTACGCCAACGTCCAACAAACTACTAGAAGGTTGTAGGTCAGGATATTCCCCACCATTAATTCTCAAAAAAAATTGTTTTGACCAGTCATGGTTTAGAACATCTGTTGCAGTTTACATTTCTTAAATAGTTTTAAAAAGACAAAAAAAGTCACCTCCACACACCTGCCTGCTTCTCAAAAGTATTGCTGTAGTACTCATTAGTATATACCTAAATGTAGACTGAAGGCAATATCTCCATTTGCAAGCTGCCTTGCTTATTATGAACATGATTCAGATTTTTGAGATAGTCAACTCAGGGCAATTAAATGTAAATAAAATACTCCAGCTTCAAAGTACCACAAGAGTTATAAAGAACAAGGGAAGGGAGTCCTATTAGGACAGTTACAGTCCTATTAGGGTTCAGGTGTCATTGGGCTTCACAATTAAATTTACATAATTTATCATAAAACCAACCTTGACAGCTTCCCTACCTGAACATAATTCCTTCAGAAAAGGGATCCAGACTGTCCACCAATTCCAGCTCAGCATCTCCACCCAGTGTGAGCATTTGGTAATTCTCCTTTAGCTTATTGGTGATCATATTAAAACCCGCCATGAATTCATTGAGACGTTGCTTCCTCAAGTCCTCATAACCATGTCTAAATGTATCGCGTTCATTGGTAATTTCATCAAGCTCTGCCACACGGCGTAGGTACAGTTCTTCCTGCACACATACCACAGAACATAATTTAGATGTTTTGTACAAGATATAATTTAACCATAGAGCAATACAGAGAAGCCTGACAAACTTACTTTCTTTCTATATTCTGCAATGGAACCTAAGTTTGGTTTCATTTCCAAACCCTTTGCCTCCAGCAGTGCAATCTGATTATTTATCATATCTGGGTTTTGGAATTCCCTCAGATCCTCCTCACTCAGTTTTGGAAGCTCGTCTTGCGGTTTGTCATCAATGCAATGTAAAGAAAGCTTGGACACCTAAGATTAAATTGCATAAAAATAGTTACCAAAAAATTAAGTGAATCAAAACTCAGTAACAGTAGTAACACAAGGAAACAGTGCCATAACCATGATAACACAAAGAAAAAAAACATTTTTAGATTCTTGATCGGAACTGGCAATTTTCAGTTTTTAGTCACCAAACCAACATAAGGTTCATAGGCCACTCACAACATGAATTCTGCTGCTGGAAACTCCACCAACAGTGATAGAATTGTTTAAGTGCCAGTCAGTGATCTGATCATCTTGTTACTTGACTGGGAATAGACATCTGAACCAGCAGGCAATTGTCTAGGAGCCAGCATATCCCCCCACACACCAATGTACAGGCTAAGCCAATGAATCTTTGTGTGTAGTTTTGCAAATAGCCTGGATTCTCCAAATGACTTGGTTGGTAGTAGAACTCTGGTAAGATGCTTTACATTGGGGTTGCTCTTTATTTCTGTTCTTTCAGTCTTACCTCTTTTTGCCAGTATTTGATCTTTGATTGATGCTCCTCAATGTGTCCGTCTATCTGTTCTATTTTTAATCGTATATTTAGAATTTCTTTCTGAAGTGCCTGCTCTTCTTCTTGAATTGACTTAACTTCTTTAAGTAAAATTTGATGGTCTCCAGTCACATTGGCTAATGATTCCTATTGAAAATTACAGAGGGAAAGAAACATTATGAAAAAGATTACTGAGAATAACAGCCGTCTCTCAATTTGGTTCAAGCTCTATAGCTCTACCAGTAGCTTTCCATTTCATTTTTTTTTTAGTATCAGAAGTTCGCTTCCTTGAATACAAATACAAAGTGTGCGAAATCAGGCATCTCATGTCTGAAGTTGGTCAAAGATTCAGAGTTTTTTTTAAGATTCATCTAGGAACTCCAGAATGTCAAGTAGCTATTTAAAATTCCAGTATAAACTGAATTGCATAAGTACGTATTTACTGCCTTAAACTTAATTTACAGCCACTTTCCAATTAGCCTGAAAGATCTTGCAGCATCAAGTTTATCTATTCTTTCTACAGCTGCAAAATAGAAGATTTTAAGCAATTCATAGTTGTGGGGCTTTTATGTTATCGATCACAAATAACTTCTGCAACTATCACTCAATATGATGAAATCCATTTTAGATATTTTATTCCTCAAAGTGCTCTCGGACACCAACCTGCATGAGGGGTGCTATATAAATACAAGTCTTTGTTGTTGATGACAACTTGTTATCCTACCCCTTTCTAACCAAAATGCGTAAACCAACATGTTACTAGGAAGATACCAGGTTACTAAAAATGGGATTAAATAGATTTCAAATGTCCTACTGCAAAACTGAATGTAACTAAATAGTTCAGTAACTAAATAGTAACCCTGCACTTTATTTAAACTGCATACTATTCATTAGACTAGATTCTGCCTCACCTGAGCTTTTGCACATTCCTTCATCACAGCAGTGGCTTCTTCCTCCAGTTTCTTCAAGTCATCTGTCAGGTTCTCAATTTCTTGTTTATTCTGTTCAATTTCTTCCTCAGATCGACTTACCGCTTCTTCTGCTTTTTTCAAGTTCCTGGAATACAGCAACACTTGTAAGCATGTCAAAATGAAAACTCAAGATTGCTAGTTGTGAGTAATTGTATTGAGATCAAAAATTAACATGTGTCATACTTCCCCCTAGCAAAACTGGTGTTCACAAAGATGGTTACAAAAAAAGCAAACAAATTACATGAACAATAAAAGCAGTTTCATGATGAACTTACCTTCCAGATGTTTTGATTGCAACTTGGGCCTTAGTAATGGCAGACACACAATTATCCATTTCTTTATTAATTTTGTCTAGTTTATCCTGCTGGGCTTTAAGCTTATTATTATTGATATCAACGATAAGGTTATGCAACCTTTTAACCTCTGCCTCCACTTTACCCGCCTTTGCTGCCTCTTCCTCATATGCTGAAACAGACAACATGGCTTCTATAAATATTTACTCGTCAAACTAACCTCATTTTGAAAAGCAGATTGTTTTTAAAAAAAGCAGTTTAAATCAGCTATCCAATTGTAAACCAAATTTGACTTAGTAAAATGTGATAAATAATTTCTGTAATGTTTTTGCCATGGGTTTACAGTACCATGGCTTTTAAAGCACCCTTAATAAATGGAACTACATCAAAAACATAAAACAAGCTTTTTTAAACAAATGGCTCTTTAACTGACTTTTCCCAATTTCATAGAACTCTGGTCTTTATAGTTTGCAAATGCACTCTTATTTCTATAAGGGGAAAGTATGGTCTTTATAGAAAGAAAAGCCAACCTTTTTTGAAGGCTCTCAGGGTTTTCTCTAGCTGTTGCTGTTTATTCTTGTCGGGGGCTGCCGCCGCCACAATTGCTTCAAACTCCTTCTCTTGAATTTTCAAGTGAGCTTCCTGTCCTGTCAGACCCTGAATTTAATTAAATATATAAAATAGGAATAGTTCAGAAAACACTTACTCCACATAAAAATGTTATAACACTCCAAATCAAAAGGTAACATTATTCACCCAATCATTTGCACTACCAGTTCTATTTAGAACTGAGTTGAACCACTAAGTTATCAAACTAATTTGTCAGGTTGACAGGTTAAGTCAACAACAACTTGCATTTATATAGAGTTGGTACTGGAGGAGGCAAAGTAGATTTGTGTGTCATCCGCATACATCGAATTCCTTCATAATCTGTTCCATTTTCCAACCATCATTAAATGCTCCTTTTTCAATAACGAACTCATGAGACAGAGTGTATAATAATAATCCTTGCATTTGATATAGCGCTTTTCATGTCTTCCAGACGTCTCAAAGCGCTTCACAGAATAGACTATAAAGTGAATTGACTGTATATATTTGTGGGCGAAATGCAGCAGCCAATTGCGCACAGCAGTGTCCCACAAGCAGTCGTGGATTGAAATGACCAATTTATTATTTTCTTTTCTTGAAGGATTGTTATGAGGAGTGTGGAGTAAGGAAACTTGCCCAAGGTTTCACCCTGTTGGGAATCGAACCCAGGTGTCTCGCTTGCAAAGCGAGTGCTCTAACCACTGAGCTCCAGGACTCCATATGCCTGTGTATGTACAAGTGTGTGTGTCACAGGGTAAGATATTAGAGAAGTAATATAGAGCCATTTATTCTGAAATGGTAAGAGAAGTTATTTCACATTCCCTTGGAGATGCATCATTTCAGAACATCCATGTGCTATCATCCGGGTTTTGAATAAATGCTAGTGTTGTCATTTTTCTATTCCTTGCCATGCACGTGTTATGCAAGCAGGCTGCTGTTTCCTCCAGCCCAAAAGGGACACCCACTTCTTAAAAATAAATAAAGCTACAGGATGAAGAAGTACAAATACTTTAAAATAGCACACCTGAATGCTTGCTGTGTATTTCTCCAAATTATTTTTCATCTCTCTTATGCTCTGGCGCAACTTCACTATTCGTTCTTCCAATTGAACTTTTTGATCTTGGTATTTTTGTGCAACTGCAGTGTCCTTCTGTAATTCTGACTCCATTTTGTCCACCTTTAGTCAAAAAAAGCAAAGCTTTAGTTGAATGATTCTATACCTGAAGTACCCAGAAAGCAATATATTTAATAAATGCAAATTTACCAACTTTTTTTGTTACAAGACTACGCACACCCTCAAACACACAGTTGCAGTCATTAACCAGGGCTCATTGAGTCAAGCTGTCCTTGCTATTCAATAAGTATACCACAGTTGTGTTCAGAAATTCACTGACCTCTTTCTGAGTAACTTCAACAATCACTGAAGATCCCATTCTACCCTTCATTACTTTTCCTCCGCCACCAGTCATGGTACCTAAAGTAAAAAGAATGCAGACAAGTTGATTAATTTACCAAAGAAAACAAACTTTAAGATGGAATACTCACGTATTAGCCACAATCTGGTTTCTTTTCAGCGTTTATATCAATCACACATACTCAAACTTTTAAAAATTACTGCAACGGCTCAGCGCTAAACTAAAATCTGGAATAGAGGACAGATAAATAAATACTTCCAGAATTAAACTATTTGATTTCTGGATCAAAATTAGGTGCATTCCATGGACCACAATTCTGCATTATATCATCCCATTTCAGATTTAATCAAATCTTTTACAGTTATAGTATGAAATTAATACTTAAACCTAGTTTATACAACACTTGCCCATACCTGACTGTTCTATTATCTGTCCTTGCAATGTTACCACTCGCCATCGTTTGTCGTGTCGGAATGCCACACGTGTCGCCTGTTCTAAATCGTTAGCAACAAGAGTATCACGTAGGGCAAAGTAAAATGCTGGACGTATAGTCTCATCTTTCATTTTGACCATATCAAATAGACGTGGAATATTCTCAGGAGTTTGGATCTTTCCAGTACTTTTCTCCCAAACCTTCATCTGGAAGAAGTTTTTCAAAAATAAATAACAAAAATCAAATAATTCTGCTACAGCAGGTAACATATATAAATTCAGAAGTGGCATTTTTTTAATATCCTCAATTGTTTCAAAGTACCTTGTCCAAGCCAATAAAAGTTGCTACTCCAATATTTTGTTTCTTCAGGAAGTTAACACATTTTTGGGCTGTATCAATAGTGTCAACAACGATGTTTTCTAAAGCTCCACAGCTGGAGGAGACAGCAACGTCATACTTTTCATCGATAGCGCCCAAGTCACCCTGGTTAAAAATAAAAACAGATCACATTTTAAAAAAGTATACGTGGTGATCTGAAAATGAATCTTCGGTTGATCTGTAAGTTGTACTTGTGCTTTTTTTTAAAAAAAAATGTTCCCTCCTTACCAGTCTTCCAAAGATGCCAGGGATATTTCCAGACTTCTTCTGCTCCATCAATGCATTCAGAACTTTACCTCTGCTGCAATTTGCTGCTAGAGAGCTCTTTGCTTCTTCAACCTTTTGACGCAGCTCATTAACACCGTTCCGAATCTGAGATTCAGAGTGGACTATTTTTTCAAGAGCCTTTTCATCCTAGAAACGCAATTGAAATTCAGATTTGAACATCCACATTTGTATATCCACATATGTATCACATATTTTCATTCAATAACCCAATGATTGCAATCTGCACCTGTGTTAGCTTTTGAGTTTATTCACATAGCCACCTTAAGATTATGTAATCTTCTGATCATATATTAAAAGAATATGAACAATTTAAAGAAATATTTTCCAGTTATATAGTAAAACTTGCACACGCCCAAGTCTTACATTCACCCGAGTCACTTTCAGTTTCCTATCAAAACCACCATTTCTTTGAACTACTTGCACTGATGAATTTTATTTTCCTAACTTGTAATGCCACTCCCTGATCCTCCATTACTCCCGCAGTTACTTACTCGCTGGCTGTATTGAATCTTGGGAAACAGTTTTGACCCATACAGTATGTATACTTACTAGCTGCAGTGACAAACTAATGCATGTACATTTACCAGGTGCATTGAATTAATTACACGTGTGCAGTGTAAACTGTTGATTAAATCAGATTTTATACGACTTAAAGTTTGCACTTTGCGTAAGTCATATTAAATGTTATGGTCCTGATTGATAAGACCTATGTGAGAATAAAGCTTCAGATTTGCATTGCTCACTTTGTGTAGTTCTTCTTCACTCTTTGGAATTTTCACTTCTAATTCTTTAATTGCCATTTTTCTTTCTTTAAGTGTAGTAGTGACAGTAGTCAGGGTCTCTTTAGCTTCATTGAACTGGTTTAAGGCAGTTTTGTGGCGACTGAGGTAGATATCCAGTTCTGATTGTGCCACGTCCATCTTGGATCTGGTCTCATTTACTGCTTTGCTCAACTCCATAAGCTGTTTCTCGTTCACCTATTTAAAAACAAACATTCAGAATATGAAGATGGCAGGCTGTTGCAGAATAAGTCAATTTTTTATTTTTTGTACAATTCAAAACAAGTTTCAAAATATTGACTGTTTCATTCATGTTCCATCTAATGATTTATGATTAAAATATGAAGCTAGTACTTTGGCAACACAATGTGAAAGCTCAGAACGCAGCACGTTTGTTTCAGAGTTCCTTACAGGGTTTTCAGAATGACTAATAACCTCTCCACTTTTTCCCCCAATAACTGTAGGAAATTAGAGGAAATGGGAAGTCTCTTCCTCAAGGAAGAAAGCACATTCACTATAAATTATTGGTTACACATCATAAGGGAAGATATTTACCACTTGTCAAATTGGCTTTATGAAATTTAACTTACTTCTCTTCATTTCAGCTGTAAGTGTTACATAACTAACCTCTTTTGTTTCCTGTAATCCTTGCGTCTCTTGTTTGAGACTAATCATGACTTTCTTCAGTTTCTCTTCCTCATTCACTTTTCTCTGTTCTAGCTCTTCTTTTTGTATTGTTGCTTCACTGATGACCTTTTCGCTATTCTCAGGTACATTCTTCAATACCTCCAGCTAAAAAAACAGATATTCATCATGTGAATATTGAAACGTAATTTGGTTTTAGTTTACTCCTTTAATAAATGTAAATGTTTTACCTTCTCCCTGTCCTTTTGAACTTGTTTCTCCAACTTCTTCTCTTTGCTCTTGATATGTTTCAGTTTTTCTCGAATTTTGATATCCTGCAAATCAAACTGGGCAAACTTTTCCTTTTTTTGTTCAATGTACTTTGTGATTTTCGCTACTTTTCTGTAGAATCAGATAATTATTAAAACATTTTGAACTGTTTTGAATACTAAGTACATTACATGTTTCATTTCTATAAACATTATATAAATAAATTTAACCTAGTAACCAGAATACATGCTTCTCCCACTCCCCATTTTCTCCTTATAACTTTTCAGGTTTCAGATACCAGCAGCCCTCAGTAGTTCAGCTGGGTGATCACTTTTTTTTTTGTGGGATTTATTCACAAGTCCTTTTTTTTGGATTTTTCAAATGCATAATTGCTGTTCTGATCAGTGACTATGTCTGGAAAGTGGGGCTAAACTGATTTAGCAGCCCTTTTTCTTAGGTCACTGTTTTGGCAAATATGAATTGGCTCTTGGCTGAAGCACTGCAGGAAAAAAGTACCATGGAATAGTTAGCAAATATCATAAATCAGCTTCTTCATATATGTTAAAACCAGAATCATTTAAAAATGTATGCTAAAGCAGTTTTTTCTGTGTCTTTATTTAAAACTGGAGATCGAGGGTTATTCAGATAAGTAGATAGCAATGCGTTGGTGGCACTGGTCTAGTGAGGAGAATGAAGGAATAGGATAATTCCATGTTGAATTTGTAATCACATTTTCCACATAAGATCTGTCGTGCTCTTAAGAGGATACAAATGTTAGGAAGTTTGAGCGAATTTCTTAACGCCCTGCATATTGTCAGGAGGGAATTCTTGGCTTACTTTTCAGCATCCTTCAAAGACATGTTTTTAACTTTCAAATCTTCGACAAGTTTCCCATTTTTGTCATTAATGTCTTTTGTGCTTTCATGGATTTTTTGCTTTTGTGCTATCCTGTCAGATATCTTCTTCTGCACATCGTATCTGAAAAAATATTTGAAAATAAATTGTTGTAAATGACTTATGTATTGTTTCTGCCCTAAAAATCAGTTTGGGTAGTAGCCTTTGGAAAGTATTTTGATTAAACCAAATAATATTCCTACAACCATAAAACAACATGTAAATGTTAAAATTCCAATTATCAAGGCAAAAAAGTATGCTGATTTCCATTTTTTACAACCATATTATATCCTTTAGTGTCAAACAAATGAGTGCTCATTCAATCAGTCTTCATCTCTTCTTTGGATACTTGGAAAATATATTGTCTAAGGTTTTATAAATGTTAAACTGTTATCCTATCTCACCTACAATTACATACGTTGGTATGGAAACAAAGGCAAATAATTGAATGAGGTGTTCTAACAAGACGATAATTCAATATTGCTTATTGAAGTTGGTGATTCCAAAACATCTTATTGATAGCCAGCCAGTCTCGATAACCACCTTGGGGAGAGGTGTGAAAGTGAATATTATGACACTTCCACATTGGAAATTCATTTAGCTCTGATATTTCTATTAAAAATACGCTGTCTACAGCTCCACTTTCCTACAGACGGAGAGAAAATAGTGCTGAATCCCAGCTATGTCATCTCACAGCAAGATCTGTTATAAATAGAGGCCTGGGAGGGGGAGGGCGGGGGAGAAGAAAGAGGAGCAAGTCTCCGAGTGTCACAACTGATGGGGAGAAGTTGCATACATTTGGCCCCTTGTCCCACCGAATACTATTGTTGGCCAATAACTTTAGAATTGAAACTTTCATCACAGCCTGGTCTTGATAACAGTACTCAGTGGGCAAGATCTTCGTAATACTAAAGTTAGACTTAGTTTTGTAAGCAGTTTTGTTTTGCAGACATACAGGAGTATTTGTTGTGCAATATAAAGAGTGACATTGGATCTAGAGGTCCATGACAACTATTATAGTAAGAGGAAATGAGATCAGCAATATCCCATGATTTTTTGTTCACAGAATTCCATTTGTCACTTGTTAAATACATAGTGCTTTGAAAGTGTTAAAATATAGACTAACAACGTATGACTGAACTTTCAGAATTGATGCAATACTTAGCACAACACTAAAGTAAGTAGCATGCCAAGCCCTCAGCATACATACATGTAATACTGCACGACATAGTTTTTCTTCTTAATGACCTCATTTTCCAAGGTAAGAAACTCAATCGCATGATTCTTTTCTCCTTCCAAAGCATCCTTTTCTTTTTCAACCATTTTAACCCTATTAAGCTGGAGAAGAAATATTTAATAAAAGAAATTGAACAAATTTGATCTTTTCAAAATGAAAATTATTTCAACCACCAAAGAACACTCTGCCTGTCTTTCAATATATTCCACAGATTTACAGTTTTAAATAAGTTTATTACCTCAGTTTTAAAGCAAATTTAATATACTAATTCAATTTAAGTCAGGAATTTTAAAGAATACAGCTTCTTGAATTCACAACAAAGTTAAATGTAAATATTAATTAGAAAAATTAATAGCTCTAGTCTCAAAGGGAAGCCCAGAAAGTAATTTCCCAGTCTGGCTACTTTGTTGATTTACTACACCAGCTTCAATTTCACCTTTTCTCCTCTTTGCTCATTCAACAGCTCAACTCGACGACAGAGGACTTGAATGGGTTGTTTTAATCGTTCTGAACCAATGATGTCTTCTAGGTATTCAAGCATGCCTTCATCATGTTCTGTTTGCCCTTTTGGTTTCATCAAGGAAATTTGCTCAACTTCACCCTAAAGATGCCCAAAGTAAAAGCATGATGCACTGAATCGCTAACATTTAATGAAGGCAATCACTGAAGATACTAATGTGGAAAATACAGAAATTATAATAGTTTATGCAGTACTCAAACTATAATGTTACAAAACATTTACATTCTATTTACATATTTTTAAAGAATTTTACACCAAACTTGGTCTCGACGGTTCCATTTCCCAAGGATCTCAAGGAATGCCAGAATATAGACATCTGTATGCAGCTAAAGGAAGTGTATATTTTGTCAGGCAGTTATAGACACTAAGTCATGGGTTAGTTCTCTTTTTTCTCGACTCACTAGTATGAATATCTGCATTACAGATGAATAACTGAGAAGTGTGCACATTTACAACACAATAATCCTTGCATTTAATGTACCATCTTATCATATCAAAATATCTCAAAAAACTTCAGACTTTTTCTGCTAAAGTGTAGCTACTGTATTTTTTTATTGCAGCCATTTTTTCAAGGCAATGTCCAACACACAAGCATGAAGTGACAGAGCAATTTTATTTGGAGGATTGTCACCAGGAGAAACTTCCTTCTCATTTTGAATTGGGCACCTTTCATGCAAAATAACATCACCAAACAAGATGGAAAGGAAGAATATGATCAAAAGCACAGTTCAAGTGGTAGGCATCTTCCAAGGAAGGGAGACGGCACACAACAGCTAAATGTCCTCCCAAGTACATGGATAGGAACTCTGCTCCGCTACCTGACAAATTTTCAGACCTACATCCAGGAAAGGCTAAAATATTCACCTGTCTTTACTTAAGAGTACATATTGGTTTATATAAAAATAAAACTTGTAAGACATTTCATAACATAAATGTGCTGCAGTGAATGGAACTTCTAATAGCTCAACAAAGTGCATTTATATAGTGGGGAAGTCCTGTCATCACTATGACATTCAATAAAATGATGACCCAAAAAAACCTTCATGTGACGAGAGAGAAGTAGGGTTCCCTGGGTCTGAACTAGCTCATAAAGAGATAGGCAAAGGTTTTACATGAGTAATTTCCAGACAATATTATTAGTTTGTCCAACTCAATGAAATTTGGAAGTGTAGAGAGATCATCAAACTTGCGAACCAGTGTCAACGAAAAGGTCCAAGATACATAATTCCTAAATCACAACCAGTGGTGGCCAGCCTCTTTGGTTGGCCAACAAAATAAATGTTTCTTGATAGAATCATTAACACCACACCAACCAGTCCGCTCCCTTCACTCGGCTGGCACTGCCCCCTCTCTGGAACTCCAGCCCAGAAATCTTCCACCTCGCCCCCTCCCTTGCCTCCTTAAAGGCCAGTCCTTTTTGACTGTGCCTTCGGACACTCTCCCATCACCACCCCTCAATTCCAACTGTCCGCTTGAGTGAAAACCCTTAACAGTCCTTCCGATGTGAAAGATGCTTTATAAACGCAATTTGTCGTTGAATATTTCTTGAATTATGGCATAAATCTACGCTATTTTGTTATTCCAATGCTTCTGTTGGCCAACCAAAAAGGTTGGCCCCTGTGGCATTAAACCAAGATAATGTCTGCTTGTCCCAGTGTATGTTAATAACCTATGGAACAATTTGAAAAGAAAAAGGAGTTTCTCCCAGTGCTCCCCAGATAAAATTCATCGTCTGTCTGTGCGATACCGCTGTAGATAAATTGGCTGCCGCATTCAGCTACAGTTATTGCATTTTATAGTAAATCCCGTAAAGCATTTCTAGATATCCTCCTGACGTGAAAAGCACCATATCAAATGCAAGGATTATTCTTATTATTATTAAAGTGTTCTTATGTACGTCACAGTGTTCCAATTGATGTGCTGATCGATTCACTAAATCACAAAATGGTTGCACTCCATTTGAGCCTTAGTCTAAATGCTTCGGAAAGTCAACGGCATACAATTTACATTTATATAGTGCCTCTCATGTCAGGGTGATGTTTCGAAGCACCACAGCTTGGTATAAAGGGAATGTATGGATAAGTATTTAAATTTCAACATTTAAAGCCGCACCATGTGAAATTTAAGCACTTAAAACTGGAAGTTATTGTCAATTAGTTTCTACTAAAGTTCAAGGATAGAAGCTAGATTTTTTTAAAAATAGATGAAAACCTTCCAAAGTGAAATGCATGGATTATTCCTATTAAGTGTTTAGTATTCATAAGTGATCAGCTTAATTTTATAATACACCCAGAAGTTTTGTCATAAATCATTTCACCGCAAGCTTAACAATCTGCAAACCATGGAAATGCAACTTTTGCTCAAGCATAAGCCACCTTTTACAGCTTAGCATAAAGTTAGTTACAGATTTTAGCTCAGTTTACACAGCTTTTAAACTCATTTGAAACATGTCACCTGAGAGCATCCAAAGCGATTATTTTGGAACTAGCAGTTAATTTTCACATCTTTCTGTTGTATTAGTTAGTATCTTTGTCTCAAACGCTTTGCACAGCACATTATCAGATTAAAAAAAAAAGAAGAAATTTGCAAATCAAGATTCAGGTTTCCAAAACAACTTCCTGATATTTTAATTGTTCCAACATTAATTTAAGGATTTTAGTGATGACAAGACCAAGTCTCAATAATATGCATTTTCTGGTTTTATTTTTCCCAAATTCTCTCCAACATTACCATGATTTTTTTTAAATTTTTACTCCAAGCCAAATTACAGCACTGTAATAACTTAGAATCAAGAGTAATAAGACTATATAGGATGACTGATTTTATAAATTTCCATTCATGCATTATGATGCGGAAATAATACCAGAATCACAGTAAATGCTGCTCAAACATCAGAATATTGCTATTACTGTTATTACCAATCCACTGAAAACGGAATTTTAACCAAAAATTTTAAAAACTGAAGGTGCCAATCACTACTTTGTTTATTCTCTTGTTTTTTTNAAAAAGCATTTTTTAAAATCTACTTTAACTCAAATTATTATTATTACTAGTGTCTAAAAACATGTACAACCACAGTACTTTTTTTTTGAAAAAGAGGTTTGCATTGGATTAAAAATGATCTGGCAGGCTAATAAAGGGGCAATTCGGCTATCTCTGCCATGATTTTTAAATGCATTCGAAAGTGGAGGTGAGACGTTTCAATGATGTGATAAGGCTCTTTGAGATATTATTACAATTGCAACCCGACTTGCAAATGCATTTAAAAAGCATGTCAGAGACAGAGGGAATACGTCTAGAAAAGCTTTAAATATAAAAGACACATTTTAAATACCAGAATAAAATACTACTTTGATATTTAATTGTAGATATCTAAAACGGAGTTATTGGAGTGCTGCAATATAAAATATTTAGTTGAATGGATTTATTTGAGGTTATAAAATTAATGAATTTTATAAAATTTTCAAAAAACAAAAATTATTACAGTACCAAAATCTCCAGGAAATTCTACACCGTCACAATATCTTTCATTACACCACAATCATACATAGTTTAAGCATCACAGAAGGCCAGTACACTTCATAGAATGTATGAGAATGAGTTTTACCAAGCTGACTACAGATCATTCAAATTGCCATCTCTTATAGGTGGTATTAATATTGAAATGAGCTGATATTGTTGCCTAATATCATGTAGCCATTGGAGTTTTCACTATTATGCCTCATACTGTATTGACAGGACATCCACTAAGAAATGCATTATAGAAATGATGCTGCATTGTCAAGAGTAGTCCTATTAATGTAATATAGGCCATTTCCAGATTAGGTGCATCTATAATCCACGTCACATTAACTCACCTCACCCACGACTATATAATTTGAAAACATACAATTTTAAATCTGTCTATATTTAATTGGATTAAAAAAAGGTCCAAACGTTGTTTTCAGCCTGCCATTCAGGGAAATGCAATCTTGTGTCAGAGCAAGTCAAACGTCTGATGTTACTTTCAGAACAATCCAGCAAGTGTGAAGTACCAGACAAGGTAAATTATCCATGTGACCAGAAACACCAACTCGTGTCAGCTGATATTTCCTTTCTATTGGACAATGGTATGCTAATATAGGAGACTGCATTTTCTGAAGCACATATTTGCTGTATGGTTGACTATCAACATCAACAGGATCAACACACTTAATTATTGTGAATTAAGTATTTTAAGTACTTTTCAAAGCAAAGCGTAATTTAATAAATCAAGCTATAAAATTACAAATTGTAGCTTTCCAGACAAACATTTATATCCATTAACTATGTACAAGTAATTCCAGATTTATATATTGAATGTCACATATATTAAACTAAGAAACTGAAACAGGATGAGTGCAATCAGCATTATCATTGGTTTCTGTATTCAGCTTGTTTGTGCCAGGAAGGACTTTCTAAAAACAAATATTACAATTTGTATTCATTAATTCATAAATGTAAAATTAAACTGCATAATTTTCAATTGCCAAAACATTTGCTGCAGGTGGGAAAGATTATATAAACAAAGAAGGTAGGTTGACAGCTGCTACTACATTAAAGTATCAAAACCTAAATAGAAGATTGGAATACAACTAATGCAATTAATTATATATTTTTTCCTTTCTGCAGACAAGGTTTACAGAATAAAAAAAAGCTACTTTTGCTGCATACTTGAGTTATTTCATGTGATAGCTGAATCATTCTTTCAGAATGTCTGTGAAAAGAGAACACCTTTTTGGCAGAAAAATACAATTTCAGTATTAAAGATTCAAAATCAAGATACTACTGTACACAAGAAAAGGAGAAACAGATTGAAGTTAGAGAAAGGATGCTGGAAATTAGAAGATTCCTCAATCCTAGTTTCAAATTAGAGTTGGAACATGTGTAAATGCAACTAGTTGTATAATGATAATAATCCTTTCATTTGATATAGAGCCTTATGTCTTTGAGATATCTCAAAGCACTTCACAGAATATACTGTAACACAAATTGACTGTATATTTTATGGATGAAACGCGGCAACCAATTGCATACAGCACTGCCCCACAATGATCTGTTGAGAGTGGTTCTTTTTACGAATGTCTTTTTTATATGCAACCAATTCCAAATTAGCTGGCACTCAAACAATGATTTATAAAACGTAGTATGAATTCAAACAAAATTAGAAATACACCATCTCTCTCACAACAAACAACTTGACATATCAATCTTGTGGTTACATCATCATCAGTATCTACATGTTCATACTTGTGCCAGACCCAGGTACATTTCAGTGGTACTGATTACATTTCATTGTAGTTACACTTCCACAATAAATTTGGTTTGAGTTTAAAGTTTAGCTTTTTACATTTCACAATAGCAAGAACTTGTACATATTGCAAATTGGGCAAGTGTTTTAAACATAAAATATCAATTCCAAACATTAGTATACAAACATACAACTAAATTTGTTACCTTCCTTTTGCTGATTGTATTACCTTCAGGTAAGATCAATTTTTCAAATATCACATATGGACTGGGAGTCGACAAACCACGCCACACTGCAGCAGCACAAGTAATATTGGCGTTTTTTGGTCTTATTTTCACCACGCCAATATTTACGTGCTGCTAGAATGTAACTGGCATTTTCATTAAGTAAAACATATACTAAAAAANGTCAAATATAACAGACGTATTTTTTAAAAGCTTGTCTTCTGATTAAGCCTTAAAGCACTAAAGCAGCAAATTATGATTTGCCATATCAGGCAGTCCTGCAAACCATGATGTGCTGCTACAGCAATTTAAAACATGTCCAGTACTTTGTTCCAAACGCATTAATTTTTTTTCTGTAAATGTACTCATTCAAACAGAATAATGAAACATTTTAAAAAACAAACATACCTGCAGAATCAAAAATCTATTATGATCCAGATCAATTCCATGGCTGCAAAGCAGCATTCTTACATCTCTGAACGTTGCTTTCTTTCCATTAACATGGTAAGCTGAAGAATTATCCTTGTGGGCAGTTCTTGAAACGTAGAAGTTGCTATTCGGAAGTACTTCAAAATCATCACCCTCCTTTCATTAAAAAGGGGTTTAAAAATGTATTATTAACTTCAGTATATAGTTATTTTAAAGAACAATACTTTCACTCACACTTGTGTAAAAAAAATTAACTCGTCTGATGAACTGGAAATTTGTTTTTGAAATAGATCTAACCCACCTGTGAACCTGTGCAGATGAGGTGGATTTCATAAATACTATGCCAGAAATTGAAATTGACACTGGGCACAGAAAGGTACATTGTAATGGTGTTAATAAAGCTAACTCTACTAGAGGAAAACACTAACATTTTTTAAGAAAACGGTGTGATTACAGTATATTCAAAGTTTTTATTCACAGCAAATGATTTTTAAAATGTACACATTTTATGATTTATTTTGTTTTTAATTAATTTTTTTTTAAGCACTTAATTATATTCAATAATTAGATTCTCAGATCTAATATGGTTTAATGACACGAAATTATTATATATGCAGTCATCTTCATTTTGAAAAGGCTACATTCAGAAAATGGCTTGATTCATTGTAGCTATACAGAAATGATCACGGCTGTGATCAGGAAACAAATGAAGTGTGCAGTTATTAAAAACTGCCAAAGTGTATTTCTTTTAAAGAAAAACAAGCTTTCTTTAGCATTTGTTTCTGACATTGCCACTAATGTACTAATACATGTACTAACATGGATCAGTGCTACTCGAAAAGAATTACCAAGCAATTGCTGCATTTAACAAATAGATTCACAAGATATATTTTATAAGGTAATGGTGAGGTCATTTATCTGTTAACCCTATCCATGGCAGAAAACAATTTAGATTAAGCAGGAGCTCCAATTAAATATCTTATTTAGAATGACAATAACATTTCTTTTTCCTTACATTCAAAATGTTCAAGGCCAAAGGAAGCCAAAAAAGTGGGAAAAAACACCATTCGAATGAAAACTGTAGATTACCATGCAGCTCAACAACTTCTTTAAATCAAGAAATCTTAAAAACAATTGCACTCTATATTGTATGCAGTAAATGCAAAGCAGATATAAAAATAATCATCCGCACGTAACAGATAAGATTACCTTATCAATGATTTTTTGAAAGTGAACTTCCACTGTACAGCTTTGAACATTCTTGTATTCATCAGAATTGTGGATAAGTACAGACAGTTTTTTCGAGCGTATTTTTTGGGCTCGGTACCCAAAAACAAACAGCATAGAGTCAATCACATTTGATTTTCCGCTCCCATTTGGTCCAATAATACAAGAAAACCTCTGTTTAAGAAATAAACATATCATGGATCACTCTACGTGCGCACAAAACACATTTTTGACGATTATTATGGCCGACTTGTAATGCTCTACACTGACAAAACAGGTTCATACTCTTAAATTAACATTTTTTATTGAAACCATTGCATTAAAAGTCATGTAGAATTATGTATTCACAAATATGCCACATTTAAATTCAAAATTATCAATACCAATACAGATTAAAGGAAAATGATCCATCATTACAGTTCCATATAGTGCTATTTTATTTTTTTAAAATACTTTTTCCCACAACGCAAAATCTGTTACCTCAAGTAAAAATTAAGCACGAGATAAATATCATTATAAATTTTTTTTTTTTTACCTTGTGAAAAGGCCCCAGAATTTGCTCTCCTGCATAGGATTTGAAGTTTTGATTCACTATATGTGTTATCATAAGACGAGGAGCCCCAGCTTCATTGGTCATTGCTGGGGGTGGAGGAGGAGAGATGCCAGCTAAAATTTCCTCTAAACTTCGGTTATCTACCATTTCCACTGCTGAATTTGACACAATGCCTATATCAAAATAAGACCAATTAAACGGTGCGCCTTCAAAGTGTTTGAAAGCAAGAAAGTTGAACCTTATGTCAAAAGCATCTTAAACCACAATCCACTATGAGAAATAGATCCGAGACTTATTCGGCTTGGACAAATAAATTTAGATTTCAATAGGGATAAAAACTAATTGCCATATATAAAAAGATTTAAAATCTTGAATATAGATATTTGACAATTAAAACTTCAATTAAAAGCAACTTTTAAATATAAATCACACAAAGGCAAGTTAAAATATTCAATTTTTTTCTTAAAATGACAATATGAAGCTGATGGATCTATTCCCTCAAACCAATCATTTTTGCTTTTTTTTAATAAAAAAGTTTTTGTTGCAAATCAAATATCCATTATTATTTTTATAACATATAGGATGACAAAAAAAAATCAGAGCCTGTTCAGCACATATTGCTGAGGAGAAAAGTTTTGTTAACCTACCATTAAACACACCACAAACTATGCTATTTTAGGAACATCTCTTGCATTTATATAAAAAGCAACACAGAAAGTACTGTGCACTAAGAATGGTTAGAAAGTATTCAACTTGCAATAGCTTAATGCTGCTGTTGAACGTTGTACGTTTGCCAAATGTTTGCTCTTCGGGTTACTGCATTAACGATTTGTTTAAAAAAAATCTATTCTTACAAGTAATATTTGAAATCTTTTCGCATTTACCCATTTGAAAGCAATCTCTCCTTCCCATTCAATAAGTAGTTCAAATTTCTACGTCTCATCAGTTCACCAACACCGTATTTTGCATTTCAGATTACAGCAGTTCAACCCCTCCCCCCATCCATCCACTGTACACTACGCGAAGTGTGAAAACGGGGAAAACAGTAACATTCAAAGCTCACAACATATCAGGTAAAGAACAAAACAGTTTTCGTAAGTTCACAAAAAGAATCGATGCCATTTGAAACGATTAAAATAAATCCACTGGGGGATAAATCTGAACTATAATATTCATTGTCACAGTTTTCAGTGAGTCATCAAATCTTCGATACAATAACTAATTATATTCCGATAACAAATGGTCGCTTGTAATTATCAACAAAGATATTAAGTTTACAAAACATCAAATCGCCGGCAATCCCTTCCTCTAAACTGCATCGGTATATTCTACAAATAAGACACGCAAAGAACGTTTATAACGCTGCACCGCAACACCATTTCAAAGGCAATAGCATATTGGACTCGGCAACCTGCTAAACCATCATTTAGGCGGTTAAATCCAATTCAAAAAAAAAAGACGCAGCATTTACACAATGACCCTCGCCACTCTGCTCGACTTAAAATAAAAGCGAGAGGGTCGGGGTTTTTTTTTTAAAAAAAAAAGGAAAAAAAAAAAGAACAAAAAATCGAAAGAGAAGTGAGTAAGAAGACACTGAGAGAGCTGGTAAACCGAAATCTACCTTCGTTCCCAATTGCGCCGGTTCCCTTTTGTTGGATATCCATTTCGTTGTCAGATCCATCTGAGGGCTCGGCTCCCTCCGGATCCGAATGTGCGGTCCGTTTTGCGGTAGAAGTTTTCGTTTTGGCAGGCATGGTCCCAGGTCAGACCCACGAATTAATCAACACACGCACACGCACACACACACACACACACGCACGCACACAAAAAGAATATCATGCACTGTAAAACAAACAAAAAAAAAAGTCATCTTTGGAGTTCGGTTGTGGGCTTTCCAACCCCCGCCCTGAAAGTCGTAGTCCAGTTCTGCGTTCTCCAATTGAGCACAAGTCGAAATTCAACCCCCCCTCACCCCCCCCCCACACACCACCCCCCCCCCCCCACACACAAAATCAGCAGTTTATGGGGGGAAAACTTCTATTCATTCCGAGCTCATTCCAAACCTATATTTAAGAATTTTTTTTTTGTTTTTTTTGGGGGGTGGGGGGGGAGTGGGGAGCGTGTGGGAGGGGGGGGGGAAGTTACTGTACTCTGTTGTAATCAAATGCCACATCATGACGTTGGAAAACCAGTGTCAAAAAGTCAAGTCTTACAACTTTGTGCAAGAGTTCTGCGCCAGAGAGACAAGACTCACGAAAAAAAAAGACACTTCGGTGCCTTAAAATCAATGATGATTTTTTTAAAAAAAAAACACACCGGGGGGAAAAAAACACAGCCCCTTAAAAAACTGCAGACAAACGACATCTATCTCAGCCCAACTACGTCAGCCTTCGGGGGTTTTTTTTAAAAAAAGGTGAATAGCTAATCGGGTAAAAGAAAATTACAGATTGGACATCGTACTCCACCAATGTCAATCCTGGAGGCAATAAGCCGACTCGGGCTAAATATAAAAAGAGCACGAAAGCAGAGCGAGAGAGAGAGAAAAAAACATTTTAACGCAAAAAAAATCCCGATGGATGCATCTCAGTACCGGGGGGGGGGGTGTAAAAGACTTATTAGAGAGGGGTGGGGAATTGCCTTTAAAATGAATTGCTCCGGAATGAAAAAAAAACCCCGCTTTATTTTAAAAAAAACCCCGAGACTTATCTTATTTACGAGCTATTTAACCTGCGACTCAATCGATAACGTCTCCCCAAAGTTTCAAATTCACTCAATAATTAACTGCAAAAGGAGGGGAGGGGAGGAGGGAGAGGAGGGGGGTTGAGGAGAGAAGAGGAGGAGGGGGAGGAGGAGGGGAGAGGGGGAAATAAGCAGTTAGGATCCACTTCCTTGAAACAACATGTTTACAAATTTGTCATGCATCTCATCCCGCTTAAAAAAAACGATTCCACCTCCCGTTTGCGCAAAATAACCGCCCGCGACGCACCCGAACCCGAACTTTTCGGGCGCCGGGCGGCGGCGGGAATTTTTAAAGAATTTTTCCCGATATTTTCGAGCCGCTCCCGCACGTGGAAAGGGAAAAAAATAGAGGAATAAAAGTCAAGGGAAAATTCGAGCGCTCACCTCCGTCCAGTCGAAAATGGCGCCGAAAACTCAACTGGACTGAAATTCGTTGGGGGAAGGAGGAGGGGTGGGGGGGCGCGCGAGGCATTGTGGGAAAAGCCGATTTGAAAAAATGGGGCCGTTGCCAAAAAAAAACTGACGACGACGACGGCGGCGGCGGCGAGAAGAACAAATGCCGACGGCGTTTCGATCCCTCCCTCCACCCACTATGCGTCCCCATCTTCGTCGCTCGCTCGATATCGAAATGAGATAAGAGATAGATAGATAGATAAAGGGAGGGAGGGAGGGGGCGGAATTTTTTTTTGAGGGGGAAAAATAAAACCGTTTCGAGAGAGACCGTTGCCCTCTCTTCTTTTTAAACACACACATACACACACACACACACAGATCTCGCCGTTGCCCGGGCCGTTGCCAAGAAAGCAGCGCGCGCGGGGGGGGAGGGGGAGGGAGGGAGGGAGGGCGTGAGTGAGTATGAGCCCCGCCCCCTTCCCTCCTCCTCCCCCCCCCCCTCCCTCCTCCTTGGCGGCGGCGGCGGGTGCGTGTTCGCGCGCGAAAGGCCGCGAGACCTGTTTGTTTGACGCTCCGTGACAACGGCCGGAGCTCGAGCTGAGGGTAAGATGGAGAGAGAGAGAGGAGAGAGAGGGACACCACCGCCGCCGACGGTCTTATGTGTTTTTTTTAATTTTACGCACAAGGGTCAGAATTGAAGGGGGGAGTTCGTTCGTTTGTTTTTGTTGGTTGGTTGGTTGGTTGTGTTTTTTTTAAAAAAAACTCGTCCGTCTCTGTAGAGGTGGGAGAGAGAGAGAGAGGGCGCGGAGATTCTTTTCGCCTTGATTTGCTGCTGTCGAATGTCTCCCCGTGGGTTCTCGCCCTCACCCCCCCCCCTCCCCGGCGGTCGTGTTGTCAAAACAAAACAGAACAAAACAAAAAAAAAAGAAACGGGTGCGGATGGCGCGTGTGGTGTTGTGGTGATGGTGGCGATGCTTCCCGTGACTTCCGAGCTTCCCACTCCCGTCACCGACCGATTCGCTGACCGACCCCCCCCCCCCCCACCGGTGGGGATTGGATTGGCTTTGACTTCGGGTTTTTTTTGGTCGTCTGGGAGTTTCTGGGGTGAGAGTGGGTGGTGAGGGTGGGGTGGGGGGGCAGAAAAAAATGGTCGGTCTCTCGACTCGGCCCCATTCGCCCCTGGCAAAGCCTGTCGTCGTGTTTGCGTGTGTGTGTGGGGGGGGGTTGTGTGTGGGGGGGGTTGTGTGTGTGGGGGGGGGGGGGTTTGTGTGTGTGGGGGGGTTGTGTGTGGGGGGGGGTTGTGTGTGTGGGGGGGGTTGTGTGTGGGGGGGGTTGTGTGTGTGGGGGGGTTGTGTGTGTGGGGGGGTTGTGTGTGGGGGGGGTTGTGTGTGGGGGGGGTTGTGTGTGTGGGGGGGGTTGTGTGTGTGGGGGGGGTTGTGTGTGGGGGGGGGGTTGTGTGTGGGGGGGGTTGTGTGTGGGGGGGGGTTGTGTGTGGGGGGGGGTTGTGTGTGGGGGGGGTTGTGTGTGGGGGGGGTTGTGTGTGGGGGGGGTTTGTGTGTGGGGGGATTGTGTGTGGGGGGGGTTGTGTGTGGGGGGGGTTGTGTGTGGGGGGGGTTGTGTGTGGGGGGGTTGTGTGTGGGGGGGGGTTGTGTGGGGGGGGGTTGTCTGTGGGGGGGCTTGTCTGTGGGGGGGGTTGTGTGTGGGGGGGGGTTGTGTGTGGGGGGGGTTGTGTGTGGGGGTTGTCTGTGTGTGGGGTTGTCTGTGGGGGGGGGTTGTGTGTGTGTGGGGGGGGGGTTCTGTGTGTGTGGTTGTGTGTGGGGGGGGGGTTGTGTGTGTGTGGGGGGGGGTTCTGTGTGTGGTTGTTGTGGGGGGGGGGGTTGTGTGTGGGGGGGGTTCTGTGTGTGTGGGGGGGGTTGTGTATGTGTGTGTGTGACAAGAGAGGGTACACACAGGGCCGTCCGCTTTTCGACGAGCCGTCAGCTTTTTTCCTGGGAAGGAACAGAGGGGAAATGGGACGGGACGGGATGGGGATGATGTTTACCAGCGGCAAGATGGAGAGGACAGTTTGTAATGGTACTGAAACGTCTCCAAAGTGCTTCGCTGAATTTCCCGAAACGTGTAGTGACTGTTTGTATTTTACACGCCAAAGGGGTGAGGGGGGCGGGGGGGGGGGACGGGACTTGAGTCACTTCTCTTCTCATTATGTGTGCACTTTTACTCCAGTATCGCACAGGAGTGCTTTATTTTTAGTCTTTTGAATGTTGGCAATTCATAAACTAATTAACTGATTGATTTGATTGATCGATCAATCATTTGGGCAACGGATTTCCAAGCGGTGAGAACGGAACAATATGTAACCGTCGCTTGTTCGTGTGATCTTTGACAGCCGCTGAAGACATTGGAAGTTCCGCGGGTAGAAATTGTTCTTGCGCGGCGGCACTCCTGGGAATCCTCTGAAGTCCATCCGGTGTGCCGAACTAAATTTTTATAGAATGAGACTGAAGACATCGCTCTTGAAGGAACCGAAGCATATCCTTTTTTCAGTTGATTGACTTTGCTGGCTATGGTAATACGTTTCGGATCAGAGCTATGACCTGTGTAAAAAGGGTGGGCATCGTCCTAATAAGTAAAATTTGGTAAGGTATTTCACATTTCAATATCCGAGAAGAAACCGAATGGCAATGCCTTGACCGGCTTTTTTCAAAACGTTATTTTCACCGTATACAGATATTAGTGTAACTTTAAAAATATAATTATTTCCTTACCTGGTTTAAAAAAAACACAAGAGTTTGACTATTTTGTGATCGCTGTTTGTTATTAATTTGGTAATAGTGTAGAGGATGAAATAAATACAATGTCAGATTCGGTCCTGCATCTAACATATCACTGCTCTTAAGGTTTCAGAGTTTTAATGTTAAACAATGAGTGGATGGAAAGTAAAAGCATGAGAATAGTACGGTGAAAGCAATATTTTTTATTTGATACATCAGGAATGACATTGATTACTATTATACAATATAACTTTACATTACTCATTTAAAATTTGCCCATTTATTACATCAGCTTTGACATTCACCAGTCACCCTATTGAATGTTGCCATGACTAAATACTACTTTTAGCCATAATTGATTTAATCAGAATATATTCCATCAGATATTTTATGTGGAATTCAATGCACAACTATGAATTATGCCTACTTTATGTATCAACATTTTCTCTTGAATTTTTAAATACAAATATAGTAATATAGCCATATTAGTATGAAAAGTAAGTTTGATTTAGAAATGTTACAGTAAACTATGTAATTAGTGGATTTGATTTATGCTGGATTCCCATTTTCCTGATAAAACAGAATACTAAATAGCCACTTTTACTACTATGTACAAAATAATAGATTTGGCTGAGGGTTAAGCTTCATTTAAAATTGTATGAACTAATATGAGACTTGCAATTAAATAAAATCAAAAACGTTTTCTAGACTATATGGTGGAATTTTTTTGAAATTATAAATCTAAATCCATTATATGTACATACATTGTACATAAATGTCAAAGTCGAAAGAATATAGTTTAACAAACTCAGTAAAGGTTTATTCTCTTGAGGCATAACTAAGTATTAGTTTGGTCTTTTTTGTATTAGAAAATGTATGCAGATGAAGGAAAGTAATGTAATGGGTACACCAAATACATGGTTCACAGCTGAATCTAGACAAGATAGTCATATGTTCAGAAGGACGTGAGACTGACTGGATGTTGATTAATAGAGAAAGAAATAACTTGCATGTTTAAAGTATATTATGTTGAAACGTTTTGCAGGTATTTGCTGTCATTTATAGTGACTCAATATGTGACTTTATAATGTGTATATATATATATATATATATGTGTGTGTGTGTTTTGGGGTGTGAAGGGTTCATGATTGGCAAGAGTTTTTCGCCTCCCTGTACCACACTCCACTTTCTTGGTTGGAGGATGATCGAATTTGCTTAAACTACAAAAAGAGAAATATTGTAACGCATTGATATCTATAACTTACTTTATCCATAACCAAGAAAATTGCAACATCCCATTTATTAGAGTTAGCAGTATACTGTTTTTTCCATATAAATATGTAGTTGTGGAATAATATTATTGGGCTAATATATTAATAATTAATAACATAATACAATGCTATGTAATATTTGAAGAACCTGAAGTGTATTCACAAAAAAACAGTGAGTTTCTGATCATCAGATCTTGGCTGAAGCTAATTTGTTTAAAAGTGATGACAGAAAATAGAGTATTATAAGTTCAATAAACGGAGAGAATCTAATTGTTAATCAGCAGGATGACAATTTTGGTTCTTGGATCAATTTAAGGTTGATCTCTACTTTTTTCCAGAAAAAAAGGATTTTGTTAATTAGTATGCAAGTATATTTGTTTGCTGAATTGACTCTGCCAGAAATGTTGCCATTGCCCCTAACTGTCTATATAGTGCACACTGAATTATTTATTTTAGACGTCTTCAACTGGTCCCCACTCAGCAGGGCAGTTAGGTCAAGGGGAAACCACTGTGTGGGAGAGTGAGCTGACTACAGGAGATCTGAGACAGTGGCTGATACAGTATTTTTTCCTACATCCAATACATGAAACCATCTAAATTTAGTTGGGTGGTTTCATGACTCAGGACTAATATGAATGTCATATTTATTTGTGAATTCCAAAGTCTGTGTCAATACTAAATTAAATATTAGTTATAGCAAGAATACCACAAATGTTTAGAAAATGGACAGTTAGAAGTGCAAAAACAAAGTCATCAAAAAGGTATAACTGCTTAGGCTAATAAACAAATGTGTTTATATGGGATATAATAATTATATGGGATATAAAATATGCAGAGGCAGAGAGGTCAGAACCAGAAATTTTTTTTGGAAAGAGAAGCACGTTTACTGAGCAAATTTGGAACTCCTTTTGGTGTTTGATGAAGTGTTATGAATTAGGTCCTTACTCCATTGCATATACATTAATATCAACAACAACAATTTTTGATCTCTAAGAGTTTTTTTATGTCTGGAGTATGTCTTAAAATCCTTCACAGAATTGACTGAAAGCTGGAACAGGTGGGGGAGGTAAGGTGACCAAAAGCGCAGTCAAAATGCAACAACAACAACAAAATTACATTTGTTTAGTGTCTTTCACGTCGGGAGGACATCCCAAGGTGTTGGACAGACAGAGTTAAGGACCCGGGGTGGGGGAGGGTGGAGGGCAGGGGTGGAAACAGGGAGATCGAAAGCACGGTCAAAGAGGAGGGTCTTGAGATGGGTCTTGAAGGTGGAAAGAGAGGGGGCGAGACGGAGGACTGCGGGATGGAGTTCCAGAGGGTGGGGACAGAGTAGCAGAAGGCCCGCTTGCCAATAGTGGGGCGAGCAAGGCGGGGGACATGAAGCAGCCCGGAGCCCGCTGAGCAGAACGGATGTAGGAGGTTAGGAAGTTGGAGAGGTAGGGGGGAGCAAAACAGTGGAGGGCTTTGAAGGTGAGGACCAGGATCTTGAACTGTATCCTCTGTATGATGGGAAGCCAGTGGAGTTAGGCAAGGATGGGGATGATAGGGTCGCAAAGTCTAGTGCGGAAGAGGACACGGGCTTCAGAGTTCTGGATGATCTGCAGCTTGTGGAGGGAGGAGTTGGGGAGGCCGACAAGCAATGAGTTTATATAGTCGAGCCTCGAAGTAATGAAGGCAAGACTGTGGAGGGCTTAATGCAAGGTTTAATGGTGGGGAGTGAGAGCGCATGGCTGGGTGGTCCAGGTTGGAGCTCTAGAGAGTGGGGGCAGAATGGCTAAGATGGGTGACACAGGATACAAAGGTATTCACTGAGCAGAAGAAGGGTCTGAAGCAGTATGATTTGACACTGAAATTTTCACAAGAGAAATCTAGAATAAATTCTGGATCTTGTAAACAGGTCTATTGGGGTTTAGGGGAACATATAGCAATTATAAATATTAATGGTATGATTAAGATGTTGGGAATGTGGCTAGTGAAGCAAAGATATTGTGAATACTTAAGTGGACAAATATGTTGACTACTAGTTGACCTCAGGGCACATAATTCAATCAACCTAGGGAGAGGACAACAACATGGCATTAGTTTTTGTTGCAGTTGTGCTTTCGATGGAAGAAAAGGAGGTTTGGGCATGTAATTGGCTGACTCAATAGGAGACTTTGTAGAAGAGAGATGCTATAGGTTTAGGATGTTGCCGAACAAAGAGGTGGATTTCCACTGAAGTTTGTTAACTGAAAGATGACAAAATAAGAATATTTGTTTCACAATTCTGTTGGTCAACTTTGGTGGGGGTGGGGGGGGTTCAAGTTATTATCATTAAGCTTCAAAGTATGTTATGGGATTTAGCCAAAAATGTACTGTCTTGCCCATTTCTAACTGGGTGCAAATCAGCAGTTGTAAGATACCACAATGATTTTAGATAATTGTTGTCTTCCGCAGTATTTTGGCTGTGATGTACCGATCACATGAGGAATTACGGGTGTCAACAATCAGGACATATGAGAGAGATCAGCCTCAAAGGGTTTTTGTTTATTAATCGTGCAAGTAGCCTGCAGTGCACAGCAAAGGAAATTATGTGCGCATGAACAATAACTTGGATCAGCACATGACCTCTTCACCTTTTTATTCATGACAACTGATTTCAGGATTGTTAAAAGATTTGTTCAGTGGTTCAAAATGTTGCCTTTGACCTCACTACACAACTCATAAACACAGACAAAACATAAATATAATCAGAGACATTGGGCTCAGTCATAAAGTAAGTATTTGGTTCTCAAGCTTCAAGGATAACTTAATCATATGATCCAGCTGATATGTGCAGAATGCTGCTGTCTGCTGCATAACCTTCACATCCAGAAGAGGGCTGCACGTCTGCCTGCACCAGAAGATGAGGTAGCATTGATATGTTTACTACAGTTTTACTTAAGGGAATTTCCAGTGTTGAATCAAAATAGCTTGCATTTATTTAGTGGCAAATAAACGAACATCTCATAAGACTTAACAATGAATATTGAGCTAGAAGCGGAGTCCTGTAGCTCAGTGGTTAGAGCACTCGCTTTGCAAGTGAGAGACCTGAGTTCAATTCCAGGCAGGGCGAAACCTTGGGCAAGTTTCCTTACTCCACACGCCTAATAATAATCCCTCCAAAACTAAAAACAATAATTAAATTGGTCATTTTCAATCTATGACTGTTTGTGGGACATTGCTGTGCGCAATTGGCTGCCGCGTTCGCCCACAAATATACAGTCAATTCACTTTACAGTGTGTTCTGTGAAGCGCTTTGGGACGTCCTCCTGACGTGAAAAGCGCTATATCAAATGCAAGGATTATTATTATTATTATTATAGAAGTGGAAAAAGTTTAGAGGTAAGACAAGATAACATGACTAAATAAGTTTGGAGATGAGAAAACCTGGTTGTCTTCCTATTTTTCAGTTTTGAGCTCAGGTTGCGGACATCTATGGACTATCATTTGTCTGTGAAATACACTGTCAAGTCAGTGTTGATGTATTATTTGTGCCCATTGAATGCTCACATACTGGTATTTCATTAAAACCCTAATATGCACATGCAGCTGGTATCTGTCTGATATTGTTCACAGTCCTGGTATTCATAGTTTCTGGTATACGCCTAACAAATGCTCTACCGTATAGGTGGGTAAAAGTATTCTATGGAAGGAAGAAAGGTACAGCCGAGGTATTATGTCAGTTAGAAAGGCTGCATATTTTCAGAAGTGAAAGATAAACAAGCCCATTTTTGTAGTTGAAAGCATTTTATTTTGTTTTCGAGGAAACGTTTCCTCTAATGTCAACTTGTTCATTCGGATGATGGCTTTCAATCAGTTTAGTGTATTATCACAGCCATTGGGGGTTTATTGACAGAGGGGGGCACCAAGATTGTTTGCTCCCTGGACTTGAATAACACTCTGTTGTCCATTAATAGCCACAGACAAATTTACAATCAATACTTCTGGATTATAAAAGTAAGGTTTATATTGTTGGGAGTGGGTGGGGGAGGAAAGCCAAAAAGGTTTCTTTTGCTGAAATGAAATTATTGCAACTGAATGTTAGGGTAGACTAACTTCTGGTAGGATATTCTTCTACAAAATATATGGTTATTACACTTCACAGTAATCCTATGGAAGTGCTTTGAGACATCTTCCTGACAACAACAACAAATTGCCTTTCACATCGGGAAGCTGTCCCAAGGAGCAGGAAGTACTTTGAAAGTGAAAGTTTCGTGAAGAAAGCTACATCAAATACAAGGGCGTTTCACACCCACAAACTATATAGTCAATTCACTTTACAGTATATTCTGTTAAGTGCATTGAGACATCTAGAAGATGAGATAATGAGCTGTGTGAAATGCAAGGACTATTATTGTAATCCAATTGCAATTTGTTGTTGTTAGGAGGATGCCTCAAAGCACTTTCACAAGATTACTGTAAAATGTAATAACTATGTATATATTTTGTAGACGAACATAAATATTCACCATATTGCTAACTGGAAATTGCCATGGAAGGTGTTCTCCTTGCATGAAAAATGTATTTTAAGAGCTAAAGCAGTGAACCTTGGAATTTAATTTCTTCCCCCATTCCATTCAGATTTTTGAGTTGGTGTGAACCTTGAATCTGAGTTTGACAAAAAAATAATAGTCATCAATATTGTTCAAAATCCTGGGATGCCATAGTTCCAGGAACTGTTCTTTCTGGGATGAATTGCTTGAGGTATCAAAGGGATTGAAGTTGATTAGATTGTGTAGGCTTAGCAATTGTAGCTTCTGAACTTGATGTGAACATCCACCAGGAGAGGAATACTTAACCAGGCTGCTGATTTTGTACTATTCAGAATTGTTGCATACAGTAAATAGCAAAGTTGGCTTATTTGTTGGATTTCTCTGAAATTCTGCTTAAAATAATAATCCAAGTTGTATCATTTCCACTATGAGGATTTGTTTTCACTATGCTGTGAATGCAGTTCTTCATAGTGACATTTAGAAAAAAACATATGATTTTCAGGCACAGAACATGCCAGAGAACTAAACAAATGAATCATTTCTCGAATAGCGTAGAGTTGGACCAAAGCAAACCGACTCGGATAAAGTACTGTACATAGCAATGGAAGGTGGACATTTTTTGCTTGTGTGCCAAGACTCACGGGTAAAAAAATGGCCACTTCGGAGAGGTAGTTGGGCCAAGCATTTGAGGGGAAGGAAACAAAAGGGATAAATTGTCTAATCAGTTCTCATCAGACAAACATGGCCATTCTCTCCCATAAGTGCATTTGATTACCTTTTACTCTCATTTTTACCAAGTGCCATTGATTCCCGAGTACCTCAGCGAATCAAGTTTAAGATACCTAATTTTCAAATCACTTCACTGGACCTGAGCTTTCAAAACTCACTTCCAAAACCAGTTCGCCTTGCTCTCCCAGTCTTCAAAAATCTAAAAACATGTCTCCTCTGTACTTTTGGTAATTTTTAATCTTATAGTTTAAATGGTTGAAGCCCATCACTACATTTCTCAAGCGTATTGAAATGTTCCATCATGTGAAATGACTGCGTCAATACAAGTTGTATTGTTTGAAAGAAGAGTTATTTCTTTGTTACGTATACCGTTTGTTTTTATGTCTTCCGTTTTGAGAAAGCACACAAAAAGAAATATTTAAATGTCCGATCTCTCTTCTGAGTGGTGAAGAGAAGAGGCGGGGTGTCTGGAGAAGAGAGAAATGTTGTTCCTACTATCTAACTGCTCCAAATTGAATAAATGGTGTCTCAGTTGTGAGGACATAAATTCCGCCAGATGGCGCCATATCTACATAGGTCTCTGGAGAACCTTTTATAACACAATATTTGCTTATAAACGGATTACTGTTTTATATATATATATATATAATTGATTTTTGCATGATCCCCAGTAGATTGTGAGAGGTGAGGGAAAACTAGATGTACAAAATCGTTCAAGGCCACTGTTTTCAGATGCCTTCAAATCCCAGGATATGCATAATCCTTAATCTCGTAATCATAATCTGGGAGATACAACAACAAATTACATTTGTATAGCGCCTTTCATGTCAGGAGGATGTCCCAAGGTGCTGGATACAGGCATAGTCTACAATTCTATTGAGGTTAGAATCTCTATCAGGTTTCTCATAATTGGTTGCTTGTAAATTGCACCCATTATTCTTAAAGGGATCTATAATTATAAAATTCAACAGGTGCCTGAATCCAGTTACACAGAATTGAACATCTTTTAAAAAGGGATAATTCTGAAAACAAGGTACAGTACTCAAGAATTAATTCCTAAAAGATAATTTGATTTTAAGAAGTTGTCCTAAAGTGCCTGTTCACCTTGGGATTATTTGGATAAACTCATCCAGGAATTATGATGAACATAAACATATTGTTTACTTCTGCCATTGCAGCAACCATGTAATAAATACCTTGACTGCAAGAGTGTGAAATGTATACTGTATAGCAATAAAGTAAATGGTTAATATCTCTATCTTGGTTCAAATGGAGAACTCAAACATGAGTTCAAAGTTAAAGGAAAACATTTGCATGCTATTCCCTACTATCATGTTATGAGGAAAACTAATCTGGCACTTTGCAATTTAGTTGTAATGTTCATCCTAAAGTCTTTTGGACACTTGCCATTTTCAGTTTGAACAATGCCAGGGTGCCACTCACTTGACGTCAGCCAAGAGTTCCATAAGCAAACAGCTCCATAGCAATGATCGGTTTCCTTTCTGGAGTTGGATGATCAACAGAAAGTATCGGAGACTTCAAGTTTCAGCTGCGGCTGATTACACAGTCGTAACAGTCTTAACATCAAATTTTGAAGAGTGACACCTGGATCTGAATTATGGGTTAGCTGGATGAAGTTGAGTGCCAATCTGATCAGGTCATTGGAAGTTTGCATATAAAAATAACCTAGTTATTCAAAATGAAAAGACAATTGTTGTACCATTCTTGCTCAGTTTAATAAAGTTACAAAGGTTTTGTTGCTTAGTTAACATAGTCAATTTAGTGATTTAACATAGGAAAGAACATAGATATCACCATTGGGCAAACTGCATTTGCATGCTTCATACATATTTTGACACAACACCAAAATAAATTATTGTTTTGGTAAATGTACCAGCCACGTTGCCAAAATTACAATTATTTTAAAATCAGAGTTTTGAAATAGTATCAAAACTGCAAGATGTACTCTTTAAATTTAGAATAGCACCAGGAATAATTAATTAAAATTTCCAATCTAATTATGCCTTTCTTTACATTAAATCACACATGATGTGTTTTTATGTACAACAACGTGCATTTGTACAGTGCACTTTGCGCAGGGTAGTGTCTATCCTAGTCAAAATGTTCTCTTTGATTTTGTAATGTTCTAAATATTATTGTCTGTTTTTTGCAGCTTTACAAAATTAGTTTTGTCTTTTGTCAAACTGGTAAAATTGATGTGGTGGAAATAATTATGCGATTATTAATGATTACCTCTTTCCGCAACTGAGTTGATTTTCAATTATAATCTGAACCTGATTGTTTAAATTTCAATTACAATCTTTAGAACAGCAGCCTTTTATTTCACTGATGTATAATATTGAGAATGCCATATGTCATTTGATAATTTTCTTTAATTCCACTGCACATAAAGATTTGGTCAGTTGTGTAGGTTGGACAACAGCAGATGAGTTGTATTCATCCAGTGATGATCATCAAATCCTGAAGTGGAATCTATTAACCAGTGAAACATCACAGGTAGTAAAGCTAGCAGAGGAAATCTATCCCATTGATCTGCATTGGTTCCCTAAAACTACAGGTGGCAAGAAGCAAATACAAGCAGAAATATGTGTGCTCACCAGTACAGATGGTAAGTAAAAGCATTATTACTGACGGGGAATAAATTTCCAAATTGGATGTACAACTGTATATTAATGGTTTTGATGTTGCATTCACAGGCCTTCATTGGTGAAATTCTAGAAAGCTCCCTCAATGTCTCAACGAGTTTATTTAAAAAGCACACATGCCTTACCCAATATAATGCCACAGGAATCTAATCCAAAATGGAAAAATTGGAATGCATTTAAAATATGTACAGTAAAACTTACATACGTCTTATCTTTATAAATGGTATAAATCGCCTAAGTCAGGGTGGGTCAACTGGCAGTCCATGGGCCACATCCGGCCCGCAAACCATTTCCAACTTTAAGCTGCCTACTCCCTTCCTCCCAAGCGGAACCATTTGCACATTACAGCAGCAGAATTGTGGGAGTGGGAGATAATATTGCCCGTTGCTGCAGCTTGCCAGGAATTCCCTTGAGCTGAGGGTCTCCTAACCAATTGCGTTCTCCCAGCTACCAGCTCCTGCCGCTGTCAGAGGTGAGCCACCCTGTGAGCCTGGGAGAGTGGCCGTTGTCGCTGCCAAATAATGAACCGTGTAGCTGATTGAGAGAAAGAGAGAGGGGAGTAGAGAGAGTGATTGAGAAAGGATTGGGGGGAGATTGAGAGGGGNAGAGAAAAGGTGATTGAGAGAAAGAGGTGGAGAGAGATAGAGAATGATTGAGAGAGAAAGGGGGAGATATTCCTAAATGGAGAGAACAAAAATCAAACGCACGCTTAAGTGATTATTTTATCAAGCATTTAACCATGTGTCATTTTAATGTACATTATTCTACACCATACTTTGTATCTTCTGTTTAGAAGTACTGTAGCTCTTTCTTATTTTCACCAAGTTTTGGTCCTTTGTGGCATCAGTAACCTATAATAGCTGCCTGATGCAGATGATAATTTTTTGGTAATTATCTTCAAATCAACAAATTACTTCCTTTTGAACTGCGGAGAGTAGAAAAAAGGTCTGTTAATTTAACTTGTAAACTAGAAGGAAGGAAGCAAAGTATTTCATTTCCCCTTTACAACAGGTGCCTAATATTTGTAGATCAACTGTAGTCCTCATACGTCAGAATAATCATCTGAACATGCAAGGAATATTCATTTCATTGCTTTACCACATGGAATTAATGATCTTTCAATGAGCTCATGTACAAAATCTGTGTGTTAAAGACTTTTTGATTGAGCGTATGTACCTCTTTCAAGAGTTATTCCTAAAAGTCGAGAAGCAATTTGTGAGTTTTATTCAGACTCAGTGCAGCATTTCACCAGAAAGTTACTGCAGTCATCATAATAGCAGTTTTCAGGAATGCTACTTGTACTACAGTATTAGCTGAATCGGCTTTGAAACCGTATAGATATGTATCCATTAAAAACAATTCCATGTTTCTTTTTGCCTAACCCTATTTTCTCCACATTTTCAGGAGCCCAACAAGTTAAACTTTCCATAATTTATCATTTACATTATATTAAATTTGAGCCCTATCTTTTAATCCCATGATAGGGTTTAGCTGATTATTCAGTAGTATACAAATAAAAGCTGCAGTGATTAAAATGTTTGAAAGTTAACTGGACTATCTTATTTGCTACAGGCAAATTTCATTTAGTTTCGAAAACTGGACGAGTCGAGAAAAGTGTTGAGGCACATCGTGGAGCTGTGTTGGCTGGAAGATGGAATTGTGAGGGAACTGCACTAGTTACAGGTGAGTGAAATTAATCTGTTTTGCTACTTTAGACCAATAAATATGAATTCAATCAGTAGCATTTTGAATCAAAGTATCTCCCTTTATATTTGTTTAAAATTAAAATCATGTTGTTAACTTACCTTTGACCTCAAACAAAACATACCTTTTCAACCACAAATTTCCCTTCCCCAACCCCTTCGGTTCCCATCTCCAGCTTGGGTGCCTATTCACCACTGAACGTTCTCCTGAAGCGAAAGGTGCTATATCAACGTGAATTATATTGTATCCTCAATTTTAACAATTAACTTGATTTATTACGATAACAATTATTTGATTTTGTTGTGATCTTTTTAAGAACTGGAGAAATGTTTTCAAATGTAAGACTGAGTGTAAAGCATTATTTCAACATGGTCTTACAGGCTAGGATTAGGTGGAATTTGGGGTCTCAGGTCCTTTAACCTTTACGTTTGTTTTACGTTAAAACGAATACATTTTTAACAGAATTCTGTCTGTAGAAAATATTGTGCTCTTATTACAGTTGGAGAAGATGGGCAAATTAAAATTTGGTCAAAAAGTGGAATGCTCCGATCTACTATGGTGCAGCAAGGTATGATCTTAAATTTAAATTCTAATGGGCATAGCTCCTGGTTGCTGATTACCTGAATGAAAGAACCAACTCTGGAGTAGAACAGTGTCAGCACAAGATGAGGGGGATAGAAAATAGGACTAAAGTTCCATGACTCTATTACAAGTACCTTTACAGTTTACACTGCGTGTGATCTAGTGGTATTTCTAAAACCTCATTTAATAAAACAAACTTATCAGATTGGAAATTCAAAGCCATTCATTTAGTCCCTTTAAGAACGGTAGCTGTGTTTGTGGGCCATTTATTTAAAAAAAACAAATCTAGCATATGGCATGAACTTCATCTTTAGTACAAAATAACGTTTTTAATCTGCCTTTCACTTGCCTCTGGATTCCACTAGATCCATTTTTATGGAAAAAAAATTCTCACACTGAAAGAATTGTGAAGTGCTCCATTACTTTTTGTTTGTCTATAACTGCCAACCATCTGGATATTAGATCCTGTCTTTTCCGGTTTGGAGAGTGAATATTTTGGCTTGGAACTCTGGACTCTAGGGATCTGTAATTTCTGTAGATATGTCCCTGTCACGAACCCTATTTGTACGGAGTCTGTGAGAGAAGAGGTTATTGCTATATGTTGTCTTTCTAAATGTTTAAAACTGCTCTTATGTTGTTTGATATAAAAAATCTCTGGCTGCTCCACGTCCTCCGACCCACCCGCCCCACCATTGGCAGGAGAGCCTTCAGCCACTCTGCCCCCAGTCTCTGGAATTCCATCCCCAAGTCACTCCGCCTCGCCCCCTCCTTAGCCTCCTTCGAGTCTCGCCTCAAGACCCTCCTCTTCGACCACGCCATCGGCCACCCCCTTCCCCTCCCCCGCCCCCAACCCCAGCTCGTGTCTGAAATGCTGTACTCTGTCCAGCACCTTGGGACGTCCTCGCGACGTGAAAGGAGCTATACAAATGTAATCTTGTTGTTGTTGATCAAATCCATCCATTGTACCTTTCTGTTTGTTGACCACATATAAAAAAATCCCTGTCTGTCTCTGGAGCATAGTAATCACCAGTTAGAATAAGTGTGAATTTCTTCATTAGGCTTGGATTGTTAGGTCAACATTGTCTCCTTGGCCAAACTACCACCTCCCTTTCAACTAAACAAAGCCAGTTAAAGAGAGCATATTGCTGTTTTCCATAATACACTTGACCCAGTGACGAAGGAGGAAATGTTAAAGTGATGTGTTAAAGCACAAATTTCTCATTATAGGTTCAACATTTTAACTTGTTTCCATTGAAAATGAAAGTTCACGGCAAGTCCAAGATATTCCTAATAGTCCTTGTATGTGATATAGTGCCTTATCACATACTGAAAATGTCTTAAAGCACTTCACAGGATTTTACTTTGAGGCAAACAGGGTAGGGAGTTTTGCATAGTAATATTCCACAAACAATCATCAAGTGAACAAATATTATCTGGAGGAATGTTGGCCAGGCCACTGGGAGAAACCTTTGTTTCAAATCATGCAATGGAATCTTTGATGTTCACCTGAATAGGCACATGGGACCTCAGCTTAATATCTCACCTGAAGGATGTCAACTCTGATAATGCATCACTCCCCCAGCACTGCATTGGAGTGACAACCTAGACTGTCACTCGTCAGCTGCTCAGTCCCAATCCAGGTCTCGAGTACAAGAGTAGGGAAGTCTTGCTGCAACTGTATAGGGCTTTGGTGAGACTGCACCGAGAGTATTGTGTGCAGTTTTGGTCTCCTTATTTAAAAAAGGACATACTTGCCCTGGAGGGGGTGCAGTGTAGATTCACTAGATTAGTTCCTGGGATGAGGGGACTGACCTCTGAGAATAGGCCGAGTAAACTAGGGCTGTATTCTCTAGAGTACAGAAGAATTAGGGGCGATCTTATTGAAACATATAAGATTCTTAAAGGGCTGATAAAGTAGACACAGAGGGACTGTTTCCCCGGTAGGAGAATCTATAACCAGGGTTCACAGTCTTAAAATTAAGGGTCAGCCTTTTAGAACAGAGTTGAGGAAACATTTCTTCACTCAGAGGGTAGTGAATTTATGGAATTCACTCCCCCAGAAGGCTGTAGATGCTCAGTCAGTCCTTGAACATCTTCAAGGCTGAGACTGATAGATTTTTAAAAAACAGAGGGATTAGGGGATATGGGGAGAGGGCAGGTAATTAGAGTTAGGTCAGAAGATCAGCCATGATCTTATCGAATGGTGGGGCAGCTCGAGGGGCTGAATGGCCGACTCCTCCTAATTCTTATGTTCTTATGATCCCATAACCTTCTGACTCCAGTCGAGAGTACTACCAACTCAGCCAGGTTGACAACTAGGATTTTTCTTTTTGAGTTGGGAGACTACTTAAATATCTGTATAATACTGAAAAAAGATGGTGTTTTTACATTTAAGACATGAAAATGAAGAGAATGCCATGTCAAATTTTACAGGGTTAAACAAAAGCGTAATCTAATAAGCAGAGCTCATAGATTTTCATTATTGTTTCCACAGGCACTTCAGTTTATTCAGTAGCATGGGGTCCAGACTCGGACAAGATTCTTTACACCTCAGGAAAACAACTCATTATTAAACCTCTACAACCAAATGCCAAAATCCTGCAGGTATACATTTTAAATCGGCTTTGGTTAGCTACTGTAATGATTTAATTTACTACCTTCCAGATGTTGTTCATATTGTTTAAAATATAACAATGTACAGAAGATACGTTTTTCAGAAGTGAAGGTTTCACCCTCAACCACTTTTAAAAATTAAAAATCAATTTACACACTCAGCAGGACCCCCAAGTCAGAACTGTAATTAAGTCAACAGGACTTATTACAGCAATAAAAATTTAAACATTGAAGCAAATAGAATAAAGCAGATGTTCAAGTAATTCAGAATTCTTTGTACTGTGAATTGTAAAAGGAACCTGATAGTGAGATGGTATAGTTTCTTATTTATAAAATGCAAAGGGGGAACTAGATCCCAATGAGAACATTTTTTTTCTCAATTGTAGTGCAGGTGTTTCTTATTTCTGTTAAAAGGACCACCTAGGTTGCATAATTTTCCAGTTAACAATACTGGGGAAATTATGTCAATGAGGGCTCAGTTCCTGTATAAAGGCCTCCTGTATCATTATTTAAACAAATTGGAGTTAATTAAGTGGCATAAATAATTGAGAGCACAGTACTTCAATCAGGGAATGAAACTTTGAAAATAATTCCATGGAAAGAGAATTGCTAAATATAATGGGAAACTTTTGTTTCATTCTGCGATTTTGATTTGCTGTTCACATATCTTGGGATATTGTTATAATACTCGCATTTGCTATAGAGTTTTATCGCATCTTCTAACATCTCAAATAGCTTCACAGGATTTTTCTGTAAAATGCAGTATTTGTAGGGAAAAGCTGCAGACAATTTATGCAGAGCAGTTCCCAGAAATAGCCAGGAAGTGAACCCATTTTTATCTGGAGGAAATTATGACACGGTATATACATAGACAAAATTATATTTACTCTTTAAATTAAGGAATATTTTTTCAGGCTTGCTGAATAATTGCAAGTAAGTTCAAATATTGTATGTTAAATATTCAAATATGAAGAATTATGAGTTCAAATATGTGCCCCATATCATTTAGCTTGATTAAATGACAGAATATTTTCTTTTAGTATTTTACTTTTGAGAACTAAAATTATAAATAATTGGTCATGATGCACTTGAATTTGAACAGTAGCCAAAATAACCATATTTTATATGCATTCTACTTACTGCATATAAACTATTGAGACTCATCAAAATCCTACAGTGGTGTGCATTTCTTTTAGAAAATCAAAACAAAGCATTTATTTCTGTCCATTCTCATCCATATTTTATCTGTCTATGCAGTGGAAAGCCCATGATGGAATCATTCTGAAAGTAGATTGGAATACTGTGAATGACCTAATTCTTTCAGGTGGTGAAGACTGTAAATACAAGGTGTGTGTTCTTTGATCAAAAGATTATCTTTCAAAAGCAGTTCTCTTACATATAGAAATACAATACAAACACAATAGTATCCAGAACTGGTATACAAATAAAGCACAAATACACAATGATAGTTATCTGTGGAGTTTATTGCTTCATATTTTCTATGCAAATCATTCGGAACATCACACATTATGTTTGTATGTGAAAAGATTATATATCTGTATATTGAATTAATATAATTGATAATCTGGTTAAATTTAAATTCTATTGCTGTACAAAATTCTTGCACTATTTTGGATAAATAATATGTAAAGGAATAATTCTTTAATTTGAAGTGTTGAATAACTTAAACGCTGAACCTTGATAATGTTCAATTGTATAAAACATTAACTTAGTTGGATCGGTTGGCTTCATTTATTTAAAGTCACTTAAATTATTTATTTTACTTTTTTTCAAAAATACTATGTGGAGTTTAGGTTTGGGACAGTTATGGCCGTTTGCTGTACAGTTCCCAAGTGCACGATTATCCTATCACGTCTGTGGCTTGGGCACCAGATGGAGAGCTATTTGCCATTGGTTCATTTAACACCCTACGTCTGTGTGATAAAACAGGGGTAAGTGATTCACACAGTGCTCCAAATGTAGTCTAACTGAGATTTTATATAAATTTAAAATTACTTTTGTACTTCATTCCTCTGCACAGAAAGCCAAGGACTTTTGCAATATTTTATAGTCTTGTGCACCTATGCTGCAATGGGTTTTTACCATCCAAGGGACGATTGGCTTCTTTATTCTTCCTCCAAAAGTCATTTTGGCCTCACCCCCTCCCTATCTCGCTTCAAATCTTACTCGCCTAATAATAATCCCTCAAGAAAAAAAACAATAATAAATTGGTCACTTCATTCCACGATTGTTTATGGGGACGCTGCTGTGCGCAATGGCTGCCACGTTTCGCCCACAAATATACAGTCAATTCACTTTGCAGTCTATTCTGTGAAGCGCTTTGTGACTCTAGAAGATGTGAAGAGCGCTGTATCAAATGCATGGATTATTATTATTATTAACCCTACCTCTTTGACTGCTAACTAGGCTATCGGAGGGTCCCTCACATACCATCCTATAATTGGCTTTGTTGCTTTCCACTTGCTGGAAGTTTCTAGGGAGAATTGCAAATAGTGCAAATGAAACAGCATATAAATAAATCCCAAATTGATATCAGCAGTGTCAGGGTTTGGCTCTTGGAATTAATTTTCCTGGATCCTGGCTTTAATTTTAATATTGCAGCTTTGAAAGGAAACACTGGTACATGTATTCAGTGTGATATTCTCTTATTTCTAGAAAAACGATTGCCAAACAATTACCTGTATTACTCCTTATTTATTTGTAATGAGAATATGTTAAGATGTAGTTCTGCGCTATAAAGTTGTTGGGTCACATTATAAAAACGGCCAACAGTCATGAGGTCATTGCTGGAGTCACTGCCGGCACTTTTAGTAACCAGCTTCCTGCAAATGCGATCAACAGGCAGGAATCCAGCCAGTCAGTGCTGGAAGTTCATCCATGGTACACCCCTGCTATAAAAGGGCCCACACTTTTCCAAAAACACATTATAACAGGCAAACTACTGTCAAGGACTAGTATTTTTCTGACATTGTTGTATGATTATAGCTTTGTAGCAAAGCCACATCAATTTACACAGTCCGAGAATAACCGTATGCTTAATCATTTTCAATACCGTAAATCAATATGTCTGATTTTTACAATAGTTTTTTTCAGTGCTGCAATTTTGATGTGCCTTTGTATAGTGTCTCAGACCAAGTAAGTTAGTCAAAATGTTTTGCGTTTGTTTGAATGCCAGACCTCATAATTACCTAATTTAATTGCTGCTAAAAGGTTACTTAGCATTAAAGAGGTTAAAATTGCAATTTTATGTGAACTCGGGTCATAGTGCATTCATGTTGCATGCCGTGCAATTAGGTTTAAAGAAAAAACACTCGACAGAACTGATGAAAAGTACTGTGGAGAACAAACCTAGTAATGCCACCCCTTTTTGTCAGAACAACAGGCATTTAAACCGAATCTTGGATTGATAGTAATATTAAAAAAAGGTAAATATTGTATTATTTAAATAAACTGAGGTTTATACAAGACTGGATTTTATAATGAAGTACAGTATAACAATTTCTAAAGTGCAGTAATGAGCTTGTTAACTTCTCGTTATGAGGCCATTTAGTGCTTCAAACTCTTAAGTATTTCAGTGAATGTGCACTCAAATGCTTATTATTACCAGTTTGTCTGCAAAAGCAGATTTGTAATTGCAGGCAAACACATGATGTAAAGATGGTATACAATTTAGCAGATTTCAAGCAGATCCAGGAGGCTACAGGAATTCTTAGGATTTGCCCCGTGTTTGCAAGTTGAGCCAATTTCACAGTTAAAGAGCATTTATGCTTATGCGTATCATTAAAGCTTAAGTGTTCAGAATGTAGTATTCATATTAATAACTGATAAAGGAAGAAACTGTCACTTGTCCTCATGGAAATTTGATCAAAAAGCAGATGTGGAGGAGGGAGTAAAGGGTTGGGATAACATTAAAAAGAAACAAAGAGATGCCTGAGTCAGCAGTGGCAGCAAAAAATCCTCCTTAAGCATTAATACAGTATCAAAACAACAAGGTTACAGGGTGAAAGTTAAATGTGCTTTATAGCAGTTTATAAATATGAGTTCCAATAACTTCTCAACAACAACAACAACAAAATTACATTTATAGAGCGCCTTTCACGTCAGGAGGACGTCCCAAGGCGCTGGACAGTCGAGTCAGGACCCAAGCATGGGGAAGGGGTGGAGTAGGGGTGAGGGAAGGCAGAGGGGTGGAAGGGTGACTGAAGGCACGATCAAATAAGTTGTATTCTGTGACTTAGAAAGTATATAGAATCCCAATTCAGTTTGCTGCCATAACAACAGTTGATTGACTAATACACAAGTTGCTAAGTTGCTTATTAAAGAATTGGGTTAGACTGCTCTTTAAAGGCAGAATTTTAATTCCTATTAATGTACAATATGATCATTCTTGGAACTGTTGAACAATCATTTGTAAATTTTGCATCAATAACTTTCGAAAGTTTAAAATACAAAGCTTTTGTGGATTATGTTTAGTACTTTAAATAAAAAAGTAAACCTATTGCAGAAGAAAAACTCTTCTCTTTGGTAGCAGTTTTCTTGCTGTTAATATGGACTCGGTCCATAAATTGTTGTAGTTTAGGAGTGGGGGTGGGGGGAGAATTAATGATTCTTTTCTGGTTGACTGAACTTTAAATTTAGAAATACTGTAGCCTGAATGGAATCTTCCCAGTATGAAATCTTGTGGTTTTCCCTCCTCTGCCCCCACCCCCCTTATATTCCCTGGCCGCCGCAGACATGGAGAATAGATAAATGACGGCCTCAGACACAATGGGGCCCCGCCAGGCCCTCTGGCAGAGTCATTAGTTTCTGAACCATTAAATCATTACCTTCACAGACAAGGCAAACATGCTTCTGAGAGTGCAGCCCATCGTCTATGCCAGATTCTTTGACAGTGGATATTCTGCCTGATAATGCCAGCCACATGCAACCCTCAGAAATACTGCTAGACATTAACTCTTAATCCACTTATGAGAATATATAATGAACAGGATCATTGGAATTTTTTTTCTGATGCCACAAACAGATATAGTAGTTTAACAAAAATACTTTTGGAAGGAAGATTTAGTGACATTACAGAATCATCTCTTTTTCTTAACCCATAACCATTTTTTCCAACCAATTTTAACACTACAAAATAAAACTTATTATGATTTTCCTAATCCTTTTCTTTCTCTACTGTTGTTCACAGTTAGGCTTAGCAAACCAGCTAGGGTTTCCACTCCTAATCACTATTAGACCCCTACTGGAAGGTGAGAATGTGGAGACTGTTTGGGCAGGGTAGTTGATGCCTCCTTTGGGCAAATAACTTGCTGACACTCATATGAATAAGTAGGCATTTTAGCGAGATAACGGAAGCAGCTGGAACCATACCCCGGTAGTAAAAAAAACAAATGGAGCATATCTCTTGCAGATGGGAGATCCAAAATGGTGACTCCTAACAGGCTGTGGATAAGTATTTCACATTGAAGATACTCCACTCTGGAATTTTTACGAGAGGCTTAGTGAATAAACCCACTGCATAGATTAAATATCTATTTAATCTCTAATGTTAAATTTACTGATCAGGAAGGTTCAGGGTTAATATCTGTTTTGTGCTAAAATTGGAAGATTTCAGTTGGGGCAACAGTGGGAGGACCCTACACTGTCTCGGTGTCCCTTAGCCAGGGCAGGGAAAAATTAGTCCGACTCCACTTCTGATTACTATAGAGTTATCACCAGCTAGAGAATGCTGAGGACAGATGGGATTCCCTTTAATATTACCCAATGTCAAATCATATGCCAGCATTCTAAGTTCAAAGATGAAGCACACTTTGACAAGGTACTATAGGGCATTTTGGGACCCGACGGAAACATTAAAACAAAATTGCCAACATTTAATGCATTGCATTAAAATCAATTTGTTTGTCTCTAGCCCCTCAAACGCAAGATGCAAGGCTTATTCAATTGACATGGATTTCAAATTTGAAATCTTTATAAGAGCCAGGGGTAATGATAGATGCATTTTACATGTATAAATCTAGCTCACGTGCCTTCAGAATTTTCTGCAAGTAAGGCACACAGATTCAGAAAAATCATGTCATGTTTCAATCTTATGCATATACCTGTATATATATTTCCAGGTAGTAGAGTGGTCGCTGAGGTCACTTCCTTAGTGCTACGTGTGTACACAATAATAATAAAAATCTTTGCATTACAATGTGCAAGGATACCTGCTGACCTTACTTTATTTGAGAAGTGATGTTCATGTCACTCCCCGCAAATAGCTGCATTTGCAGTCTCCAGAAGGTATCATTGGTAACATTTTCTGCATAAAGCTTGTATCAGTTAAGCAGTATAGTGCAGGTCCAGAGTAGTTCTAACTCTAAGTGAACCCGCACTCAACAGTGGTAAGTTCCAGCAGGATTGCTCTGTAGTTAACCAAATAAGGATCTGTGTAAAAGGGAAAGAGCTCCTAGTACTGGAGTGATTATTATTGCTGTCCATTGAACTCTCTTCAATAATTAGGTTATGAAAGAATACTCACAGAAGTGATGTTTCCACTGGACCCAATTTGAGAGTAGGCATAATCCAAATCTTAAAATGTTGGGAGAACTTGGATGATATAGATCCAAGCAAGATCATAGCATTGGGCGGTGAATATTATGTTAACAAGCCTCAAGCAAGAATTGAGGTTGGGATTCCTCCCTTGCCAGAGCTGTAGATATGTGGAATCAACTTGTAACTACAGCATGCTGCTTAATGCCTTTATCAAACATTTGGGTAAATATCTGGATAGTGACAAGATTTAAGATTACAAGGATAAATACAGATAAGGGATGATCAAATGCTGTGTGCAACATAATGGTTTCAGAGTTGCTATCACTATAGAAATGACATGTCAACTAGGGCATTTAGTCAAAATGTGCATGAATAGATAAATCTTCTGGCATTT